CCCCCCCCTTTTATATCTCTTCTTGCACAGGCCAGCTGCCATACTTAGTACTATTTTGTCTCCATACCGATTACGTGCGAGTCAAGGAGATACGCAAACTCCGTGGCGGTCAAAGTCAGGGCGTTCAAGACGACCAGGTGTCACTTCGTCAGCAGGATGCGTATGGATGGTCGTGGCGGGATATGGCAGGCCTTCTGGTGTCTCACGTTCCTGCGTTACCAAAGTGTCTGCCAAACACGGTCGACTTGCGGACAGAACGATTTGATACGGTTATGCACGTGGAGGGAGAGAGACTCTTGGCGGAGATTTGCGGATGGTTGTCCGCACGATGGAAAGGTACCTCAAATCCCTAGTAAAATGGGGGGGTTTCATGTACCTTTCCATCTACTTTGCGTCTTTCTGTCTGTAAGCCCCCTCGCCCTGTGAGCCTCCCGGATGAACGCATGCTTCTTTGCCTAGTTGTATCTCGCGGTGTGATTGCGCCTCCTCCTGCCTCTTCCAAGTACCACTGGCATTGTTGACGCCGGAAAGTCTATACAAATTGCGAATCGAGCGACAACGAGATAAAGAGCTCGCCAATGGCCCAGGCATGCGAGTGCCTCCAATTTGATGTTTCGGTACCTCAATTTGTGTGCGATTTACGATCTTGCGGACAACCACCGCACAACTAGGCTCAATTGATGCTCAGACCCACTCTGTGGTACGCAACGGTCGGCCGAGAGTCTCTCTCCAGAGAGACATTCCCCGGGGGGATAGGGCGGTCGAAATCGGCGGGATTAGCTAGAGAGAAATACTGAATAGGGGAAGACTCGAGCATTTTCGGGCTCCGGGAATTCATCTGCCCATATCAAATGCGGCGAGTGAGGCCGCAGGCGATTCGGACGTTACTTGCCAGAGTGCACTACCTGACCGAGTGGGTCATCCCCCGCTGTGGACATGGAACGTAGAAGAATCGCAGAGAGCACCGCTTATGAAGAATTGGTTTATATCAAAGTCGTTCATTACTTTCTGGGGTTCTCCCGATCACCCACAACTACAAGAACCTCATACCCCTTTGAAAGAAAAATATTGGTACAAACGTGAAACGAATGCCATGATACTCATAAGGGGTATCTCCGAAAGCACAAAAGTTTTCCAATCCCAAGTGCAGTAAATAATGACCACCGAGCTCATGTCTCGGTCCAGAACGTATCCATGCGCATGGAGTGACAATTTTGGTTGTGGTGCATTCATTTAGATGTTCTCAATGACGCGAGCATTCATGGCCTGTTGGAAGCCACTATTTGTTTCCGCGTTGAAAGCATTGCCAGTGTTTTGCTTGGAGTTGTAACCACTAGGTTCTCCACTGGCCGTTTGTGGCTGCATCACGTTCATCATATCGGCGGGCATGGTCTGGTTGGTGGCGGGCAAGAAAATAACCTTGCTGTTGGCCGTCTTCGCCATAGCCTGCATCGCTTCCAGATATCTGATCTGCATGGCCGGTGCAGAGCTCAAGATATCGGCGGCTTGTCTCATGAGTTTGGCCGATTCCACTTCGGCACGAGCCGCAATCACTTTGGATTCCCCAATTCTCTTGGATTGAGCGGCCATGGACAGGGAATCTTGCAGGTCATTGCTGAAGATGATGTCCTTGATGAGCATAGATTCGACTTGAACCCCCCAGCCCGATGCGACATCCTCGATGATTTCACCAATGGATTGGGCAATCTCTTCACGGCGCTCAATGACATCTTGGAGGACACGCGCCCCCACGACGTGACGGAGGGTGGTTTGAGTTCGTTCGACCAGCGCTTGACGAATGTTGGAAATACCAAAGGCAGCCTTATGGGGAGAAGTGATATGGTAGTAGATGACGGAGGTCAGGTTGAGGGTGACATTGTCCTTGGTCATGCAGACTTGACGGGGCACCTCCACAATTTGGATCTTGACATCGACTTGAATAAGACGTTCGGAGAGAGGATTGACCTTGACCAAACCAGGGTCGACAGCGCGAGAGAACCGTCCGAATTTGGTGACCAACCCAACATTTCCTTGAGAGACCGGCTTGTAGGGATTCGGGCAGATGATGCAGCAAGGGATGGCACCAAGGCAACCAATGCACGATCCGAGGGTGTCGACTGCGCAGAGGGTTAGAGATGCCGTGGACGTCAGACGGATGGGACTTTACATACTCATTGAGCCATACCAGCCATAATTCTCGGCATCCGCGTCTCCCTGAAGAGTCTGCGCGTAGGAGGGTTGCAAATCTTCACGTCGCGGTGGTTGCACCTTGATGACACCGCCATTCTGAGGGCGGAACCCGACCGGTGAAGTGGAGGCCTTGCCATTGTCAGGACCAGAGGCGCGAGGAGAGTCCATTGCTGAAGAGTTGGATTCAGGGATCAGAGGACCTGTGGACGACAGGATGGGCGAGCGTTGATGTTGTCGTGACCGCGAGGGGTATAGATGATGCGACGACCACTGGTGTGTTTGAAGAGGATATTGGTGGTTGTTTGCGCCTACGGTGAAAGATTGGATGCGACAAACAAGTCCGGATAGACGTTGATGCGAGATGAGCGATTGCGAAACAGGAAGAAAGAAGGGAGGTGAGAAGGGATGCGAGAAGAGATCTTAAGAACTCGCGGCGTTGTACAATGTCATGAACGGGACATAGGTGTGATTGAAAAGTGGAGTGAGACAGCACGGGGCGGGAGGGAGCTGTGAGGAGAGACGAAGAATTTGGCTGATTGGATTGGCATTGCATGGGCAGCGTGATGCCTGCAATTAGTTAGTAACTAGGAGCTGCTCGGTGCTCTTCTGAGGCACGCTATTTCTGGAAGCATGAGCCACCGATCAGAGATCATAAACCGCTCAGCAGGGTGCCCAGGTATACTCCGTACAGCCTGCAGATGCCCGACCCGAGAACAATCCTCCCTCCTAGGCGCACCCCGAAAGATGAAACGAGTCGAGCCGAGCATTTCTTTGCACCTCCATATCCTTTCGTATTCGAAAGCGAGGGATTCGAACGGAAGCCTAGGCCTTGTCAGTGGTGGATTGTATCATATTTGACCGGGGGGTATCGCTTGATGAAGGGGGCAGTGCTCCGTGCCAGAATTCCAGTCTTCTCCATATCTCCTCTCTCGAGCCTGCCGGGGCTGTAAGGTGATTCGCCCCTGCAGGATTTTTCTCTCGTTACATTCCGTCACTACTCCGTACTCACTCCAGGAATGCGGGCGATTCGTCTTGGATCGTCTTGCCGTTTTGCCGACTGAGACTTGCACCCAGAATGAGAGAGTTTACCACGAGTCACTCACGAAGCACCACTGGCGGCGCAGGGTATTAGACCCTCGGCAAGAAAGCTTAGCCTAGCAACTCCCTGGGCCAACTTTTTGCTCATCCCTCGTCAAAACCACAGATGGGCGACACCACACCCACATACGAGGTATGCACCTACCAGGTGAGAGGACGCGTCTGCTCATGCATACATTGCCGAACTCCTCTTTATATCAGTGTTCACAATCTGGGAGATGGAGAAATGCACGTAGGTCGACCACCCCGCCCGGAGGATGAGTACTGGCAATCTCAGACGCACTGCCAGCATCGAGTGAGCCTTGCCTTGGCATATTGAATCCTTCATGGCTGAGAAAATGAAAAAGGGATTCAAATCGGCCTCGACTTGACTTCCCGTCAGATTAGTCGACCTCTTCTTCCTCTCATTGCAACGGAGATTTATTATCTTGTTGTCCGCCCGTTCCATCTTCGTTGACATTGCCACAACCTTTCCCGACAAACCTGCGGCCATTTACCGAATCGTCATCGGCCATATCTTAGGGCTTTACCCAATTCGGCACACATGACTAGGCTCAACATAAATGCATTCTCCACTGTGTGACATACTTTGATCTGTCATACGATCACCGCTCCCAAGATAACTCCTCCCTTAGTCATGGCATTTGCCTGGGGATCGGGCATCGGCAAGTTACTGTGTGCTCGATCCCGAAAGCTTCGAGAACCTTTCCCAAGGCAGGATAGCCCTACCACGTCGGCTTTGTCCCTTGACCATAGAAACGTCAACACCTTTCATGTCATTTCCTCCACCACCCAAAAATAATTCCCTCTCTCCATCGCCACACGTTATTAAATTCACGTGCATCCCCAGATCACCAAAGTCCAATAACGACTCATCTCTTTCTAGAAAAGCGTGAGCCCCCCCTCGTTGATATCACAGGCTAGCTTCGAAAAGCTGCTTCCATCTCGCCTCCGCCAATGGCCTCCTCTTCGTACTCGTAGTTCCGCCGACTGAAGCTATCAGAATCACTCGAAATATATTGTGCTAATTCTGGCATCCAAAAACCATATCAACCATTTTCCTGAGCTAACCATTCCCCAAGAAATCTGGCAGAGGGCTAGCGCCTGACATATACAAGACTTCATGGAAAGAAAAAAAAGGTACCAAGCACCCAGCTTTCGAAAAGGGCTCATTTGGAACAATGAACGGATGAAAGGACCGAAATGGCCCAGCCGAATATACGATCGAATCTGAGATCAGGCGTGGTCCAAAGCCATCCCTAAACCAACGTCTCTGACCGAGAAATAAGTGGCACACCCCTGTGGGTATGGATGGCCATTGATGACCCTCTATGGCCCATTTCAACACCCTTTCCGCTCTAGTGTCAAATTTGGGGTTCTGATTGAGGCGCATACTTCATGTCGCCACAGCCAACAAGGCTAAACTTCGTACGACTCACACGCGAGAAAGGGACGTGGGACATCGAGCTCAGGGCCTTCTGGGTGCGGATATGCCATGCATCCCGATAGGTTGGCCACCCTGCTAATGCATCTGTAGGCCGCCTCAACAAAAGGGTGTCGTTGAAATGCGCTCAATGCACCCAGGTGGGCTTTCTCCTATGTCAATCTCTGCCGTGCTCGAATATGCCTCGTCCAAAAATGGCCCAGACACATGGGGGATGCAGTCTGAACCCTGCACCGCAATAGCCGATCAGAGCGAGCTGCTCCCTGCACTTTCCATCAAGTCAGGAAGTGGATGGAGAGGTCCCTCTCAACACCACTCAAGGGTTTTAGTATCGTCTACCACCAATTCTCTCTGCGTTCCGGAACCGAGATGGCCGAGACCAAGAAATAACGACTCATGTGACAAAAGGTTAGGTACTCACACAGGACTCAGTCTTGGTAACAATCGTCATGAAGACGAGTGATGGGCAGTACTGGAAAGTGTTATCCAAATGCTCGACGGCTCCTGATCTTCCACATCTCCATTTTCCCCCGTTTATCCAATCTGATTTCCTGAGCGATACCTTGTCATTTGCTGGTTCACAACAACATACTCTAGGTAATCTGTTTTCCCTCGTCTTCTATCAATCTCCAACACAAGTGGCATCCTCTAACACGAAAATCCCGATACACACCGCAATCTCTGACCACTTAACTAAGTCGATGTCAACATCGGGCTTAAATTCATGGTCCCTTCCTTACCCCTTGGCACCGGCGGCTCTCCTGCTCTGAAACATACTCGAATCCACGACCACCACTACCTCGGAAGGATGAAAGCAGACAATAGAAGGACAGTCACTGCGACATCCTATCGCTCCAAAGAGTAATGAAAAGGACGACAGTTGGTAGTGCATAGTCTAAATTTGTTTCTTCTGTGCTTTTTTCGTCACTCAGTGAGCGATCTACAGATGGGCCTTCAGTGCCAGTCTAGCGAATGTCATCTAGTCTATTCACGTAGGACGCTGCAATGGACACGATTCATGTCGACAATCCTGTTAAGGATTGAAGGCTTCACGAATCTCACTGGGCATTCCTGCAATGCCTCTCTCTTCCTCGGGATAGAGCACCACGTCGAACCAAGTCCTCAGGCCCACAATTCTTTCCTTTTCTGACTTTGCATCGACCACGACCTCCTTCTTTCCCTCACCAATCCTCCTCTCAATGACATTTCCTGACAAAATAACGGTCCCAATCGGCTTGGTCTTTGTCTCTTCGTCCAACAGGGGTTTCAACAATACCAATCGGTGAGTGAACCAACTCTGAGGATCCTGACTAGTGCGATAGTTGATAATCTCAAAGTCCTCAGGTAGCCATTCGAGCTCCGTGAAACAATATCCACCAGCCCAGTGGGGATGAGACTTGTTCCTGGTTTCGAGCACCCACAGGCATTGAGAAGAATCAGTGTTGGGAGCAATAGGACGGTAGGCCAGACGGACCTCAGCGCCAGGCACCGATGGGTAGACCAGGTCGGGGTCTTTGTCCAGCGGAAGAGGATGAATGGGAGATTGAGAACCGAACCCGACGTCGACCTGGAGCAATTAGCCACGGAGATGGACAAGAACCGAAAAAGAACATACGAGGTACTTCTGGTGGTTGAGAGTCACGATGATGACTTCGTGTTGCCTAGGCCCAGGTCAGCAATGGCAGGAATCGAGGCGGACGTTTGTGGGACAGCAGGCATACCAGCCAGCAAACCCTTCTGGATTTCTCCCATTGCCTTCCAGTGAATAACTAATTCGGGCACCGGTGACGTACAATTGATAGCCCAGAGACCTCAGGACGGCGGAGAAGAAGGTATTGTTCTCCATACAATAACCACCAAGTCTTCTCTCGACAATCTTATGAAACAAGGCCTCTGGGTCCAAGGAGAGGGTCCGATGCCATGAATAATGAAGAGCCACATTTCCCCATGGGTTGAAAGCTATCTGGCGGAGCTGGAGTCGGCCCAAGGCTGCCAATGGGTCCGCTTGGATTTCGGACTCCAATGTGGCTAGGGTGTACGACGGTTCTGGGGCGATCCGGCCCACGTATTTGGCCAGTTGCTCGCGAGTGTAGGTAGGGCGAAAGGAGGGGGAGGATGGATCTGTCGATGCCGACACCATGGTGATGGTTGTGATATCAAGGCGTCAGTGATGTGAATTTTTTTACTTCGGGAATTATATGCAATGCGGGGTATCGATCGCCTCCGAGAATGATGGTGATATCTATATTCATCCACCCGTATGCGGAAAGAGAGCGTGGAAACCGAATGTTTTACGTACGTTGTACATCCTGAGGTTCTTACCTGATGAACAAACCAAAGTACGGGTCCAACAGAGATTGGAATACAAAGAGGTAGAAAAGATGACTAAATTGCAGGCGGTTGTGACGCCAGAGATGGGGTAGCGGATAACCCATCGATGATGCCTGTAGGATTTCATTGCAACCGGGGGGAATCCATGACCAATACAAATTGCTATAGCAAGCAACAGGGCATTTCAAAAGCCTCTCGCACGCTGTCTAGATTCCGCGGGTTTAGATAATCGATGAGTCAGTGGAGAAGGAGATGGAGATGGATTGTGTGAGATCGGGGGGCGTCATAAATCAAATAAGTTCTAGGCACCTGGTTCTGGAAACGGCGCAATGTACCTGGATTACAGCATCTGCCAAGTGGTGGCCTGGTTTCAAGCGTCTCGTTCAAGAGTGGCGAGATGTCTGCATAGGGGCAATTACTTCTCAGGTACTGAGAAGGCATCACTACTTATGACTATCAACTAGGTACCGTTTAGGTACCACTTTGTCGGCACCCTTGCAAACTCAGCACTTTTTCAGCAATTACCAAAGACCAGCTACGAGCTCCGCGATGGGAAAATGTCTAGAAAAACCCACGCATCCTCTCCTCCTTTCTCTCTTCTGTATCTCCCGGTATCAATCACCAACGTTGACCCTCCCTACCAACTACACCACCCAGACGTCTGCCTAAAGTATCGACTACCACCGTACTAACACATGGAACCCCCCCTTGTTGAACTCTCTCTGTGCCTCTTTCCAAGCCACAATTTCATCATACAGTGGATATGAACTCCTAACCTCATCAATAACCGTCACTCTGCTCTATGACCACTGAGACCACCATGAAAGACACACTTCGCCAAAAATCTGGGAAGACTGGCTCCGGGACCGAATTTGACATTACCTCCCAATTGAGGGAGCCTGTGTCTCCTAATCCCTGGACCAGCGAGACGCCCTCGACCCTCAATGGTGACACCACCTCCCGCCAGATATCAAAAGCTTCCAAGACTCCCCATCCTACTTCTCCTATCAGAAATGTTACCCCAGATACTACCCAAGCGCAGTCTCAATCTCCTCCACCATCCGGTCATAGATTAGAAGTTCCTTCTGGAGACGATGCTGCTAGCACCACTGACGACCCAGCAAAACCTGCTCGTCGAAGAAAGACCGTAACCAAAACACCTCATACTTTTGAACTGGAGGCTGATCTCAATCCCGTCAAACCCAAAGAGCAGTGTCCTCCGACTCCAATGGAAACCCCGAAGCAAGAAGGCCCGGCCCCAATACCTAAGAAGAAAAAGCGAGCATCTCAGCCCCCTCCGGCAGATCCAAATGCTCCTATCATGGTCAATGCCATCCCTTCAATCCAGCAAACTCCTCCTCCGTCTACACCTCCCCCGGCCGTTACCGAAACTCCAGTATCGACACCGAGACTGACTTCTGCTGCTCCTCCCCCCGCTGGTTTTCCGACATCACCCAAACCCACACCAGCAACCGTGGCTCCTGTGAATCCATTCACGAACCATCGGCCTAAAAAATCCCTCTCAGCATCCTCGACTTCAGTCGCAGCGTCCAATCCTTGTCGGTTCACCCCCCCACCTCTGCCCAAGGAATCGTTTTACGGCAAAGTCATTGTCTTGACACACGGTGCTAGTCAAACTGGGCAAGCTTTAGTGCGTCAGTTCCACGCTGCGGGATCTCGTGTCATCTTTGGGGACACCAATAGCGGCCAGGCTCGCAAACTGATCAGTTCACTGGGACCCCCTCATGTCGTTCATTTTAACAAATGTGACATGACCAAGTATTCTGACATTCTCGACTTGTTCAAACTTGCCACAACAATGTACGGGCGTGTGGATCACGCCGTGTTCGGAGTCGGGGACGATGGCGGTCAAGCTGTTAGTGTCGGCGAAGGCGAAAAGGGGTGGTTCGAAGATAGGGTCGGCGTTGGCAAGACATTCCGCACGGCTTGCACGGATGTCGAATCTGAACCGCCGGGTCTTGGTGACGTACTTACCGCGAGCGTCCGGTTTGCTCGTATCGCGATGGCATATCTCAAATACTCTCCAAAGTCGAAGAATTCCAAGAAATCGGTGGTCAATCCTTATTCGACAAACCAACCCGATCCTACTCCTCCTGCTCCAGCAAAAGATGACCGAAGCCTGACTTTGGTCACGAGTATTTCCGCCTTCAAGGAAACACCGCTCCTGCCCATATATCAAGTCACGCAGCACGCGATTTTAGGGCTGGTACGCAGCTTACGGACCGCAGTCGACCCTGATCCTGAGCGGGATGGGGTACGCATTAATGCTGTCGCCACCAACATCATGGTTCCACGTGCGAATGCTCAGTCCGGAGGCCGTATGTCAGTACAACTCCCACCCGACCGGCCCGATGATGTCGCACGGGTGATTGTAGGGGTCGTGGCGACCAATTCTTCTACTTCCATTCCAACCGAGGCCAGCAGTGAGACGGGCCTCACGCATGGAAGCGGTATTTGGTACGAGAAGGGCTTGGAACGCGGTATGCGGGAGAAGTACCTTCACGGCCGCGTCATTTACAGCGTGGGTGTTGATTGCTGGGATGTTCAGGAGGGTTTGGATCGCAGTGAACCCGTATGGATCGGCAGTCGACCGGCCGAGGTGCTAGCAAAGAGTATGAGTGGCCTGAGTGTCGTTGATCAAGAGGGTAGTAGCTGGATCTTGGATCATTTTTGAGATACTGTCCAAACAGCACCTGTTGGACATTCGTTCTTGGAATGTGCATCTCGGCCAGTTGAAGTTATATGGTATTTTGCGCACACAATAACCGGGAAACGGGCTAGAATCCAGAAGATCACCCACTCAGCGAGTCCCAGAGCCACTCGTTTCAAGATTTGCATGTAGAGATATATGGAGGCCAAAAGTTTATCGCAGTTTTTCTTCACATCCCAGTTCACCGTAATCATGGGTTTTCTCTCTTGTTTGGTGACATTTGTGGTGACGACACTGAAGATAGTGGGCTTCATCATTCATGATGGAATATAATTCATGGAAGACGCCACCCCCTAAGCACGCCTTGGGAGACTAGTGAAAATATTGCAAGTACCAGAGGGAACTGGTCCATTTCGCAAGGCTGAGATGTCGGAATCACAATAGGAAGCGTAGCAACACCCCGGAGGGCCTATCAACCAAGCTCGAACGCGGAGAATGGTGACAAGATCTGAATCCCAGAGGAGATGAAAGTACTTGTTGAAATATGAAACGATATTCCACGGGGGTTTTTGTCATCCCCGCGCCATTAAAGACTTGCAGGGTCTCTCGACCTGAACACGCAGATTTCCTAAGGAATATACAAACTGGCGTTTGGTAACTCGTGACACCGGTATTTAGGAGGCTCAAATTCCGGTCGATCGTTAAGCCACGATTGCGAGGTGTCATTTTTGCCCTGCGCTTCCCCGTAAATCTTCCACCCTTTTGTTGGACACCTGCCAGATTTTGTCGACTTCAAGTTCTTTGGGGATCAAATTGGGACGACCGAAATGGATCCAAGCCTGGAGGACTTCAAGCTGCGGAAAGATCCTATCAAGATGCCCAAAGGGTTGAGAATCATCCCCCGTTCTTTGCCCAGGTACTAATGATGTAAGTAGGGCCAAAGTTGAGATACTGCCCCGATCAGCACCGGCAAGGTTCTACCTTCCCTTGAATATAGCCTTCTACCTATGCTTCGCGTCGCATCTTCTAGCAGCTCTTTATGCTCCAATACAGGATTGCGATGAGACCTTCAACTATTGGGAACCTCTGCACTACCTTACCCACGGCTACGGACTTCAAACATGGGAGTATTCTCCAGAATTTAGTATTCGAAGCTGGGCATACATCGCTATCCATGCCCTCCCGGTCAAACTTGCCAAAATGTTGGGGCAATCAAAGATGTTCGAATTTTACGCTTTGCGGGTCTTGTTGGCCTTTATTTGTGCGGCCACTGAGATTCGTCTATATTCGGCCATATCGCGATGCCTCAATCCAAGGATTGGAGTCATTTATCTCATGATCGTTGCCTTCAGTCCTGGTGTTTTTGGTGCTTCGTCTGCATTCCTGCCATCCAGTTTCGCCATGTACACATCCGCTCTCGGAATGGCATCTTTCATGGACCGGCGCGGTGGTTCCAAAACAACAACTGGCATCATGTGGTTCGGGATCGGTGCCCTGCTAGGCTGGCCGTTTTCGGGAGCCCTCATTATTCCGTTCGTCGTCGAAGACGGGATGATTGCATCGGTGGGCCAAGGCGATCTCTTCGAAACATTCCGACGATACCTTGATGGTTTTGTACGCTGCTTGATCGTTCTGGCATTACAAGTCAGCCTCGATAGCTTTTTCTACCATAAGTTCACTCTTGTCCCCTGGCGTATTGTGGCCTACAACGTTTTCGGTGGCAAGGATCGTGGTCCAGACATATTTGGAACAGAACCTTGGGATTATTATGCTCGGAATTTGCTTCTCAACTTCAATCTGTGGTTTGTTCTGGCGGTCATCTCGGGGCCTCTCTTCCTCTTCCAGTCAGTCATCTTGGGACGGCACACCACGAATCTCAGGACCCTTACAGTCCTCTTGCCATTCTACTTATGGCTCGCTATTTTCACCGTTCAGCCTCACAAGGAGGAGAGGTTCATGTTCCCTGTCTATCCTTTCCTTGCCTTGAACGCCGCCATTGCTTTTCATTCGGTTTTGGTCTGGATTGGTTCGACGGATTCGATCGTTTTGGGTAGAGTTCCGGCTAAGATCAAGCTGGCGGCCACTTTGCCAGTGGCATTCCTTGCCATAAATATTGGCTTGCTGCGTATCTTTGGGACGGTTACCGCATATCGGGCACCACTCCAAATATATGAGGCTCTTGAAGTCTCCAATTCCACCCCGAGCGTGGATACGGTTTGTTTTGGCAAGGATTGGTATCGCTTTCCTTCGTCATATTTCCTCCCCAACAACATCCATGCCAAATTTGTCAAGAGCGCGTTTGATGGTCTACTTCCGGGTGAATTTCTAGAGGCAAAGACGAGGTTTGACTTCTTTCCCGGCACGCGGTCGGTGCCTTCCGGAATGAATGACCGAAATCAAGAAGACCCAGGGAAATACATCGACATCAACCACTGCACGTACCTAGTCGATTCGTACATGCGCGGCATGGAAGCGACCGAACATGAACCACTCTATGTTCTGGATGACAAGTGGGAGAAAATCTCTTGCGCCCCATTCCTGGATTCTGCAGAAACTGGGTGGGTCTCCAGGACAATTTGGATCCCTGACCTTCCGTTCATTCCTCCAAAATACCGTCGAAATTGGGGAGAACATTGTCTTTTACGCCGGAGTCAGGCCTGGGACAAAATATCAGGAGACGTGAACTTACCAGGCCAACACGAGGACGATGGAAGGTTGTAAGATGGTCATAACATCAGACATCCCTGTCTATGCGAGATAGCCCGGTTTTGTCTCCGGCAGAGAGTGGTCGCGGTGACATGCCACATTGAGTTCAACCGTCCACCCTTGTGGAGACGCGATCCCCAAACTGGCAATGTTGTCCAGGAAATCTCGACCACGCAATTGGTCGGTCTCAATATCAGCTTTGCATCCGTGGCCTATGATAAGAATCCGAGGGCCGGTTGCGATAACACTCGCATTGCCAGTGGAAATCTGGGGAGAGCATGTCGGTCCTTTTCTTTCCGGCGGATCGGCGCGTCGAATTCAGGAAATGATTCCTTTTTTTAATATATATATTCATTCCTATACGTGGGTGATGTCTCTGGTGTCGATTTTAACTTGGTCGATCCCACTCTTGTGTAGTGAGGGGGATTCTCTGATATTCTCGCTTTGTCAATATGGCTTCGGAAACACTCAAACGGTCGATCTCAGACCTCATTGCTCGGTCACAGCCATATGTCAAACAGGCCAACACTCAGCTCCAAAAGACCCAACATCACTGTTCGTCGGTACTAAAAACCGCTCAACAAGATCTTCATACACTCTCCCAAAATCCTCATTTCAGGGAAATTCTCTACGCTTTGACCCTTTTGGCCTTCATCACCATTGCTTTTTCACGATATCTTTCTCGACGCCACCAACAAGCCGCCAGCACAAGACCCTCAACACCAACGATTGAAAAAGCTTCCTCCACAAAACCCACGACTCCAGCGCGCAAACCAGGAACATGGACGCCATCGTCCTTCAAACGACCCACCCCACCGGCATACGATAACTGGTCCATCGAGACCACCAAACCACTCCCTTACCGTCCATTCCGCTACGGCCCCAAGTACTTCGTAACAATGGGCCTACGACAGGTGAAATTTGATGACTGGATCGAGCTGGACAACCACTACCCGCGCTACCACAGTGATAAATCTCGACGGATCCTCGAACGCGGTAGTAAATGCTGCAAGACGGCGCCCGAAGCATACCCTGCAGCACTGGAGCTGTTAGAAGAGCTCCGCGAATACCTCGCGGACCGGTACCCAACTCTGTACCAACGCACCGAGACCGGGCTTAAGAACCTCTGGTCGGGCGAGGACATCGACACCACATCACGCCCACTGCCAGAAGACCCCATGCAAACATGCGCGCGCCTCGTGCAAGACGACCTCGCCATCATGATTGAACGGCTTGATGGCCAATACTACCTGCTCGCCGGCGCGATATTGCTCCCTGGATTCTGGCGCCTCGAGGACAAATTCGGCATGCCCTTGTCCGAAATCCACACGAGCGGCGACGTGCCACAATTCCGCGAAAAACTCGAAAAAGGCATGATGAACTTCTTCCGCCGCCTGAAACCCGAAGAACTCGTCGCGCGCAATAATTACTTTCTGCAGGTGGATGACGACCTCGCGTGGTCGTATAGTATTGGGCCGGAAGACTCGGACGGCATCAGCTGGAACACGGCGGAGAAGAACCGTGCCATCGAACATCATTATTTCCGAAGCGAAAGGCAGACGCTACGCCGCCTCCCACGGTCTGGCGGCGTCGTGTTTACTATCCGTACATACTTCCACCCGATCACTGAGATTGCGGAGGAAGATTATGTTCCCGGACGTCTGGCCAGTGCGGTGCGTAGTTGGGGTGACGATGTCAGTCGGTATAAAGGGAAAGAAAAGTATCAGGATGTTTTGCTTGAATTTCTGGACCGGAAGCACAAAGAACAGTTGGACAGGGGATTAAAGTTGGAAGAGGAGGATGGGAGGAGGAGTTATCCTTGGTAAGAGTTGAGCCTCGAGCTGTCCTGCATCGCAGAGACATGACCTTTCTTCCATCAATCACATGATGATCCCGTCCACCGAATTTCCAGAGGGGGTATTATTGCTGTTGTTGTTGTTGTTTTTTCTCTCGAGGAAAACGGATCAGAAAGAAGAGGGATCCCACCGAAAGCCTTTGTTTTCTTCATCCTATAGCAGCCAGTGTCAAAGGGAGGCGTTAGATTCACACTATAGCAGCCATATGAACGACTGAATTGTCGAGTTGAAAGTCTTCACTTCTTGTAAAAACTTCTCCAGCAAAAGGGAGATACGTGGCCCAGCTTCGAGGATATTTTCACATGATGCGTCGAAATCGTGCTGAGGGCGTGAAAACAGTTGTTGATTCTATTCCTGGCTCTAAGATGACCAAGCTTGCATGGTCTATGCTGAAATTCAATATGCCTTACCCACTTGTCATTCAAAGTATGGGTTCACGCCAACCTTCCCTTAGCAACGGGAAATGGCATATCACTGGTGGTACATCAGGGCCCCTTCTGAACTCATGGCTTCGATCCACCGTCAGGTCGGCAAGAAGAATTCCAAATCTACTAAACGCGACTCCTCTTGCCAGCACCTTGATTCTCGCCATTAGTCTCCCTGTTCTTCCTCCGCTCCTCCGCTTGACGAACAGCGAGTTCATCCCTTTCGAGGACCCAGGAACATGTATCGCGGAATTCGCAGACGCGACATTTCCAGGCATCGTGGGCCTCGACGCCTTTGGGTTCGCGCTCACCACGCCAGAGCGCCAATGCGTCGTAGAGGTACGATTTCAAGAATGACGGGTTGAAGATGACGGATTTGCTGCCCAGTATGTGCGACTGGTCGGAATCTGAACGTGTCGTGTAATTTGTCGAGATGTACCGTGCGGTAAGTAGGGGTGAAAGGCGGGTTGGGAAGGATGGCGGTGTGGAGAGTTGCGAAAGTGATTTAGGAGTCGAGGAAGGTATGTCCGCATTCTGTGAGTCTGGGTTGGAGTTTGGATTGAGAATTGAACCTGAGACGGAGGGAACTTTGAACGTCACTCTGAACTGCTCTAGCATGAACTCCCAGAGCGAGGCTAGGTTGTTGTGCTGGAGCAAGATGTCCATTGAATCCTGGGTCGAGGGCACGATATCCTCGTTCTCGATAACACCGTCGACAGGCTCACTCTGCTGTGAGGTAGTCAACTCGAAGGCTTCTCGATTGAGACTCCCGATCTGCACTATGAAGGCATCAGAGAATGTTTCTTGGACGTTGAAATCGTAGCGCGTAGCCAGTTGAGCGAGAGAGAAGTTCCCTTGCGCCAGGTTCTCGAGCATGTGATGGTAGAGATGGAGCTGGACAATTGTCGGACGAATGCTGGAGCCAGAGGGCAACGTCGAAGTTCCTCGTGTCTTCACGTCTGTGATGTAGATTCTCCTATCATCCTTTGGCCCCTTGCTCCCTCGTGATGCACTGGCCTTGAAATGATTATTTCCCAGCACATCTTCGATCGATTGACCGACTTCTTTGGTCTCGCTGGTAACAAGATAGTCTCGTATACTCGCCTGATATTCCGGTAGTGGAGGCTCAGACTCCGGTTGGAACAAGAGCTTCAGACTCTGCTCTTCGAGTTTGGGATCTGGACAATCATAGCTGAGCTCATCAATGACGCCGTTGACCAGCTCCCCTCCGATTGATCCCCAGATGCCTAGTTCTCGCGTCCTGCCTGTCTCTCGAAGTGTTCTCAAGCCTTGGATTATATTCCATATCCGTAGTCCCCAGATGTCTTCTTTCTTCGTGATGGCCACAGGGACGGTCACATGGACTTCATCTTCGAGAGCTTGGTGGATAGCACTTCCTTGTTTCATGGCAGGAGTCCTTCTCTTGCGCCCATGTTTGCTCAAAACGTAGAGGTATTGCAATTCGCACCAGGCAGGGGAGATCAGATCGGTGACAGAAAGTGGCTTCTTCGGTGGTTGTCTGAACCGTTCAAGTGGGGATCGAGTATCAGGTTCAGATGAGGGCGCATCTCGTTCGACTGCTGCCGGCGTTTCTTCGCATTCCGTCTTGAGATCGTTTCCATTGCCGTTAGTCCTTCTCGCTTCGGCTAATCGCTGGTCAGCTTGTCAGCGAGACAGGGTGACGGAATTTCTGGCATATCACTCACCACTCTGGTCGCGTACGTTCTGATTGCCGTGTGACTCTGAAGATTGAGGTTGATCGACCCATTGGCGCGTCGCTGCAAGACCAGGTACCTGAGGCAAACGAACGCCTCGCGGTGCTTCATAATCCTCGATGTCTGTGACCACCAATGCCGCGTGTTGACCCTTCGCGGCTGCTTCGAGAAGTAGTCGGTCAATTATCTTGAGTTCCTCAGGATCCTCTGCAAAGTCACTGTATTCATCCTCGTTCTCTTGCGCTCTCTTAGACTCAATTGTGTCCACTTGCATGTGCGTCTCTTGATTTGGTGGTTGATCCAGGATGTTCGACATCACCATTGTCAACACACACTCACTCCAGCTAGAAGGATTCTCGACCGATGATCAACTTCATGCTCGGCTTCACTTGGGAAATAAATCACCCACGACATAACACCGACTTCCACGCCTGAGGTAAAGTCCCAATTGTGGAGTTCTGCCTGATTTTCACTCTAGAACGCGTCGCGGGTGGACGGAGGGAGAGAATGCAAAACAGCCAAGGCAGGAAGCATATCCAATACTTTGTCTACATTCTAGATATTTATGTCTACACTTGGCAATCCCTAGGTCATCTACATCCCAAAACCTGTCTGTCTATTGGGCATTGCCATTTTGCCCATCCTCGATCGCCCAAGAGCGCTCTCTCAGAATCTGCGCCATCCATCCTTTCTTTTCCCTTGTTCTATGTGATGGACACCCTCGCCAAAGCAAGCCAACTGTTTTGAGAGCCGTCCGTCCTCATTTTACCACTGTGCTTTCTGGAACGACAGGTCTGCTCATAGTGTCTGTAGCCAATTCGATTTTCTCTTCTTTCCTATTAAGATAGCTCAAGTATGCCTGCCACGCGACGGCAAAAATGCCCGAAAACATGAATCTGTACTGCGGCATGATAAACCAAAAGCTGAATGCGGTGACTGCCGGCCACAATTTGAGTGAGTTGACGACGCTCACAGGCACAGCGGCTTTGACTCGTGCAATCACACCCAATATCGGTTCTCCAGTCAAGAGTGCTTGCATGCCGAAGAAGTAGGTATTGAACACTGGCGCAAAAACTGCTTGATTTACTAGGACTTTGGTAACGATAGACGCGAACTTCGACGAGAAATTGAAGTTTTGGCCTAGGAATAGGAACCTGCTCTTCCCATCAGGAACTGAACTTTTCTGTACTTGTTTCTAACAGGGAAGGGGGGGGGGGTGCATCCAGTCCCAATTTTGCATCCAACACATACCATTTGTATCCAGGAATTGCGGCTATCGCACCGATCGTCAACATTCTCAATGTTCTCGTAGGATCATACAGTTCTCCTCCAATATCCTGCGCCAGCAGATCACCACACAAATAGGTCGTCAGAGTCGTACATAGCTGTACAGTGTATGGTCTTTTCACTTGCGTGCGATGGAACCAATTGAAGAATGTAGACACCGGGCCCAGTCGATGGTACCACAGTTGGATAGGAACGTCGAGCGGTTCATTCTTTGCACTTTGGATGGTCACTTCGTTTGGCGGGTGTGGAGGAGGATTTGACGAATCTTTGCGCGCAGTCGAATTTGAGGAGTTTCTCGGGGCATGTTGAGATCGAGGCCGGGACACTCGTACCCAAGGACTTCTGGCACCAAATATGAACGACGCTCGCTGCAAAGGAATCATTATCAGTTCAGTGCCATGTTGTTGACTCAAGTTTTCTGCGCCTCTATTAAAGGCATCTTTCTCTCCGTAAGTCTGGTCCACATATCGGAACCCATTGGAGGCTGGAGGGTTTTCCGCAAAACTGTTTGCCGAATTCGGCTGCAGGTCCCATGCCCGATAACGCCCCTTAGGCACCCTACCCCCCTAGATTATCCCCCTGCGAACTTCTCTCACTGCATCCCTAAGCCACTGCCAAACATATGACTCACCCTGAAGCGGCGACAGCACACACCCGATGACTCGGCCAGAATCTTGCTACGGTTTCAAGCCCAGCATGACACAGGACTCAGAAAACATTGTAGAGCTTTCGTGTTTGACATGATGGTATTCAACGTCTATCTGATCTCAGCGCATTCTCTGCTGTCCATGTCATGTCTGCATGACGTGGGGTACTACTGCTGATGTACAAGCAGGAACGCCGAAAAAGCTCCCATAACCCCATGATTGATTTGTTTAATACAAGCCATATGATTCATTCCCGTTTCGCCGGTGCAACTCATGAAAACCTCCATACCCATCATGACCAACTTCCTCATGATTGACCCACAGTAATTTGGAGTGAAGCCGGTGTTCAAGTCATCTAAGATCGTTCACCGCGGAGACGACGAGCAAGCTGGATGTCCTTGGATTGAATGGTGACACGCTTGGCATGGATAGCGCACAAGTTGGTATCCTCAAAGAGGGAGACAAGGTAGGCCTCAACTGACTCTTGAAGAGCGCCGATGGCAGAGGATTGGAAGCGAAGGTCAGACTTGAAGTCTTGGGCAATCTCACGGACGAGACGCTGGAAGGGAAGCTTGCTGTTGGGACCGTTAGCTGAGATTCAGGCAGTAGAAATAAGGTTGGTATGACCGACCGGATGAGCAACTCAGTCGACTTCTGGTAACGACGAATCTCACGAAGAGCGACAGTACCAGGCTTGTAGCGATGAGGCTTCTTGACACCTCCAGTGCTTGGTGCGGACTTGCGAGCTGCCTTGGAGGCGAGCTGCTTTCTTGGGGCCTTGCCACCTGGGAGTGGAAGTCAGCGACGATGACCACCAAAGGCGACGATGAGGACAAGAGCAATCCTTACCAGTGGATTTACGAGCAGTTTGCTTGGTACGAGCCATGGTTGATGGTTTGATCGATGAAAATTCGAAGATGTGGTAGAGTGTGATGAAGTTGCTGAAGAATGAAGAGATTAGAGATGATAAGTGAGGCTGACAAGGAAGAAAGCCAACTGGCGGAACTGGGCGGGACGAGGAGGTATTTGTAGCCGGAAGGGAGCGAGGGCGTGGGCTTGGCGTGATCCAGACTTGCAGATTACACAAGTGACTGTATTGGCGCAGGCAGTTGTGTTGATTTTTTTGCAAAACACTGACCCAGATCAGGCCTGCTTGAAATGATCCGTGTTTGGGCTTCTTTTGGCGGCACTTTTGGCTGTGATCCCCCATGCTGCCCAAATTGGCTCCTGATCCCACGGCTTGGCGTACCACCTCAAGATCTGTCTCGGGCGCCTGCGACGCGATCCAACCCAGCACATGGTGTCTGCACCGCGCAATAATTGATAAAATTACCGTGCAAATGATCGCATGAATCACTTGTCTTTTCTGCGTGCAGGATCACTTTGGACGATGCGTGGTGGTCGAGAGATCAGTAAATCAGTGACGCGGCAGGCAGCGTTGGTGGTTGACGGTGCTAAATTCTGATTGGCTGTGATCTGGTGTGTGCAGGTTGATCTGGGAGGTACTGCCGGGGTGCATAAGTCTGTCCCCGCCGCGCTTCCCAATCAAGGTCTTCTTTCTCCCCTCTATCCAAAACATCCAACGAACTCTCCGCATCTACACATATTCCAATACTTCTCTTCACACACCTTCAGCTTTTCAAATCAAAATGACTGGACGTGGCAAAGGTGGCAAGGGCCTCGGCAAGGGCGGCGCTAAGCGTCATCGGAAGATCTTGCGCGACAACATCCAAGGTATCACCAAGCCTGCTATTCGACGTCTCGCCCGTCGTGGTGGTGTCAAGCGTATCTCTGCCATGATCTATGAGGAGACCCGTGGTGTCTTGAAGACCTTCCTTGAAGGTGTCATTCGTGATGCCGTCACATACACTGAACAGTAAGTCCAATATTGTCTACCGACTTGAGTGCCATGTGCTGACTCTTGGTTCAGCGCCAAGCGGAAGACTGTCACTTCTCTCGATGTTGTCTATGCTCTCAAGAGACAAGGCCGCACTCTCTACGGTTCGTATCCATGTTTCTCCACCACCTTGCTTTGCTAACTATGTCTAGGTTTTGGTGGTTAAAATGCTTTTTCACTCACTTAGATCATGACATTGTCCTGGCATGTTATGTTTGCCATCGTCCATGACATGACTGCCTAATTTTGGCTTTGAGTTCGGAGTGGTTAGGTACGCAAATGGGTTCTCAATGGGGTTGTAGGGTCATGGTTACGATGGGATGGCAAATCACAAGGCGCCTTGATGTATCATATAGGCACGATGAACAGCCTGGTAGGCGTTCACAGATGGGCTGAGCCATAAAAATATGCATCAGCCGTCATGAAATAACATTTCAAAGGAAACTTCTATTTGTGGTATGGGTGTCGATGACTCCATTTGCTTGTGAGTTCGGATGTAAACATTGGTTAGGATCGTAAAGTCCTTTTCGATGACCCTTTAGGTGAGGGCTTGAAGAACATTGCAGTGGTTCTCGTGCGGGTTGGAAAGCAGGGCGAGGTTATCATGGTTTAGAGCATGAGTCAATTCTGCCGTTGAAGGGCCTTTGCGGGATGACCGAAGTCATTGTTTGCGTTCAAGGTTCCTTCGCTGGTTGGCAGGAACGAATAGTATCATCAGTGCTTGATATGGGAACGCACATAGCCTGAGTCCTCGTGAATTCAATGTGTCGGTGAGCTATATGCGTCAATCAAGGCTTTGGGGGTGGGAGAAAAGCGTGTCAATCTTTCAAAGATGGATCGGCAAGCGATTTAGAAATATCGCGCGCAAATCAATTCACGTCAAGTCCGCCTGGCAGGTCAGTAAAGTCCAGATGCTTCGAGATGATCGATCTTGGTTCGAGTCTGCAATCTCCATTTTCAATCCTTATTTCTCTCGCAATTGGCGGATACGATTTTGCTGCATTCAGAGTGGTGGCCCAAGACACAAATTCTCCCCCTTCACTCGAACTTTCGCTCTCAGCTTTTGGACTTCCATGGTCTCTCGGATGCTGAATTCAGGGGGTAGGAGTAGCACTCATTGGGCACGAGGGAGTATGCGTTGCTCAAGAGTTCCGCTCATCGACATGGGGGGCATGCTATGGTCAGGCACGTCCAGCGCATCTATTCTTGCTGTGGGAAAACATTGTAATGTCGAGCCACAACCTGTGCATTGAAGAGTTCTTGTCGGCGACAATTGCCAGGTCCAAATGTTCTGAATGCTGATAAACCATGCATTTGGCCCCTGTCAGGGGTGACGAAGACTGAATTGCTTCTTGCATCGAAGGTCAATCTTGCCACCACCTTGCGACGTTCGTTACTGCCAATTGGGTAATTGTCACACTCAGCTTCCAGGAAAGAGCTCTCCAACATGCGAGGCTTGTGTAGCTGTAAAAATGTGTGAGCGAGAATGGAACATCATCTCCTGGCCTAACTCTTGGTCGGCAAAAAGGGGGTTTTCCCGGGGAGTGTAAGGCTCGTTCATATCAGGCTCGCGGATAAAAAGGGGATTTCAGCCTATGCAGCCATGCCAATAGCCGACTTGGGCAGTGCGAGCCCTGCGCGCCCGACTCGCTGATCTCGTTGGCGAAATGAAACATTCTAGCGAATTGTGCGACAGTGTGGCGAATGCGAGCCATTTGGGGTCTCTACATGTGTCTAGCAAGTCCCCCTCTAAGCAAGCTTGGTCGTTGTTTGCAGATTGGATGGGCATTTGTGCTTTGGGCCGAATTTTTTTTTTAAAAAAAAAATTCTTGGCGGGCAGCCTTCAACTCAGCCAAAAATTTTTTTTCGAGTGAAGCAAACAGCACATCCCACAGACATACAACTCCACGTTGTAAAGTACTGCCTCCCATAGGCCGAGATATGCGATACCCGTTACTTACAAGCCGATTTTATCACCATTGACGGATGCAGCCAATGTCGCGAGCTCAGATCGTTTCGGCACCCCCGTAGATGCAATGGCTTCTGGAAACAGGGAGAAGTCAGCATCGATTATTTGGACCATTACTTATGGCTTGATCGACCAATGCTGAGGGAACCGTTTTCACCATGGAAGTAGCTTTGCACACGAAAGAACCACCTCGTAACAGATCAAATCCAGCTCTCCCGAATTCCACAAGCGAACTGCCGTGGCGGGGGACACACCGTATGTTGAGCGCCAGCTTGCAGCAATTCTTACATCGGAAACGAACCACACGCACGGCACAAGATTTTAGTAGTTTTCGCGTTTCCGCTTCCACAAGTTGGTCTTCTCTAGAGGTGGCCAATCGCATGGAAGTGACCTAAGAATTTCATGCAATCATGTACCAATGGAAGCGACATGCGGTCAACTTATTGCGATTGCAATATGTCAAGCACAGCTACACGAGGCTCTGGAAGCCGGAAGGACTTTCCTGGATGGGTATGCCTTTACCTAAAGTACGGTCAACTGGTGGAATTGGGCTTCCATGAAGGGATACAGACCAAGTTCCACAAGAATGAATAATGCGGGGGTTGGTCGACCACATGGCGAGGGTGTGACAAGCCACAAGCGAGAATCCCTGGTGCCGCATTTCCGAAACTCAGCTTGATTCTGTCACCAAAAGGACCGGAAAGCGGAAACCGAAGTGCCCCGTAACCAGAGTACAATTGATGGCGTGCCACGGAATTGAAGCGTTCCCCAGATGCTAGTTGTGCAGCGGACAGCGGAAAACCTCTCTTCTCTTCTACCTGTGGCGATGCACTATTGCAGACCTTATGGGAACCCATCAAGCTGAGTGTGTGCTGGCGGCAACCACTTGGGATTTTCCTATGATCAACCGGTACGGAGGCACTGCTAGGCTCGGTAGTCAAACTTGCACGAAGGAAACAATCGTGGCTTTGCATGGCACCAATTTCCGAGAGCAACGAAAAAGTCTGTTTTGGGGGATATCAGATTGTTTCTCAATTCCTTCCTTATGTGGTCTCCACTAAATATTGGGCATCTGCCTTCCTATCCCAGTTAACCTTCCCGGGTAAATTCTCGAGATTCCAGATCAGCGGGGGCCCCCGAGGACAACCGGGTTACGTTCCGGTCTCCTCTGCTCTCCAATCAGCTCCACCCTGATCAGCCAACAAAGTTTTTCGTCAGCTGCAGGCCCGGCTTCTGGACCGCTGCAAGGGTGGTCTAGTTGGGTCCCAGCCTTACAGCCAACAGCCCTAAAGCGGCCAGGATGCTAGGGTGGGATGCAACGGCAGCTCGGCAGGTTCCTGCATCTAGACGAAAAATTCGAAAGTCTAGAAAGAAAATGGCGCTTCGAGCGTGGAGCCGGGAAAGATTCCGCCTTGAATTGAAACCACCGCTGAACACTTTGACTTGTCACTGGTCTTAGACCATGTCTCAATCACAGGCCGCGAATGGCCCAGATGAATCACAATCTATACGAGAGGGTTGCCGATCCTGGCGGCAACAGCTGAATCTGGCAAATGTAGACAAATGGACCCAGCCGGCGGAGAAGAAACTTTACCATTCAGATGTACCAGCTACCACGAGGCTACGTGGAGATCAGCACGGGGCCGTGCATCTATGCGAGGAACCAGCTCGCCCAGTCAACTTTGATTCACCTGTCCCAAAGTTACTCAAGTCACCCAACTCCGTCACTCACTCAGCTGATGTGCGACCGCGTGACCGATCTCTTCTGGCAACCCATTTGACGATGATGAGTTCAACCCTTGGAGATGGTGGTCAATCTGGATAACGTAAGTAACGGATACAAAGGGTGTGTTGAAGCGAGAGCATCCACGCAGAACATTCTCGGGAGTCCTCGGATGGTCGTCAGCAGAAACGCCGATCATTGGCCGCGCGGACCGCACAGCCACAGAGACATCGAGCCTGTGGTTGGACGGCGGCCCAAATTGCCAAGAGATGGATGAAGCTGGACGAAAATGACGGGGCCTTGTTCGGACCTATTGGTATGATACGGACGCTGTGACACGACTTCGACTCTTCTCACGGTGCCGCCGGCCGAATAGTCTTTTCCTTGACGTTTACTGCTGGAGGCTGCCGAGTTCTCAGTTATACACGTTTCTGCTGTGTAAAGTCGAGTCATGCTGCACTCCTGGATCGGATCCAGAGCGGCATTTGACATACAAGTATCCCATATCACTTTTTAGGGCAGGTGTAACCCTAGCAATCCTTGTTGAGCGCAACCCAGCAGGCATTGGGGTTGAGTCCTGACCGCAGCAAATTAACACGCTGCCTGGAAAGGGGGCTCGGGACTAACTATTAGGAGCAACTAGACCTGTTAGCGCCCAGCTGGGTATTAACCGCATACCTGCACGTCTGTCAGGTCAGAACGTTCTTTTTCGAATGTATTTGCCGAGAAAAACCTCGCAATGGAGGGGGGGGAGACACCCATGTCATCAAATACGTCACTTGCAGCCCGCAAAGCCTGCACCCTGCTGCGACGCTCGCTCACCTTCGTCCCCTCTGGATCATTTTTCCCTGCGGCGCTCGTTCCGGCCGAATCTTCTCAACACAAACTTCTATTATTCAACGCAACCATATCCCGAACACACACACCTCTCTTTCCGTTTTGCAACGCCGCCTTAGGAGAAGGTTTAAAAAAAAAATTTCTTATTTCCATTCTCCCAGAAAAGCCCATATTTGGTCGCTCCCACTCCCACATCGCCGATACCTCCGTACACTGCTCTTGAATCAGATCACCTGCTCAACAATCTTTCTATCCTCTTCGACTTCGGTCTTTCGTCAGCCCGACTGTGGCCGGAAATATTCAAAATTACTCTCTCGCGTATATACATTTGCCACCCGATCCTTCCAGTCCTGCCCTACGTTTCCCACTTCTCCGAGTCCACGTATACACATCCTCAACCGAGTCCTCTCCATCGTGCATTACCAATCTTCAATCAATCAACGCACCTGAAGATTTACACAACGGATATTATATCCTACTTTGATTTAAATTCATTTTTTCGCCTCCTTCATACCACTACACACTCTTGATGCAAACAACATCGACAACACCGTCACTCAGTCCGTCCGTCCGCATTCAACACTCCAGTCCGACCCCTGCTCCGACCTCTACGACGTCACAACCCTCCATGTTGGCCCAGAGTGCGCTGGTAGGAGGGTGGAACGACGCATACCATTCAGGAGGATACTTGAGCGCATTGCCAAAGAACTTCCAAGACCAAAGGTTTCATAAGAGAGACTCGTCAGGGTCGTCGGTCACGTCGGTTGGGCCGCCGTCGCCTCTCAACCAGAACACTATATACCCACACATCGTCGCCACATCTGACTCGAGTTTTCCGCCTTCCTACGACTTTGACTATACCCAAACTCCCCATACTGCCAAGTCAGAATCTGCCATGATGTACCCACACACCTTTGGCGCCGTCGATATGAGAAGGATCCAATCATCAGGCACCGACGAACGTACGCCATACACGTTGTCGGCGCCGCAATCAGTGTCGACGATGAGTCACAATTCACCCGCGACACCGCATACAAGTTGCGAGCCGGAGTTCGATGACAAGAACATTTATGGTGAGATAGCAATCATGAGCGACGACGAAATGTTCGACTACTCACAATTCGATTCAGGATATCCTACCGCCGCATACCAACAGTCGCTCCAAGATGTCTTTCCAGACCAGCATTTCCCTACCGGCATGGCCTATCCTCAACAGAATATGCAAAGAATGACGGTGGCCTCTCACCGACCAAACATGATGGCGGACCGACTTCAGGCGGCCCAACAAGATCATTTGCGAACCGATTCACCGACATCGAATCCGCGCGACAAATCGCCATTCCAACAAAACTCGCCTTACAATGTGCCGGCCAAAACACAACGACCACCACCCCCGGCGACTCTTCAGAAACAGCGCACGTCGATATCGCCCAAAGAGTTGATGCTGGATGAGCATGACATCGACGAACAGGCAACACCATTGTTTGGGGCTGATCAGTCTCGGTCCATGTTCGGCAACCGGAGAACGCCATCGAATCTTTCCAACTTCTACACTCCCAACATGGCGGCGAGCGACCCGTCGATGCAAATCTCTCAACAGTATCCATTCGTCAGCCAGTCAAATCAACCCACTCCCGACTTCCCGGCGCACATGCTATCAATGGAATCAACAGCGGAGGAAGGATCATCCGAACCTTCTAGTCAGCAATCGCTTCAAAGGCCTAGATCTCAAGCGCCAGCTGCGCCACAACAGTCAGGACAACGCCCCGTCGACACATCATCTGACTCGGGGACTTACTCATGCACCTACCACGGTTGCCACTTGCGATTTGACACGCCGGCCAAACTTCAGAAGCACAAGCGGGAAGGTCACAGGCAGACATCACCCTCGTCGTCATCATCACCGAACCTGGCCTTGCGGAATTCTCAGGCTGGCCCACATCGATGCGATCGCATTAATCCTAGTACGGGCAAGCCTTGCAACTCGATCTTCTCTCGGCCATATGATTTGACTCGACATGAGGACACCATCCACAATTCCCGAAAACAGAAGGTGCGATGCCACCTGTGTACGGAAGAGAAAACCTTCTCACGTAACGATGCGCTGACAAGACATATGCGCGTTGTTCATCCTGATGTTGATTGGGTTGGCAAGCAAAAGCGCAAGAGTCAGAAGTGAAGCGCTGTCTAGGCGCATATCGTCACGCGACTTAGCCAACCAACGCGGAATGAGCGAATTTGCGCAGAAAGGGGGGGGGGAAAAAAAAAAAAAAGAAAAAGAAAAAAAAAACCAAAAACGCTCCTACAATGGCATGGTATTTTTTCTTTTCCAATTTTTTTTTAAGTTGTTCCCATGTCTAGCTAGGCCAGGAGAGCCACGAAGAATGTATGACTATGCGACGGGAATTTTGCTTTTTGTTGATTGGGATGATTGACAAAAAGAGGGGGGCGTTGAGATTCTTCTCGTTGGTTTTCCTGTGGTTCAGCTCAGCGATGACGATGACGACATGAACGCCCAGAGACGCATAGTCAAAGCATGTGATTTGATAAATGCTTTTCCCAATCGGATTGGAGCATGGCGCAGGAAATGGGATTGAAGATACAGGCACAGGGGATTGGACAAATTGGTTACAGAAAATTGTTTTTTCCTTTTCATGAGAGAGGATTTGGAGATCCAAAAAGCACCGCACCAGGCATTTACCGATAGACTGTACCAACACAACACGTTGTTCTTTTTTGGAGTCTGTAAATACTTGGTCGTATGGGTGGATGATAATTGGATAGGATTGCACCCCTCGGGGAAGAGTGAACAAAATGTATGATTCATTGGATTTCAACATCAGATCTACACACTCCTGGCTACTGTTACATTCCTGGCTTCCTTTTCTTTTGTCTGGTAACGTCTGGAAATTTTCCTTACTGGCGGGCCCCAAATTTTGCGCAATTGAATTTTTTCTAGTTCCCTCACTTGGCCCCGGAGGGAATTGCACAGGGAAACATTTTGGGAATGACATGACGTCGTAGGCTGTCGGCCGTCGGTATTCGTGCATACCACTGCTGTTCGGTCACCATTTGTTTTCCGTCTACGTTCGAACATCCCCGAACATTGAGTGGCCTCCAGCGCCAGCCAGTGGTTACTGGCATCAACATTGAGAAACTTAAAATTGAGCTCGAACCCCGACCGAATCCGGAGTCCGTCACGCTGTTTTCAAGAGTGCCGCTATTGGCTCGTCTCCGAAAAATCGGAAGAGTAGGCCTGGGCATTACCAAACTAGGATTTCTCGGTTGCTGCGATGCGGTTTGTGGTCACGGACATGGAATAATAAAACGATAGATTGCTAGTGACTGAGAAGTCCAGGTCGTTGTAGGCCACAACAATAGTTGCTATATCGATTTAGCCTCGAAGTATCCCCATGAGCGTTGATGACATCATCATGCGGCCCCGGATCTAACCGAATTGCTTGATTGGGAAAACCTGGTTGACTTGCAGAGGGCTTTGCTGCTCAGCGCAAAAGCTTTGAAGCCTCAATTATGGACAATGCATAGCGGTGAGCAAACAGGTAGAAGCTGACTATAAGTTGACCAAAATCAACCCTGATGTTTTCCATGGAGAAAAAGGCAGTGTTAGATGCGGGCATATAGTGGACCGGGCCTGTCACTGTTGCCAGGCCCACAGTACACCGCTAATAGGTCATTATGAGATCAAGGCATTGCGTCGACGGGGGGTCGTGGACTCGCATCGAAAGGTCATCGTATCTGGGAGCGAAAATTCTCCTCCGCTTTTGTCAATCATGTCACTTCTGCTGAGAGGGACCTTCACAAGTTGAACTAGGGAGCGTACTATTGTGGCAAGTCCCAAAAACCACGATTCTCGACATTTGTTCATTGTTGAGAATTTACTGTACACAGATCAAACATGAGAAGGGAACGCTGTGTGGCGAGAAGGCGACGACATTGGACCACATGGCCGACTAGTAACTAAACCGAAATAGGAAAGTTTGTTCCACGCTTGTTTTTTTGGTCGAAGTTGCATTTCCCCTTCATTCTGGATAGGAGGTACTGATATATACCAGTTGCTAGTGCCAGTGTCAGATTTCGCGAGATAGGGTGCACGCCACCAATATTTCTGTGAAAGCGACAGTGTCGACACGGAAAACAGTTTTCTTTTTCTTTTCCACTGAAGGCGTCATGATGATGATCCGAAGACCAAAGCTGTCTATCAGGAAGCTCTTTCACTTTTTGGGGGGGGGAGGACAGAGAGCAGAACGTACCCAGATGGGCTAACTGGGGATCGACTCAGGTTCGCTGCTAAAGGGTTGGTTCGTAGAATGGTATCCGCAGCTGCTATTTCCTGTCATGAGTCCTGGAAGTTTTTCGTGGTTTCCCGTAGTTTTCACTAAATGACTGATATTCCTCCGTTATTGCAGGAAAAAGGTTACACAATGACGGGCCAACAGTGTACTGGGCTACCAAAACTAGTAACCCCATCCTTGCTTTTCAAACGTCAGCAGTGACGCCAAATCCGTACATGGATTTGCCAATTGAGTCTTTCTCTGATTGGCTTGCTGAGTTCGAAACATAAAAATGATCCAATGTCTTGCTGGCACGGAAAACTGACTCGGCATCTATACTGTTGAAAAGAGTACTCGATTGCGTTGAGGGGATTCGAGAAAAGATATTGACCTTTGCTTGCGAAAGTGCCAGTTGAAAAGGGCGTCTCAGGTGGAAGCCACTTAGATTGAAAGTCCTGATGGGTGACCGGTTGCTGAACAAAGTTTGATTTCTGAGGACTCTCTACGTGTAGTTCGGTTAGTAGCCCAGTACACAGTCATGTGCGGTGAGTATGAATTGCGACAGGACAAAAAAGATTATCAGGAGGTCGCGAGCCGAGTCTGCTTGGTTGGTGAAGGCCGATGAAAGGTTTTATCGTCGGATTATCTTCTGAACTGATCGCAAGCTCGCAAGGCTGGCCTAAGGCCCCAGTCGAGAAAACCTAAATAGTCATACTATGTATGTAGGCCTGTGCACATTGAGAAGATGATGAGGGAGAAAAATCAAACTTGCATCTTTGCGTCCGGAAACTTCCGGAACATCGGCGACAGCCTCACTTCAAGCCCTAAAAGGATTAAGTTGTGTTCAACTTTGATGCATCGCTTCTGCAAACGCATCGTACCAGCATTTAGAAAAAGGGTTTTATTTGAGCAGAGACAAGTCCCAGTGGAAACTGGCATTTGCGATTCTGTCCCACAAGTTGCGAAATTTGGAATTGTGGTTTTGAATTTCTCCGAACATGAATCGCCGAGCTCCTCGAATCGGGACGAGAGCAAACTGATTCTCGGAGTTTTCGTGCATTCGGACGATGTTCGGTTTGCAAAGGGATTGCCAAGCTCTACTGGAGTTGCCGCTTTAACAGGACGATTAAAGGAAAAACACTTTTTGTGACCTTTCGGCTGGAAAGGAGGTCTATTTCGCTATGGAATTTTCGGGGTCCACTCGAGGTGAATATGGGGTGTCAGCCTTGCCTTCAGGGTTGGTATCATATTCTGCAGCATGATATGATGATGGCCCGACATCGCTAACCAAACATAGCACGTGATGATACCCCGATATGGGAACGTTGGTGTAAGAACGAGCAAAGGAAATGATATTTATTCCATTTCGACGGAGAATCAGGTGATGGCCAGCCATACTACTGTCCAAGTTAGGGAGGAGGGACGGGATGTGTGAGTGAGATTCATTATCAACCAGCGTCTCTTTCGCACATCCTGATATGGGAACCATATGGATTTGGTTAGGCTCAGCTGACGCTAGCAACATCACAAAAGCTAAAACCTGGTGATCGAGTGGGATGTTTTCAAAGTGTGGTGATTATCGAAATGCCATGGGACCCGGGCCCCTAGTAAGGAGCACGCGGTTAGGATGAAGCGGCATACGAGGTTGTAGAAGGATCTTGCAGAAGTGTGGAAGACGGAAGGGAATGGGCCCGGTCGGCATGTGACTCTGACATTTCGTGTTGGTCTCCGCCAGACGAAACGTAGTCCCAAAAAGGCAAATGTAGAGTGATCCCTTTCCTGGTCCACTCCATGATCAGCTCTATGGTCTCCTCATGTTTCGTCATGATCACCAGCAGCGGAAATCTTGTCATGTAAAAAAACAATACACCAGGCATCAGTTTTTCGTTTGACATTTCAACTGTGGCGCAGTCTCTGTCGTATCAAGGCTCCCCCAGCTGTACCAGGCTTTGAAGATAAGTGCTGATGGCATATGGGAAAGGTCAAGCATTTCCCAGCATCGGTGCCCGACAAATCCAATGTCTCTCTTGTAGCTCGGTAAGCACCCATCGTGCCGTGCTGCCTTTAAATGCTTGATCCAGATTTCCAGCAATCACCTCTGCCTTTCGATCTCCATCTGTCAAATGCGGAACACGGAACATAGTCCATTCCAGCCCTTCATCCTTAGAACCCACCTTTATCACCGTGTCGGCGATAGCTTTCATTTCTGCATTGGCCTGAGGGGCCAAGAGCAAGGGTATCCAGGTGTAAAACCACCATTTCCACGGCATCGACTTTCTTTCGGCGGGGAGGCAGAATGCCGTGGGTGTGCTGAGGGCCAGGATCCGAGACACACCGCAAGACTTCATAGTCGGCAGGATGGAATTCGCGAGTGCATCCGCGATGGGATGAGACTTGTCCCGAGTGAACACGGCTTGAAGCGAAAGATAGGCACCTAAGAACGAAATCACTGCCGATACCGGCGAGAATGAGGGATCGTTAGATGCTGAGAGCGCAATTCTCAAAGCCTGACCATCGTTGAGTTCTCCCTCCACCATTCGAATGCCAGCCTTGCCGGTTGCCGAGGCAGGAATTTTCGATTTCGAGCTGGCGCGAACATACAAGGTCAGCGCGGGCTTCTGAGGCAATTCGAGCACTGCATCAATGAAAGCGAGGCCCGACCCACCCGTCGCGCCGAGGAGAAGAATATGGTGTTGCTCCATTGTCGTTGATTCTTGGCCGAGGAACATGGGAATTTCGGAACGATGGTGTGTGAATTCCCGATAGGCACCCTAAAGCGATGAAGAAATGTAGAGGTATTCCATGTTAATTGTTGTGCGCCCGTGGAGTAGTAGCTTTCCAACTAGAATTTACCTGAATTTCTCAGCCTTGCACATTTCGTCCGTTGGCGGCGCTTGTTTGCCCCGACATTGGAAGGAAACTATGCTCAGCATGACCATCATACTTTGACCACTGCTTATGAGAGTGGATGTTTGGTGCGTGTTTTGGTACGATAAGGTGTCAAGGTCCCACGTCAGCATGTTGGTTAAACCTTCATCGAATTCGTGACTGCAGCGATGTGCCGAGGACTTCAGAGATTATCAGTATCAGCATCACATGGGGGAGGCAGTCTTCTCGATGGAGTGGTCTTAGGTTCTACGTCCGAAGAGAGGCAACAGCCTGTGTCTTCATTCCGGCGAATCCTTCGAGCGTCAACTTACCATTTTGTACCATTTGACTCCATCTATGCACATGCTGCGAAACCTGGTGACAACTGTGCAGCATTTTTGTATACCCAGGGATGCCTGAGAGCCTCAGCTAGTTCATTTTTCCCGGCATCATACATTCAAGTTGGGTATACAGGCTTCCACACCAATGACGTCCTAAATGCCCACGGCGACAGCAAGTCAACAGTCGGGGATGCCTTGCAAGGTGTGATAACCGATTACTTATTCCTCTTGTTCTCTATCCGATTCTAGCAGTCGATGTCATTTGTCCCACGTTCTCGTCAAAGACCTTGGCTGGCTGGTACCGGCTTGATATTCCTGCGTGGTTCCGTCCTCTGTGGCCGTTTTCAATCCAGGGTGGTTCCCTCAAGTCAAAGGGTAGCCGCTGCTACACCCAATGCCTCAGAGTCAAAGACACGAGGCAACCTCAGACTGGACGAAGTCGGACGGGGCCAAGAGTATGGGAACTTGCTGATACTGGTCCCGGGCAGAATTATGTGGAGGTTTCTGCGCTGCTCGTCGTGTTCGGTGCCTGTCGGCTATTGATGTTTATAAAGACCAAAGAGTAATTCATCCATTAAAAGTCATTGTGTTGATGACGGGTGATCTCTCAGAAAGTGGCAAAGTTGTTCACACTGTTCAACATGGTACCCGAAAAGACACGGCCTTTCATTGTCAGGTAAGTGCAGAAGTATCGACACCGAGAGATCGTAGCCGAGTTGGGACATGGCGACAACGTGATGGATGATAGAATGGACATCTCATCCCCAGCGGGTTGCGAGCAGAATGATTCTCTTGAAGAGAGGGATGTATCTTGTAGAAATCTGGTCGTCAAATTCAGGCAGGTTGCCACAAACCAAAAAAAAGAACGGAGCTGGGGTAGGTACCGCGTATATAATGCTGGAAGACCATCTTCTTCGAGATCAAGTGAGGGAAAAAGTGGAGACAAAGATGGGACCAGAAATGGAGATGTGAAAGCAACAAACAAGGACCAGACCTGATTTTAATACAGTATACATATTTTTTCCCTAAGAAACACCTAGACAAACTCTTTCCCTCCAAGACGTCAGTCAGTCATGTGTCGGCATGGAAAGGAAAATGAGATCCGTCCACCACATCCACATGAAGAGGACATCTGGAAAAGTTCTTCAAGAATGTTTACCAAGTGGTAATGATAATTGAGGTAAGGTGTCGATTCAAGTAGATCCGGTTGACAAGGCTAAGTGAGGTAAGGTAATAGGTAGATTTCGTTCGTACGCGTTGATTGGTCCTTTCCACCCATCGATTCCCTGTCAATTACTCAACATTACCCTTCGGACATCATTCCCAACATCGCTTCCTTCGAGAGTATATGCGGGAATTTTAAGAGAAAGTTGTCTTGAGTGTGGCGCTAGAACCCATACCACCACATCCGCCCGAAGGTGCTCCGGCGTAAGTACCATAGTTGGCACCAGGTTGAGATCCGTTCTCGCAGTTCTGGAGGATATAGTCGTACATGCAAACATCTCCGCTAGAGCAAACGAAGACGCAGGTATCCATGTCACTGGTGCAGGAAGGCCCGACAATGCTCATGGGGTGGCCGTTCATGTTGACTTCACGAGAGACATCAACCACACCATACTGACCGAAGGTGAATTCACCCCAAGTGTTGGAGGCCTGGCCATTGACGAGCTGAGTATCGGGGTAGATGGCAGTCCAAGCACCAGAGGCTCCATCAGCAAAGGAGGCCCAGAGAGACTGGCCGGCAGGAATGGAGGCAGTGATGGTAGGTTGAATGACGTTGATCCATGAACCAGCAACTCCCCAGACGACAAGGATGAGGTCCTCGCCGGACTCGTTGACAAATTCGTTTTGATAAGGACCATCGGTGCCCAACCAGGCTTGTCCATTGGCCACGGCAGAGTTGATACCAAGGGCTCCAACACCCAAGGCGGTGAGTTTGCCGGCATCAGCATCAGTTAAGGCGCTGTCACGTTTCCTGTGTGATATCTGTCAGTTTGCTTTCTATATGACCCATGTCTTCGTGAGATCTTACTCGGGTTGGATGTGGTCGTGTTTGCGCGCATGGCTGTGAAGGGCAGAGTGAACATGACCCATGGTGGCAGCGTATGCTTGGCCGATTGCCAGGGTGGCCAGCACCAACGTCTTCATTGTGTAGCGCATTGTTGTATCTTGTTCTGTTTTCTCTCTCTCGGTTCGGTTCAAGAAGAGATATTCGATATGGAGTTGTCGCCGAGAAAAAGGAGTGATTTCACAGGAGGGACGATCTCAGATCGAGTCACTGGGTAACGAGCGTAAAGGGGGAGGAGGGAGGGAGGGAGAGAGCGACGGAAGCAAAACGTGCCTTTCGCGTAAAGGAGTGAACGCGAGGAGAGGCTGTTAACGGGTGGGAGAATGAACGGACGGCGTCGAGAGAGAGACGTCTGTGAGCAATATAATCAATCCGAACAAGTGGTCGGCGCGAAAAGAAGGAGAGAACAGGCCAAGCAAGCAAGAGGTGCAACAACAGGAGAGGCTCATAGCTTCGGAGCAACAAGACCCAATTGGCATGCTCTACCGGGGATGGCCCCCAGTGGTGAACCGCGTACGACGGCCCCAGAATTCCCCTATTACTACCCTGGCCTCTTGGGTCATTTAGGCTCTGGGTCCCGCCAAAATGAAACACCCTAGCCTCACGTAAACCTTTGCCAATTTCCTGGCGCTTGACGAATGGCGTGGACTGTTTCTCTCGCGTACCTGGCACCAATTCGAGCTTAAACCCTCGCCGACGTCAAGCCGCGTCTTCGAACCGAACTCGAACATTGGCCCTCATTTCGGCACCAGATACTTTGACAACAAGAAGGGACTGGGACCGAAAAGGTATCTCAGGCTGCGTGAAAAATACTTCTTCAAACGACTCACGTCAGCTCCTCGAATGTGGCAGATGTACAGACCCGCTGCAGTGCGAGACGTGAATGCTAGACCAGTCCAGACATTTTTTGTTCTTGGTCAGTGCAGCGCCCTTCTCGGTCTGCTAGGAAGAGGCCAGGCAAAAGTCCAAGAATTGCCGCCAACACCACGCCAGACTAGATGAGAACCCAGCATTGCCGATGGCGGATGCATCTTCGAGGCCAAATCTTTGACATATTCTAGGCTAAGTTGGCCAATGATATTCAGACTGTTGTTCTTTTACCAACCACCTGAAAAGGGCGGGGGTTTGACAATGCTTTTGCAGTTCAGATTTCGAAACTTTGATTGAGATGGTTTGAGAATTCCGCAGGGTCATACCATGATGCCGGGAAGTTCGCTCTCTACTGAGGGATGGAGTCATTGTCCCAAAACAGGTTTTATTGCGAACTTGGACAAACATCAAAATGCAAGAACTGCCACTGAGGCTATACATATCATTGGCGCATTGTGTCTTCCGTTGTCCGACCCTTCTTGGATTGACGTTTCACTCAAAACACCGAAGCTGCTATCCAAGGTACAGTAACCGCAGCGACAGTTGCGTCGTATTGCAAAATTAAGACAGCGCATTCCCCCGTGTCGGGGAGGCAAACAATTTTGAGGCCCACGACAACGGAAAAAGTTCGAAACGCGAATCCACTCCATTGCACTGCCACGACCGAGTGGATTTTCTTTTGCAAGTATTTCCTAAATGTCACTGGAAGCGGGAAGAGGGACGAAAGTTTCGCATGTAAGGGACAAAAGTCTTAGCGGACGGTGGACTTGCCACGTCAATTTTTCTTTTTCTTTTTCTTTTCCCGGTCCCCCCTGGGAGCTCTTCCTTCTGTCAAGATTATCTGTCAGGTACATGCCGAATCTTACTGGCTGTCTCTTATGGAGTGGAGAAATTGCCATGCGTATTCTTTATCATGGTGTCGACAACCTTGATAAAATCCTTGCTTTTGCATTGGAAAGTCGGAAGATGGATGATGGTACTGAGAACTGACCATTTGACAGTTTTTGCGCCAGAAAAGACAGCCAAAACGTTCTCCATCACGACCGTTTCCGAACTCTACTTGCCGTGAACTTGTAACATTTTGGCTCCAAACCGCAAGAGTTCTGCATCCCACACCATTGACCTTCTTTGACCTTTTGCAATGTTTGCCAGGTAGTTAGTGCATCGGACTATTGATAATGGCAGTTTTACCAACGATGTCCTAAATCGTCATATCATCCGTAGACACAATCCACAGCCGGTTGTCATTGTAAAGGAACAGGCTTCTTCTGGGCTCTTCAGCAGGTATTCAGTAGGTCTGTTGCGTGGATCTATCATATTGCTGACCGTTGCTTTCTCTTTCCTGAAGTGTATCCTGAGCCCACCGGTGATGAACCTTGCAATGCCCTCCACTTTACTGATGATTGTAGCTTCATCTTGGAGGGCATCGGAAGTTCAAGAAGCTGGACTTTGGACAGATATGTCGGCCATGCGCCGGATACTTGATCCTGTTACTGGTATGGATTGCACGCGTGTGGGCTCTTCGACAATTGACGAATATTTTTGACATGGCAGCGTCCAAAAAAGGTGTATCGGACAGGGACGAGAGTTCCTGGGACCGTAGCACCGAGGAACCCGACAAGCCAGTTTTTCATACTCTGCCCCGTGACTGAGCCGACGATAGGCTAGGGTTGTTGCAGAGCATCGGCGACTTCGAGCAAGCAGTCATCACATCTTCCGGCTTTGCATGAGGTATATTACCATTCGCTATCACGTTGATTTTTCCGTGGTGCTCTCGTGCATGTCAAAAGCGAGCAATCGAGCATATATCAGGGGCATCCCCCCAACACTCCCTCCAAAAAAGAATCGAGGTGTAAGTCGTAATAGACCATCTTTCCAGAAAAGATCCCCTCGTGTCTGTTTGGAGTCTTCATAAAGGTAAGTCGAGACAAACAACGGTGGGCGCAGGTAGCCACAATCAAACGCAACAATATTTTTCCGATTCCGCCATTGGCGTTCCAATTATGGGCTGAGTCTGTGTGGCGGTTCCCTCCGCCTCGTCCAATTTGCGAAATTAGGCTTGCGTGGCTGATGGATTGACAAAGTTGAGATCCAGTCTCATTTCGTTTCTCTGCGAGTCAACATCAAACTACACCCTGGAAAATGGCTAGAACACCCACTCGGCTTGAGACGAATCGAAATTTAAGTCCGCTAGCTCTTAGCCTTCTTGAACCGAATCACAGATGATCAACACCTTAGAACCCTTTCGACTCATGAGGCTATTCTTTAGGGCTTGCGCTGTCTCGTGGATCATCGCCAGCGGAAATAAGAATCCAGATGCATGCTCCAGATTCACATCGGCAGAACATGGATGCGTCCCTTTTTGGGGCCCGCTAGGAGGACTCAACCCCTTTACCTATAATGCTTTAGAGAAACCCTAATGAGTGGAACAGCTGGGTCTCAAGGAAAGATAACAATCGTCTCCTTTGGGCTTTTTGAAGATGCATGTCTCCAGCGCCACCATCATGGGAGAGACTGAGTCTCTCAGTAGCCAGTACATGGGTCAGGACGTCGAACTCCAAATGAAAACCAAACGGGATAAGGGGCCTATTCATTGCTGAATATGATGAGCTGGGGGCGGTGATTGGAATTATCAGTGGCTTCAAGAGATCGTGACTCAATACATCATAACATCATGAATACATCCATCGTCCCAGCTCTGACTAACTCTGTAGATTCCTCTCCAAATGTCGTTCACCTGCCCCTCGGACGGAATTTCACTCCCATCTTCGTTAGCCTATACTTAATTTCTCTCATTTGGAGCTGTCCATTTGAAAGTACCATCTGGCCCGACCCTGATCCGTGGACAGAAGAGGTTAGAAATGACTTCGGAGTCCGCGCTGTGCCCTTTCCTCTCCTGGTGTGGACCGGCATCAATAAATCAACGATTATAAAATTGCCCTCGCCGTTGACAATCATGTCCTCCGGCCTGCGCTACCCCCCGCGTCATTTTCCTCGTGAGTTGTATGCATAGAAGTTTCTTCCATAGATACACATCAACTGGTATGCAGATCCCCGGGACTGGGGTTTAAAGGACGACTCCCATCTGTCCATTGGTTTCATCCCTGAATCAAACCCCCCACTCAAATGTAAGCGACATGAACTCAGATGGAAAGTAGAATGGCAATACGGTCCACCTCCTCTGCACTCAGAGTGAGAGAGGTAGCATTGCGAAATTTCGCTCGCGATCATTTACCAATATTGGATCAACTTGGAGAATTAGTCTTCCATCCCGGGTCACTGGGAGTACCTTGTGATACAGAGCTAGACCTCTGACTCTGGCCATCTTGGATGAGGTACGCTAACCTTTCCAATCTTGGCCGCTGGATAGCATCATAATAGAAGAACTTCTCTTGGAAGTTTTTCAGAATATCAACCGTCTCATTTTCCGGATGCATATCCCGAAACCGTTGGATATTGGTGGGCAACCCAATCTCGAAGAGCTGGTCGACAAACCAATTCTCTTCTTCACTATTAATCATGGAGCACATGGCACCGACGGTAAGAATCCATATTTTCAATTCAACACGGCCTTGCCATTGATAGGAAGGGTTATTGGCTTTTCTCAAGATGTTCTGTAGCTTCGGGGCAATTAGATTTCCCAATCTCCTGATACCCAACAACACCATCGAAGTTAGGATCCACATAAGCAACCCAACTCGGACAGCATCGAGGCTCAGATCTGTACACTTCATGGCCAGAAGTCGATATCTGACGGCTGCATTGCGCCATTGGAGCCATCTAGCGGCATGTTTGGTGGCCTCTGGTGAGCCCAGCGGGGCGTAATGCAGTACCCAGGTACACTCTGCCGTTTCTCTTATTGCATTGACCAAATCATCCGAAAGAAATCCATCGTTGGAATTCTTTTGCAAGGCCGGCGCAATGTTGCTCAGATCCTGCTCAGGAGCCAGCTGCAACGTGGATGGGGTGACGTCCCAGTATGGTCCTGGATCCCATTCGCAAGGCAGGTCACAAGGCTCCAAAAGAGCCGCCGACATATGACCGTCACCAATGATGAACAATTCCCTCAGGCAAGGGTCTGGAACGTGGTTAAGGCCACCCCACGAGTCGAATAAAACCTTCGCCGCCCGCATATGGATCTTGGCCGCTTGATAATTTTGTCGGTACGCTTCTCCTGCAAAGAGATGAAAAATGGTTAATAAAAGCTGGTGTTTCGGAGCAGAGCTGAATTGTCGCCTCACAGCCTTGAGAGCGTTTCCCATATACTTGTCTGTGCCTTGCCCGGGTATCCGATCAACGTTCTCCATCCTGGCAGCCATACAAGCAAGCATTGCATTCATTTCGACCTCGCTTTGCATTGCGCGTCGTATGACGACCGGAGCAGAAGTTTGATATGTATATGACCCCTCAGGAGAAGCCCAGGTCTCGGCGTTCCACACACTAGGATGGAAATTCTCGCAAAAATAACGGCAAAGCTTGGCGACATGAGGATCTAACTTAACAACAGATATGCCAAAGGGGTCGAGAGATCTGTCTGTCATCTGAGAAACGTCTCGGGGGGAATTTAGAGGATGCGAAGGATTCAAGAGTACGATCGACTTGCCGTCGGTGCTTGATGCCGCGGGAGATCTGTTAATTGGTGATGGAGGTTTATCAGACTCATTGCGATGAGATCGTTCGTTACGTGAATGAGGTCGAGAAGGAAGTCTTCTTTGAGATATGTCCGGACCATGCACGAGCCCATCTTTTGCTGGTGGGGCGGATGCTGATGGGTCCGCTTTGATGGTGCTGAAGCCAGCCTGAGACGAGGCGCTTGATGTGTTTGACTTTTCTCGGACAAAGGTTCTCCTGGTCCGATTGCCCGAACGGGCGGAAGCAGGGGCAGATCGTCGATGAGGCCGGCCACGCTGGACATGGGAATTGATGGAGGATTGTTCGGAGGCATTGCTTCGAGTCAGGGAGGTACTTCGGGCATCCTTATTCACGAATAGGAACCGAGGCGCCATTATTAAAATAGTTGATGGAGACTTGGGGGAGCTTCATCATCGATGGACGTGTCCATCACCGAACCGCAGGAACCACCGAAACTCGGACAGCAGGTAGGATCACTCTCGACAAGACTCTCCGGCGGGGATAGAGGGGGGTTCCAGTTCTCCTGACCGCGACGTAATGTGGAGTCTCTTCAAGTCCGGGGACTGATTGGCGATGTGGAGGACGGCATGATGACCTAGGGGAAGGCACAAGCGAGGCTATGCACAGAATCTAGAGCATACAGGAAAGGGGGGAGAGAATCTGAGGACACGAAGGGCATGACAGGATGTGGACTTTAGACTCGGGCACCATCGCGCGGCTGCTACGATCTAGTCTTTTTCGAGGCTCGGTGGCTTAGTCAGCCAGCATCCTCTCTGTCTCTCAGATATCGACATCGTCTCTTCAGCGGTCTGGTCGAAGCCACGGAAGGGTCGAGATGGATATCCAAGTCTCGAATGCTAGTAGACTTCTTGTCTGGAGGGTGAAGTGATGTCCTTTTATAGCGTCCGTCGTCCCGCAAGACGATCATAGTCGATTGCTCTTGGTTTCCCCCACACCAGTGCTAGCCAACATTCGTGATCCTATAACCTATTATGGATAAGTATTTGCACGCGTCTAACCCCGAATATTAACCGAAAACGAAAACAGTACGTAAGCCAGTTCGAGCGGGATTGCTAATAAATCACCCTCAGTCAATTCCCATCTAGCTTCTCGCCGCTGCCGAACTTCTCATAAAATTCCAGCGTCATCGCTGCTAGGAAGCACGGGATCTGCTTCTTCTCCTTCACCCAGAAATTGACCAGTTCTCTGATCTCCCTCCCAAAGGCACTGTCTGAGCCTCCACTGATCTTCATCGTGCCGTTATCTCCGTCAAAGACAATGTAATGCTCATCCTCCTCATCACTGTCTTCATCTGCCTCATGAGCGCGACCATAGTACATGCTGGACACTTTGGCTTTACCGTTGGGCAGGAAGTTGACCTTGTAACCCAAGACACTGGCAATCACATCACGAAATTCGGCCGCTTTCTGAGTCCAAATTTCTCGCTGTCGTCTCATACGTTTCTCCTTCTCGGCAACAACCATCTCCATGTCTCTTAGATCCAACTTCAGCGCGTCCACCGTACTGGCGGGCACGGTTTTGGCACCCTGCAGATCCTCTCCGCGTAATTGTCGGAGCAGCTCAGCATTTTCTTCCTTCAGCGTCCGCAATGTCGACATCTTGATGGCTTCGGCGTTTGCTGTAGGGTTGTCTCGGAGCTCCAATATACGAGTCTTGGAACTTTCTCGCAAAGCTTTCAATTGTGCTTTGGTGGCCTGCAGATCGGTAGCCAACATCTGCGATTGCTGAGCAGTTTTCTGCAAAGCAATCTGAAGATTCTTGTTCTTCCGCAATAATGCACCAAGCTGCGAGTTGCCTCCTCCGTCTGGTTCCTGCGATTCTGCCGGTCGTTTCGCGCCCCGGGACTCATCTTGCGGATGTGCCGGAGGCGCAGATTCAAGTTTCGACAAATCGCTGTGGAGCGTCTGCACCTCAGCTTTGTATTGATCCACCAAGCTTTCCAACTGCTTGATCTGTTCGGATCGTTGCGTGTCAAAGTTCTGGTTATCCATCAAGACAGTTTCTTCCGTATCGAAGGTTTTGAGCTGTGCACGCAGATATTCAACTTCCTTGACGGCAAGGACGCGTTGTCGCTCTAGTCGTTTATAAGCTTTGCTGCCTTGACCCGTCTCGGCTTGCTCAGTCTGACCCGATTTCACCTTCTGCAATTCAGCCTTGAAGGCTGACTTTTCCCCATCTAGGGCTTTGATGATCTCGTCTTTTTCCGTCAGCTCGGTTTCCACCGTGCCCAGTCGGTCCATGACCGACGCATATCCAATCCGTTGCTGGATCAGAGCTTTGACCACGGCTTCGGGAGACTCAAATTCGCTCTCTTGGCCGTCGCGTTCCAAAAGCGTTGTCCATGTCCGTTTCTCGTCCTCGAGTATTTCTTTTTGTATCTGGGCTTCTCCGAGCTGTCTCTGAACATCCTTTAGCAATTGAAGTTCAATTTCCAACCCATGTTTCTGTTCTTCCACTACTTGAACACTGCGGTGTTCGTCTCGCAACCTTCGAAGTTCACCCGACTGTTCTCTATTCGTTGCTTCGAGTCTCCGAATATGTGCAATCTGCTCGGAAAGCTGAGTTTGTAAAACATTTAAAGCCTCGCTGTCCGAGGAATGGGACTTCAAAGCGGCCACCTCGGCTTCCAAGCGGTCGACTTGCGCGTCCCGTTGAGATAGACGAGTTTGCGATGATTCGAAATTTTGGGCTAACTCGTCAAGCTCCTTTCTCACGCTGTCGAGAGTTTCTTGAAGCGCTGCGCGTTTTGCGTCAACATCATCGATTTGGTATTTGAAGTGTCGTTCCTGGTCAGCCAGTCGCGCTTGGGCGTCCTCGGCATCTTCTTTCAGCGATGAATTTTGTCCTTGCAGATCCCGCAACTTCCGCTCCAAAACTGCCTTCTCGTTGATCCTTTGGTCTTGGGCCTCGCGTAGTTCTTTAGCTATAGCTTCTTGCCGCCGAGTCGCTTTCTGCGCTGCACCCTCGGCAGCCTGTGTCTGTCAGTCGAAATCTCATCTTCGAGTATCTCCTTCCACACACCTGATATTTTTTGAAGTCCGCCTCAGCCCTAGCTTGCTGTTCGCGAAGCTCTTTGTCATGTTGCAGGGCCAGGAGCCCCCGTTCTTGCTGCAGGTTCTTGAGCTCATATTCCAGAGAATTGATTTTGGCACGTAAATTCTCATCCTGTGCGGAGTCTAGGAACAAAGAGTCAGCCTCTCGTTGAAGCGCACATGTATATGTGTCGTGCTCACCGGGCCTGGAAACTGAGGGCTGACGTATTCTTGATTGCCTCAGTGGTTGTGTGGCGTTTTCGACTGCTCCGCCGGTAATAAAATCGAAGGCAGGTTGTGTACTCGTGAGCCTGCTTGTGCTAGACTGCATTGGAACTGTCAGTTTCGTGATGTGCTGTCTTCTTTCCTGGTGACGTACCGCTGAATTTGGGCGTGGAAGCGCGGACTGCCCGCCCTGAACGCCTCTTCTCCCAGAGAGAGAAGTCCTCGATGACGACAAACGCAAGCGCTTCGACGTCGGCGAACTCATGATGGTCCTGACGACATGAAGCGAAGCCTGGCAAGCCACCCCGGGGGTCATTTGTGATAGCCACAAATTGATTCGCATTCTCGTGTTTACACACACGCACTCGTTTGGGCTTTTCCTGATTAGGTTTGGCGGGTACCTTTCCTCCACGCTGACTCAGTTCAGGCGTCACACAACAACGGAAGCAGAACATGTTCCAATTGTTACTCTTACGTCGAGTCCTACCTGATGGAGCTAAGAAGCTCCTTCTTGCTCCCGAACGAGTTGCAGCTAGCCTCGCACAATGTTTAAGGGACAGAGTCTGGATGTAACCTGATCCTTGAACACAATCTATCCCAGTCACCCCGAATTGTCCAATATGTTTATTCCCAACGTGTTCACCCAAATGCAGCTTCTCTCGCCGTTTCAGAAGCTAGATCATATATCGAGATGTCGGATCATTCCCAGTTACGAAAGTGCTATAGCTGCCTGCTCCCGGTTGTCTCGCCAAAAAACTTCAGGCTGAGCAGAATCACAATGGAGATAACAATTACCTGTGAAACAGTGCACGCGTATACCCTAGGCAGGTACCGTGGAGCATCCTCCTGAGACGGAAAGACTAAGCTGCCAATAATGCCACCAAACCCTCCAAGGCCATCGGGTGTTGCACTGCAAGAATGCTCGTTTCCAATATGGCCGTGACCATTGTTTACTAGATCGAATTAGCCGCGAAACGAACTGCCACGTCAATGATGGACTTGACTGACCCTCGTAGGCCAGGGAGATTCGCATTGACCCCCATGACTGTGATACACAATCCTCCCTTTTAATACTAAGGTCAGTGCTTTCTTTCGGTAAATGAGCCCTGCCGTCAAAGACATATTTTGGCGGCCATGACTAAGAGAGCAATAAGCGCTAGAGCGCGATTCAAGAGCAGCATTGGAGCTTGCGTTCGGTGCTTCTCCCCGAGCCACCCTTGGAGGTACGTGAAGATTCCTGCCGCCACATACGGAGGTGTGATAAGGCATTGAAAGACCACTAGTGAGAATCCCATTTCTTGTATGAGAATAATGGAGAGAACGTAAGCGTAAGAGTACCCGACGAGAGCGGGCATCCAAAAGAGAACAGCAAACTCCAGGGGTTGAGATCGGATCGGAGCCTCATGAACTTCCAGAAATGAAACTTTTCCCTTCGGCGCCTCCTCGATCGGCATTGATTCGAACAGGAACGTACTACATTTCCCTGGCGTTGGGAAACCATCGCCTCACCCTTGTCATTGGTGGCATCCTCGTCTCCTTCATTCCCTTTCACCATGAACGCCGAAAGCCCTCAGATGTCGCAAATGGACCCATTTCGATTCAAGCCTCGAAGTGCGTCCTCTTATCGCCATGGTCTTCGACTGCTCCATACCCCGTTCCTTCATAGCCCGTATCGACTTTGTCATAGCCGCTCTCAAAGTTACGCTCTGTGAGTTTCTGCCCCTCAACATTGAAACTCTCCGATTCTTGCATGTCGGTATTGAACATGTCTTCTTTGTCTCTTACGATTCCCTTTCCCTTTTTGTCGACACCTCGACTGACGACATTGTAAGCTCTTCTCCTTTTGTATCTTCTCCAGCATAAGCAGCCACCTGTAAGTAAAGCCAGGAGAACTACTGCACTAACCACAGCAATGACAATGATGTATTTAGTGGCAAGTCCATGGCTAGATGATTTGGCAGGTTCGTCGTCGGAGCTGAGGCCCGCTTGGGTCAATTTTTCGGTCACATGTGTGATCTTCTCTGTAGAAACACTTGTTGTTGAAGCTCGAGAGATGATTTGGCTGCCCGTATCATCGACGACTCCTGCCTGAGCCAGCTTTCCGAGAGCGTGAGTGATCTTTGCATTGTTCAATATCGACGTCGTCGTTGGTGTATTTCCCGAAGCCGGATCCGGGGCGGCGCTCCTTCGAAGACCTCTGAAGAAGGGATCTGGCACGTAATCCATTTTTGGCATCGAGGAACAGCGGAGCCGTGGGAAGAAATAGATCGTCAGCGTGAAGGCGGAGAAACGAATATCTCGGCAACTCGAAAAACAGCAATGAGCGACTTTAACTAAAAGTCAATGTCAGAGATGAAAGAAATGAACATGGAAATCCGGAGCGCCCACGCCTCGTGATAGGGGCTCAGACAGGTCATCGTGCAGGAGGAGAAGGGCAAGTATTTCGTGGCCCCAAGTCGATGAAGCGAGCAATAAACCGATCCAGGTACCAAAAAGTCGGTCAGCATAAGCACTTGAGGGAAAAGCTTCGCGCCGGTAGCGGAAGATTTGTTGAGAGACAGGGTCTTGTAAGCAGGAGATGCTCGATATAGTATCGGTTCCAGATTGGACGAGGACCGGATTGGGCAATGTCTGAATCTCGAGCCCCTCCGTCGATGTCAGCAAATGCCCCTCGGCCCGTTTATTTTCAGCTCCAGAGTTTGACAAGCTTTCAACAAGCTTCCTCGCCCTTCGACTTGGTTGTGCTTGACCGACTTAAATCAGAGAAGGATCCGAAAAGACGCGTGGCGCTTTTTTCGAGTGCACGTGCGGTGTTGAAGTTGGTGTTGGCTGAAGGGGATGCTGACATTGCATAAGTTTGACGAACGACAACGGACGGCCGAAAAGCCACATTCAGATTTCCACCAATGGCAGATGGTTTGGATCTGATTCAAGCAAGCTGCTATGACGTGTCATGAATGACTCGCGGCACACTGGAGTACCTTTCTGCTTACTTACTACATGGCTCCTTGCTCTGTATTTTTCGGATATCCGTGTGCGCCGGCATTAGGCTGCACCGTCTTCAATAGTATTCGTCGCTCGAGGCACTGGTAACATGGCTCGTGGCACCGGAAAACGAGGTGCGAGGCCTGCAGCCACCTCAATTGCCAACGCAAAGCCACAACAACCTACTGCCTCTGGACCTCCTCCACCTTTTCAATATGCCCCAGCCTTCCTTCAACCATTTCTCTCCACCCTCCCTACCGATCACATATACCTTGTTCATTCAGACCACACTTCTCCGAGCCTCAAAAGACGAGTCTTCGTCGTGCCCGTCATCTTGAACCTCTTCATCACGATTGGACTATGCGTGCGCATTTACTATGCCGCGCCAATATATCTTGAACAAATCATTACAATTTTCGGATATGATACGGCATACAAGGTGGACACCAAGGCGGCGAAAGCAACAGAACTTATGAATACCATCAGCTCCAGAACATTTCTGTTGATGCTCGATTATGCTATCTTCGCATTACTTGGGAGCTGGCCCAGGGAGTTCATGTTTGGCAGCAAGGCGTCTAGATTTGTGGGACCATTCGAATGGAGGGCCACGATAGGTTTCAAGGATACAGAGATCATTGTTCGAAGAGGAAGGAGATGGGACACCCCCTTACTCACGAGCGAGAACCCGGATCAAGTCAAGACGTGGGAGACGGATGAAGAATTGACAATCAGAGTCAAAATTGATCCGGCTATGCGGGCGTCCTACCTAGCAAAGACAGGATATTTACTTCTTGACAAGGACTGGGATCTCGATTTCAAGGCCATGTTGGATGCCCACAGATTAGTGGAGAAAGGAACCATTCAACTGAAGGACTTGGAAAATCTGTGCCTGGTATATTATCAGAAACAATGGTTGATCTGGCGTGTCCATGAGGCTGCTGGGATCAGTCCGCACGAACAGGGGCAAGACAGCGTTCTGGAGAAGTTTAGAAGCAGACTTGCAGATCTGGGAGCCGAGGATGTCTTTTTCCGTTGGATTGAGATTGTGCAATTTGAGACTTCTCAACCTGGTGGGTTTACAGAAGGAAAACAAGCTGACGCGATCCGGGAATTGAAGAAGCTACTGACCAAGAGGGGTGTGGATTATGGTCAGTTTTGGGAAGACATTGGTGGACAAGCCGGTCTGCCTGGATTTGACGTGCAAAACCAGTCATGAGATTATGATGCGCTTGAAATCCTCTCCAAATCCTGTCTTTCTTTGCCCTCTCGCAAGCTGAATTCTGTAGCATGTGCCTCCGTCGACAAAGGCGGTATGAACACAAGGCTGACAGCCTATATGGCTTGGAAAATTGCCCCACAGTGTTTTTAACCGCAGTCCATTTTCTCGGGGGAAATTTTTTCAATCCAGTATTTTTCCCAATTGACCTCCTCGTCTGAAACATGTCCCCTTCAAAGCTCTACCTCGGCGTCATTGGCGTCGGCGGCGTCGGCACTGCCTTTCTCTCTCAGCTTGCCTCTCTTCCCCCCTCCCTCCGGCCAACACTGGTCTTTGTGTCTCGCTCTTCCAAACAACTCTATACACCTTCCTACGACGCCGTCTCGGCCTCAGACCTCCAATCATCCACGTCTAGACTCCTCTCCCTCCCCGAGCTGACGACTTATCTCTCGTCCACTCCTGGAAAAGCCATCCTTGTCGACAACACCTCGAGCCAAGAAGTCGCGGACGCCTACCCCTCTTTCCTCCGCAGAGGCATCAGCGTCGTGACACCAAATAAAAAGGCCTTTTCCAGCAGTCTACAACTATGGACCGACATCGTCAACGCCGTCGACGCGTCCAATGGCCAGGCAATGGTATATCACGAATCGAGCGTGGGGGCCGGCTTGCCCGTGATTTCAACCCTAAAAGACCTCGTTGCGACAGGCGACCAGGTAACAAGGATCGAGGGCGTGTTCTCGGGCACCATGTCGTTCTTGTTCAACTCGTTCGCGCCCGCTGACGGGAGTGGAAAGGGTAAATGGTCCGAGATCGTCGCCCAAGCCAAAGAGGCGGGATACACGGAACCAGACCCGCGTGATGACCTGAATGGCATGGACGTCGCCAGAAAACTTACCATCCTCGCGCGCCTGGCAGGCCTGAAAGTGCAGGGTCCCGACAGTTTCCCTGTCCAAAGCCTGATTCCAAAGCCACTAGGGTCGGCTGACTCGAGCGACGAGTTTATGCAGCGTCTGCCGGAATTCGACGGCGAGATGGAAGGGTATAAGGACGCTGCGGCCCAGGAGGGTAAAGTTATTCGGTACGTGGGATCCGTGGACGTCGGGGCAGGTAAGGTGAAAGTCGGACTCGAGACGGTGGAGAAGGGAACACCGATTGCTAGTCTGAGGGGCAGTGATAACTTGATATGCTTCTATACGAAGCGGTACGGGGCGAATCCGCTGGTCATCCAGGGTGCAGGGGCCGGAGGCGAGGTTACGGCCATGGGTGTCACGGCGGATCTGATCAAGGTTATTGAGAGGTTGAGATAGGAATAATAATGGGGATACATGGAATGTGCGATGATACCGACGCCGTCACAAACATGGCAAGAAAAGTTATACGTGTGTTTTCTTCATAAATCTATTTACGCCCCGTGTTGCGTCAAAAATAACTGACAAATGATTTAATCACACACGCAATCCCTACCGTCGCTAACTCCTCAAATACCTCTTGACCGCCTCACCCCAGACGACGCCTCTCTTGTAGAAATGCATCTGCGGCACATTGCCAGCCTTGAGCCCATCGATCGCCGTCGCAAGCTCCTCGCCCGATCCCTCCTCTTTGATCTGGCTGATCGGATACAAGTATGTCTTGAAAGCGAAGACCAAGGCCTTAGATTTAGGCAGGCGATGCAGAGTCTGCCGCTCGGAGCGGACGAATGTCTTGTCGACGTCGATGGTGTCGAGCTCCTCCACGTGATCTCCTTCGTGGGCGTGCGTGGTGCCCGCACCCGCGGCATACAGCTCCGTGTTCGTCGTCACGGCCCAGTTCACCCGCTTCACGTACTTGCCTACTTCAAGCTTGGCGAAGAATCGGTCCATGCTTCCTTCTAGTTTCGCGCTGTAGCCCGGAACGGGTCCATGGATGGCCGCCAGGCGCTTGCCGATCTTCGCGGCTGGGTCAAAGCCAGATGCACACACTACCACGTATGCCTCGAGGATATACTTGGGGTCGTCGCTGTCTTCTTCGGGAAGGAGGAAGAGGATGTCTTCATCAACGGTCCGACCCAGCGTGTTGAGGAGCTGGGTCGTCGGCGTCTGAGGCGTTGGACGCGCGGGAAACAGTTCCTTTGTGACGAGATTCTCAAGCATGAACGTCTTGCCTTGCTCATAATCGGTCTCGTGTAGTTTGAACATCTTGGGGAAACGGAGCGGGAGGTACGTGCCCATCAAGAATATGTACAGTTCGACAACGGCGGGACGGGTACGCATATCGTCATTGACGTTGACAACATGTTCTCCGTGTTCGGCCATGATGCGTTTGCGGTATGCGATTCGATCGGCGTAGTTCTTGTCCATCAACAACAGGTCGGAGGGGTCAAGGTTTTCAAGGGCTGAGTCGTCAGAGTCGGCTCATCATCCATGCGGAGTCAGCCTTTCCTTTTTCGCCTGGGGGGAGCAGGGCAAAAGAAGGAAGGAAGGAAGGATAAAAATGGAGTTTGGGGGGATGAGAGATGGATGGCGATCAAGGGGGAAACTCACCCATGGTCAGGTGGTATTTGGGCTTGAAAGGGCGATTTTGGAGTGGTTCAGTGGTTTTCCAGTCGAAGTCTGTTTGTTCTTCCACTGGAGGAAATTCGGGGGCTTTGAGGAAGCGTTTTTCATAGCCAGCTTTTTTGGCGGCTTTCTATCAAAAGAATCAAAAGAGAAGATGGTTAGAGAAATATATGAAAGAAGATAGGGAGACCAAATATGCCGAAGAAGGTGCCATTGAAAAGATACAATTGCGTTCGACGTCGGAAAACTCACTTGTTTGGCCCTCGCTTGTATGATTGCCAGGAGGAGAAAGACAACGAGAAGGATGATATTCATGTAATTGGCGAGCGTGAAGCGAGACGCCGCTTTGATGTCCTCCCATGATCTCCAATGCCATATGAGGGAGGGCTTCTCCATGTGGGCAAAAGAGTTGGTCATTTTCACAGCTGCTTGGTGACAAGTAGTCACGCAATAACTCCCTCCTCTTGTCTTCTTTCCCTTGTGTCAATGTTTGTTTCCCAGATGTCTACTCCAATGGAAAGCGAAGATGAGAAAAGAGTGGTCTTCAAAAATGGCTTCACTCACTATCAGCGATATATTATTCAGACAAGGCACAGAAGGTGAAAATTCAACCAATATATTTCAATGAGACTTGCTTCAACGCCCAACGACATCGGAGACGAGTTGGATTCCATTGGCCGGACGGGGAGCACAAGTTCGCCATGGATTGTGAGTGGAGGTGGGGGGTTGTAACCTGGGCGAAAGAGCCTGAGTGCTGCCTACAAGGCACCCAAGAGGCATCGCTCTTTATCGTGATGCACGTGGCTCGTTCCCCATCTGACGCGCTACCATCATATTCCAAACTCTCTGACTAGACCTACTGATGGTCCCTCCGCCTAGTCCACTCCCCCATCCTATACGTCGGTCAACTGTCCATTCTGGGCTGATCTTTTCGGCGATGAAGGGGAGATGGCTTTGCAAGTTTATATTTCGCATACCGGTGGAGTTCTGACTTTCACCGACCCCAATGCCCGTGTTGATGCCCTGCGATCATGGATCGAATCGACAACCGCCATCCCAGTCACTCGCCAGATTTTGATGACTGCCCGAGGAAAGATTGTCAAGAACCTCTCCAACGAAACTGAGGTCTATGTCTACGACAAGCAGTTCCTGTCTCCTGAGTCCAAACCTCCCTCCCGAACTGACGTCGGACTACAACCTCTTCCCGAGCCCCCTTCTTCACTGACCGACGAGAATAGCCTTCCGGCATGGCAAGACCTATTTATGTCAAGGCGAGGCTGGGCTCTCGGGGCATTCGAGATAGCAAGGATCGGCCTGGATAACATTGAAACATGTGCGGACGAGGCTACTGTCATCGCCAGATCGATGAATGTCGCTTTGGACAACCTGCGGAACCATGTCACAATACTACAACAGAGATTTGAAGAGACACGTCAGTGGGCGCAGGGTTATATCCATGAACACCGTGATGCACTCAAAGATTGGCAGGGTACTGCCGATACACTTGCAGAGTTACCTGTTCGTGACGATGTTGCCAGAGTGCTCCGTCGTCCTGCCGAGTTTGAGGGTAGCCGTTCACCCGCTGCTGTCGGCACTCTGTTCGACTTGGTCGACAGGGTCGGCCTTCAAGCCGCAGCCGAAAGTGTGGAACAAAGTTCGGCCGAGTTCGAGCGCAAGCTGCGGGAGTTGCAGTCGAGTATGGACAAGCTCAAGAATGACACCGGCGATGTCCAAACTCCTCCGATCCCATTACCCGACGTCGACACAAATGCGCTTATGGACGAGGTTGAGACTTTGGCTAAGCGCATTAATGCCGACTATGAGGATGTTCTCAAGATGCCAGATAATGCCAAGTCCGTGGTGACGGCTTCCCGAAAGGCTGCTGTGCACACTCGCGAACTTTTGCCCGCTCTTCAGAGTGTCGTGGAGGAGGTTGTTCAGGCTTCTTTGGCCGCTTCTGACGTGAGAAACGCCGTCTCACAAGGCTGGTATGCAGTGCTTCAAAACATCTCTAGCCGCCAATCTCGCTTGGCAGACCTGCAATTAGGCATCACAAACCTCGACTTTCAGGACAACGACAACTATCAGTCTTTGAACCGAGTCTTTCAACTCCCCCTGGTTTACGGTGCTACTTTAGTGGAAGCCACCCGGAGGTCTGAATGGACTGAGCGCATGAGAACCGAAGTGGACGCCTTGCATGAGGATCTTTCTCAACAAACGGAAGAAGAGCAACGACGTCGGAGGAAATGGACTGCTTCGCACAGCGAATTTTTGAACGAAGAATTCAATGCCAAAGATACTCTGATAGATCTCAAAGCATCAGCACCACGGAATTCCTGGCCGTTTGTGAGCAGGGATGAGATATTTGCCTGGATTGATGATTTAAGAGCATTGGGATTCGACAATGCCGTCCAAGCCATCACACAGCGGATGAAAGATCTCGATGCTCCGGTTCGCAAACAAAAGCCGAAGCCGTTCAAGAATGGAAGCATCCATGATCTCCGTCAGAGCGTTGCTCTCCGTAACGGGGACGAGTTGAGGAATTTGCGGGACGAGAAATCCAGGCTAGAAGAAAAACTGCGCGCTTCGGACAGTCGGGTGCGAAAACTGGAAGACTTGCTTCATCGCCAAAGCCAGCTGAGCCGTCCCCCTAGTGGGATCTTCGTGCCAGGTAGTGCTACGGATTTTGAGCGGCAGACACCGTCACCGAGTCCGTTCACCAGACAGAGTGACCTGTCACGTAGATCGTCGGTGTCAGTCCGCCGGTTATCGAACAATCAGGATGAAAAGCCGTTGGTGCAAAAGATCGTGGCTCTCGAAGGCCAAATCCAAAAATTGCAAGAGGAGGCCCATGCTGAACGACGTTCAAGTACAGAAAGCAGAGACAAAATGCAGGAAGCCGAGTTGGTCAAGCGGGACCTAATGGCCAACTTTGAGGCTCAGAAGCAAGAGTTCGAAGAAGAGCGGCAGCTCCTGGATGACGAAGTGCACCGGCTCAAGGTCAAATTGGATGAGGCCGAGGAAGAACTAGACCGTCTCAATGAGTCGAGAGATCACCTCCGAATCGAACAGGATCAAGCAATGCTGGATCTCCGGCATGAATTGGAAAATCTTAGAACAACATCTGCGGATGATCTGGCGCAATCAAAACGTAAACTGGAGACCGCCCGGACGGAGGCCGCTAACCAGCGAGAACGAGCGGCTAGTTTAGATCGTCAACTTCATCAACTCAAAGAGGAACGAGCGGCGGCACAAGGCCAAAATATGACTCTGGCAAATCAACTGAGATTGATGGAAGATCGACAACAAGAGTACGTTGCCATCCTGCAAGGCGCCCACTCGAACCTTTCTCCTACTGGTTCACCTCCAGAAGACCTGCGTCGACTTGTCAATGCGCTTGAAATTCTCTCTGAAGGTGCTGCCATCCACGCCCGTGGTCTGGACGACTCTCTCCAGCTCGCAACCGCAGAAAACAAAGCCCTTGAGGAGAAAGTCTCCCACGGCGAAGCGCAGATCAAGCTGTTAAGGCAACAAATTTCGACGGCCGAAGCGCGTGCCGGTGAACTACGAGAAGATCTTGAGCAGGAACGAAGTAAGATCTCAACCCTTCGCACCGAGCTGGCAGGCGAGCGCGCTGAAATGCACAATCTGCGCGAGAAATTCGCTGCCGGTGAGACCGGATCCGATGCCTTGAGACAACAGTTGAAGTCCGAAGAGCAGAAGGTGGCCGAATTGATGGACCGGAAAGCTGAGGACGAAGGTATTATTCAACGTCTGAAACATGAGATTGAAGATCTCACGCGTGATACAGAAGGAGCGACGGAACGACAAGAGACTTTGAAGAAACATCTCGACAAGCGCGGTGAAAAAGCGAGGCAATTGTCCGAACGTCTCTTCCATTACCATGACCGCATCATCCGCATGTTGGAACAATTTGGATACTCAGTCTCACGACAGGATGACACGCTTGTGATCCAGCGCGCGTCCAAAGTGAATGCTGCCAGTGCAGTCCTCAGCGGCGGCGAAGGATCGGGCCCGTCCGCAATGAAACGGACTATTTCCGGCTCCACTCCGGCGCCGCACTACTCGGATCCCTCCGATCTGGAAACCCTTTATTGGACATCCGACACCGACCTCAATTCAGAGTCGGCGAAATACACTGGTTTCCTTTCCGCCCTTCAACGATTGGACATCGACAGCACAATTGACCTCATCACCAAACGGTACAAAGATGTTGAAACCCTGGCGAAGAAATACCAAAAGGACTCCCGTGCGTACCGCGAACGCACGCACCGAAGCCAAGCGGAAGCCCACGACAAGATTGCGTACCGGAGTTTCAAAGAGGGTGATTTAGCCCTCTTCCTTCCGACGCGGAACCAAGCGACGCGGCCGTGGGCGGCATTCAATGTTGGGGCGCCTCATTATTTCCTCCGGGAGCAAGACGTCCACAAGCTTCAGACACGGGATTGGCTGTTAGCTCGGATCACGAAGATTGAAGAGCGCGTGGTCGATCTGTCGAGAAGTTTGTCAACGGGAATGCGTGGCAATGTCTCAACTACAGCCAGCGTCGACGATGGCGGATCTACACGGTCCGTTGACGATGAGAATCCCTTTGAACTCTCTGACGGTCTGAGATGGTATATGATCGATGCTTCCGAAGAAAAGCTAGGGGCTCCGGGGACGCCATCCGTGGGAAAATCGACAGTCACAGCCTCCAATGTCGAAGTCAAGGGCCACATGGGCTTGGGCCGTAAGGAAAACAAGTCTGGCATCGGTATGGGAGGCGGCATGGGAAGCGGAAGTGCCACCGCAAACATGGTAACCAAGACTCTTACCAAAAGCCTGGATAGTCGGCGGTCGAGCTCGGGCAGTAAAAAGAGCGTGGACCTCAAAGGCAAGCACGATGCGCTGGGGAGGAGAGGGAGCCTTAGGGATGTGCCCTCTAAAGCTCCCCTTGCGCCGATCACCAGTGACGCAGAACAGGCGCATGGCGCTGTCAACGACGACGCAAACAACGCCGATGCAGAGGCAGAAAATGAAAACGAGACAAAAGCACAAAACGCCGGGCCTCAAGCCGGTGTGGCGAGCGTGGTCCGCCAGCCCACGTCAGCCAGCGAGACGGACAGGGAGGACGCACAGGTGTTTGAAGTGGTGAGGCGCGATCTCCTACTTGGTCCGTGAAAGCGCAGCTCGGCTGATGAAGAATTTTTTGGTTATTAGACTGGAGGCGCTGTCACGTCTGCGCCTTTGAAAATGAAGCCTGATTCTGCACCTGCTCAAGCAGACGCCGCGCTTGAGCGCATCCAGCATCATCCCCCCCTCAAGCCGCAGGAGCTGAATAAAAGGCCAATCTCTTCGGGTGCGTCCTCGAGAAATGCATCGCCCTTGAAGCACAGGTCTCCAATCCTGGTGACGAGTCCGGTGAAAGGTCCTGCTGGCGGAACTGCGGCATCTCCGTCCTCGGCGAAGTCGAAGCCTTGGGATAAGTTGTTTAGTATGGAGTTTCACTCATGACCAACCAGGGGGCGGGAAGGGAAAGGTTCGACTATTAGGATATGGTAAGCTTGACAAGAGAAAGACGTGTGAACTTGTCTTCATAGGTAGTAGCATATTTGAAGGGAGATTTGGGATCAATCGATATATATTTTTCATGTCTGACTGATAGGTCCACTGTCTCGGGACCCCACTCTGGCCAGGCCGCCTTCCTTACAATATCACGTAATTTCACATGTCACGTGCATAACGGGGTGATGTACAGCCGAATACACGTGACATAGCCACCGAGCTCCCGTGGCCTCAAAGTAAATACGCATTGACGCGTTTTGATAACCAGCATGAATAATGTGAAACTGGTTGACCATCGAATTAAGTGAGCTGGAATACTCATCGTGGGAAAGCTGTAGAGGAAGAATAGCATCTTTCCAGAGCGGAAACACATCAGTGGTAGGGGTCGGGGGCTCTTCACGAGTACAGTACATGGCGCTTTCGGCGGTTATCATTTGCTTGGGGAAGCTATGATTGCGGGCTGCGCAGACAGGGTTGCATGGTACGGAAACAATAGGAGCCCCTTATGAAGAGATCCCATATTCCGGGCTATGTAAGGCAAAAGCGTGATCAGGAGATGCTGTGCGCAGGCGGTTTTGTAGGCGAGATAAACACTATGGACTTACCCGAACCAACATGGTACGGGGCAGAAAGACAACCGAGGACCTGATAGGTGGGATGATCAGGAGAACCAATTGGTTCGGCAATGCATCCGTTTTGCCTTGGTAGACATAGTGGAGTATGTTACTGAAGGGCAGAAGTGCCGTGTACGAGAGAAAGCAGGAGAGAGGAACACTAGGGTATGTAGGAAGACGGAGATCTGAACGAAGGGTGAAGAGGGCAGGACGCTGGCCGAAGGCGAGGAGGGGCCGTTGTGGTGAGGAATGAGAATGATGTGACAGAAGGGCTAGTAAGAGAATTTGTTCCATTGACTCCGTAGCTGAGTATGTGAGAGAGATGAGTGGTTGCCATAGGCAAATCAAAAAGTCAGTTGTCAGGCGCAGGGGAGGAACTGGGGAAGTTTGCCGTCGTCAGTGTGGTTTAGCTTGGCAGGTCAGTTGAGGTGAGAAAGATGAGTAAGGGGAGATGTGAGTGGACAATTGGAGGAGAGAGATGCGGTTTTATTGATGATGAAAGAAGTTTTGTTTGTATTGTTATAGGAGGGTGGGCTGTGACCGAGTGGCAGAGGAGGGGGGAGGAGATGGTGAGAGTTGTGGGAGAGGGAGAGTGAGGAGCTGAGATCAGTGATTCAGTTGATCGCAAAGCAAGTCAGTGATTTGATCAGATTCGCGGCAGGCAGGGCCCGTAGGGCAAGCGCGGAAAAGGATGGCAGGCCAGACTCAATGCCCCTAGTAACTACGGACTTAGCAGCAGCTAGCGGCAGTCGACTGGCTGATTCGCTGCTGCACACTGGCAAGTAACGCTGAGCGGTGGACGGCGACTGGGTCTTGCCAGTCTGCCAGTTCTCCCATACAATCCTCCCTCCCACACACTGCTCTCTCACTCTTCCTACTACCACCACAGTCCTCTCCCATACTGTTCTGCTGCGCTGTACTGTCTTCGCCTGCGTTACTGCGACCACTACAACGCCCTCTCTCATTGTAAGTACTCACTCACCTTTCTTCCTCCTCCTACTATCATTTTCCATCTCTTCATCTGCACCACCCACACTTGCTCCCCATTGTTTCCCCTCAAAACTCCCGTCGAAAATGGTCGCATCGTCCTCTTTCTGCCCTGTCTGCTACTTGTCGCGACCTCGTCGTCGCCGTCACCATCGCCATCGCGCCCCCAGCACCGCGGGCTAGCAACCACCACCACAGCTCCAGACGCTCAATTGATCTTTTTGACGCGTCTTTGAGTCGTTGGTGAGTCAATCTGCGCCTTGACTCCTCGTTGTCACCGCCGAAGACGCGTTTTACCTTGGAATTCACTCTTACAAAACAACCCAATCGACTGCGCTCATTCACTTCTCCTGCCCGCCACCTTTGCTACCTCTCAAACCTGATCGCTATTGATACCTCTTCAGCTGGCCTTGTCCTCCCGGCTTTTCGTCAAACCACTGCCCTTATTACCCATGTTCCATCCTCTCAACCATAGCCTGAATCAACCCGCTGACCTACTCCAGCACCAGCAGCAAATCACAAATCACCTCCCGCGTCACCAAATCCTCGACCAATACCAAAATGCCTAAAGCCAGTTCCAAGGCCAAAAACACCTCCAAAGGTCGCGGTGCCGAAAAGAAAAAGAAGGGTCAGTAACCAAATCGCACCCACGGCGATCGCGCATGACTGATCGCTTCCTAGATCCCAACGCTCCCAAGCGAGGTCTCTCCGCATACATGTTCTTTGCCAACGAGCAGCGCGAAGCCGTCCGTGAGGAGAACCCTGGCATCAGCTTCGGTAAGACACATCCACTTCCAGCGAAATATAACCAATACTCATTCCAGCGTTAGGTCAAGTCGGCAAAGTCCTCGGTGACAAATGGAAGGCCCTGAGCGAGAAGCAGCGCGAGCCATATGAGAAGAAGGCCGCTGCCGACAAGAAGCGATATGAGGACGAGAAGGCCAAATACAACGTGAGTAACAGATTCTGAGGTCAAAGCTACCACGGTGCAGAGTTCTAACCATCATTCAGGCTGGTGATGACGACGAGGATGATGACTAAATGGTCTGGACACAACACGGTCCGTCCTAATCGATGTCTTCAGTGCCTGCATTGAGATACTCAAGTCAGTTTCCTTACCTTGTCGTTATGTCTTTACTAGCAATGATGGGCTGGGAGGCCGGGGTTATGGAGTCAGCAGTGGAACGGGTCGGTATGCTTCACACGCAGCTTATGGAAAAAGCATCGAGCATCGAGCTTCAAAAACACCGAGTCATGAAGCCTTCATCTCCAGCATCATGGCTGAGCTGCTGCGACATTGCATCATGTGTCAAGCCTACCAAGGTACTTGCTGTATACTAGCTCTTCATGCAATGCAATATCTGGAACAAGTTGTCGACTTTGTATTCTGCGCTGCCTTGTGTCCGTCTTGCGCCCGGCTGAACGGCTCGGTCGATCCGTCAAAGGGCTTTGACGCGTCTTGAGAGAACTCGAAAAATGATCAGAGGCATTTTGTGAAACAATTTGCTCCTGGCCAGATTATTCCAACACTGCATTGGGTGCCGAGATGGTTCGGCCAGGCCGTGTATCAAATCCGATCCCGTACATGGTGTCATCTCAGATCCTTCAGTTCTTAAAAGTCACATTTCTGGCCCCCCTCACAACCCAACCCTCCCTTGTTTCCTGTGACTGAGGGCTTGGCCACGATGGCCTCAGGCATCAGCAGGAGGCGCAGGGCTGTGTTTGTTTCGACCTCATATGTTTACCGGATACATCTTTCCATTCTATCTTCTCTATATACCATTCATTCTGTACCTCCAATCAGTTTCGAACTCCGTCTTGCTCTGCACCACCAAAGAGAAGGCACCTGTAGAAATCAATCATAACGCGTGCTTTTGGGCCAGGTAGACTCGAAATTGCCCTGACAGAATGGCAAACTCCTCGTGGGTCCCTCAGGTGAGAACAGGTGAGAACACGTCGACTGACTTGAGAGGCTTCGTTTCTCCATTCTTCTCCAGTGCACGAAGTGGCTCCGTGCCTAGGTTTAGGCAGCAATGCCTGCAAGCATGACGCATCTCATCTCCTATTCACCAGAAAGAAAACAGAGACTCGCTGGCAGATTCACGGAACCGTAAATGTCTCTTCCACAGATCCAAAAAGTCAGCAATGCTGTTCTTTTTGGAGGGGGGGGGCCAAGCCCATTTAATGCCAGTACGAATCATAACGGGACCACCTGAGAGCTTGTGTCGCCATAATTCATGTCCAGTCCCAGATGCGACAAATCGGCATGTCTCAGGCCTGAGTAGATCATGCATGAACCATCGGCATCGCCTGCTGTCCGTTTGACACGTCAACGACCTACATAAAGCTCGTCTCCGTGTATTACGAAATCAAGCAATACACCCGCTCTTACCCTCGACCGCACCAACCCGACTCTCTCTCAAAAAAATTAAAAAGGGAAAAAAAAAAGAAAGAAAGAAAGAGCCTCATTTCGACTTGTGTCGATCCGGATAGATTGTGTTCATCTTCATCGTCCTCCGTCCCGGTTTACCATGCATGGATCCGCTACTCCGCGAAGAGGCTGGCCGAGCCCAGGATATTGCGGATATACTTTCTACCATCAGGAACTATGACCAGGACCATGTGCAAGAAATCACTCTGGCCATTACCGGGTTGAACAATCTCAGCTGGGCCCTTCGCGAACTTAACGATCAGATTGATGCCATCCGAGGAATTCTCACCAAAGGTTTCGCTGACGATTTGACACTCCTTCAGAACAGTGTTGCCTTCACTCTTCAAGATGTCTGGACCATTCTCGGCAAGATCCCTCGCGACCCGGTCGGAGCGGACTATCGCAATGCCTGGAAAGAGATTAGTCGATACTGTTTGGACATGGGCAAGCAAACCCTTCATATGCGTCTCGAGACGTACCAATTATTTCTCTATGGCCTCTGTAAGAAGCTGAAAAGGTAGGTAGTCGTGACCCGGATTTTTGGTCGTATCCGCCGCTCAAGAGGTGTTTTGGGGTTAGGCAATCCTACAGCCGACGACAAATTGACGACCTTCGCCATGAAATCTTTGACCTACAGTCCCTGCAACGCGATAACCGAAAATTGATATCGGCTACAGAAACATTTGCGAATCTTTCTTTGGTACCAGTCCAACCAGGCACGTATCAGTCAGCAACCAACCCGACAAGCAAGTCAACTAATAGCCAGCAGTGATCAAACAACCTCCATCTCAGGAACGTGTGAGACCACAGACTCAACGCCCGATGTCGCCTACAACCTCCCACGACAGTTACGACACTCTCCAGCACCAAGCAGCTCCCAGTCCGCCAGCGCTATCTCCCACCACCACTTTCTCCACTATCAGTCATACGTCGAGCGTAGATCCCGAGACCAGTCATTGGGCGACCAATATTTTCAACAACCTCCCCACCACGAGTCTCGAAGACGATCCTATGCTGTAAGCATTGGCCTCCCCTTCGGACTTGATGACACTGCTGACACTTATTCCCAGCTCAACCTGCTTTGGAGACAGTTCCGGCAGGGGCCGTAGCTTCCCAGATTCCGAGTTTGAAAGAATCCTCCAGCTGTGAGAAGAACATCCATGGACGGAATCTTCACGGAGATAGTGCCGGCTGACATCGAGCAGGAAATTCCCTGGTGGCCTTCGAACCAAATTTTACTGGCGCCCTCGTGATTATCGTTGCAAACTTGTCTGCGAATGGCCCGACCCTCGACGAGGGACTCGAATGTCCTGTTTTCCACTGACCGATTTGCATATACGAAGATCCGGACCATTCCTCTACCTCTGTCGTCCGACGGTCACCGCCCCCAGCACCTGTTGGACCAGCCTCAAATTCACTTCCTACGAATGTACGTCATGGTCAGCAAACATGTCTTGATGAGAAAGACTGACAGCTCCTAGGGTTGGTCATCTTTCACTGCACGTTTCTCTCTCTACGATCCCATGACAGCGCCAGACACGTGAGCAATCATCTAGATCACAGGTTGAAGGAAGAAACGAGCAATTTCGCCGGGTAGGCAGTTCAGATATCGGACGAGCGATGTGGAACGCTGACACAAAATTCCAGGGCCATTCGGGATAGCGGTTTCAAGCATGCCTTGCGATTATATCGTGATCGAGGGACTGATGCCGTCCGACTTGAAGCATCTGTCCTCGATGGTGAAATGCAACAGTCAGTTCTTTCAATGTTTCAGTCTGCCTCCGGGACTGACTCACTCCGCAGTACCCCTATCTGGACCGCTTTTATCACACATTGCATTACTTCTCCCACCTGGTATCGTTGGCCCAAGAATAGCTCGACTGTATACTTGGCCGAACTACAACGACATGTCTTTTCTTCCCAGTACTCGGCTCACATAGCCGCCAATGGGGAACACTTTCTCGACTTTGAACTGATTCAGGGTACATATTGACCAACCTGAGCTCCTGAGAGATGTGGCTGATTGAATATAGATGCTGAAGACTTTGTGAAGACTCTCCAGGATTTTGGTGATGAGTATCGCCGCACTAAAACGGTGCTATGACAGACGACAGCATTTTACGACCTGATGACCCTGACGACTAACGATGACAACGACGTGGGGCGGCCAAAATTGTGATCTCTTTTTTTTTTTTTTTTTTTTTTCCCCACCGCGCAGCAAGGAGGATCATTCCTCGGATACCCTCTGTTCCATTTTCGCTTTCGTGATCCGTCTTCTCAGCACCGTTTTCGTCGCTTTGACTTCACGTTTGTGTAATGATAGCAACGATGACCAGAGAAGCTGGTCAAGGGTGGCTATTTCCATGTCTTGTGCGGTTCCTTTTTTAATTACTGCATCTTGCAAAGCCATGCCCGAATTTCTCTGAAAAGCCTGGGATTTTCACCGTTACTCAGCCTAATTCAGATCCATCCGGTATTTAAGACCCAATAACCAGTCTGGCCAGATGGCAATCAATTTATCCGCTCTTTCATCTTTATGTGAATCTCTTCAATTGATGCCGAGGCCATGATCTTCGAAATCGTTTGTCGCTTTTGTATCGGAATCGCTGCCGTGCTTCCCGGGTTCTCTCCGATGCCGGGCGAATTCCGCCTATCGTTCGCCATCATTTAGCGGGAGAGCTCGAAACAGCGGATGAACAGCTCCATCAACCTCAATCTTCATGTCATTTGCGTACAACGGACACTAGCCTTCGCACCAGAGAATCTCCAATGGCTACCCATTGCTCCATGCCAGTGACACAGATCATGGCTTCCTTCTTTCCTAATATAGAGTCTGTCCCACTATGTCGCAGACGACCGACCCCAATCCAACCACAGAGAGCAATATAAAGGAGGAGAGCCAGACACAAGAAGCCTTACAAAATGGTCAGTCGAGGCCGAAAAGGAGCGTCTTTCAGAAGGCGTACGACGGCCTTACACATGTACCACCTAGGTGTCGATATGACCCTGAGAAGCCCTTTCGATTCTCCATGGGATTGAATCTGTTGTTTGGTAAGAATGAGTATCTACCCTCAGACGAGGCCAAAGATGCTGACCTGCTTGCTCCAAACAGCGTTTGCTGGATGTTTCACTGTAGCGAATCTCTACTACAACCATCCTATCCTCAATCTCCTGGCAGACGATTTCCATGTTACCGACGAGGAATCCTCCTATATCCCAACCCTCGCACAAGCTGGGTATGCCGGTGGACTGTTGTTCCTGTGTCCGCTGGGAGATTTAGTCAAGAGAAGACCGTTTGTTCTTTGGCTGGTTTGGTTCACCGCCACACTGTGGTATGCTCAGAGGTTTACATATAACATCATGCGCTGACGTGCGATGCAGGATAGGACTGTGTGTGACAAACTCCTTTGCCGCGTTCGGGGCGATCTCCTTTCTCACCAGTGTCACGACAGTCACACCGCAATTGATGTTACCCCTGGTCGGAGATATGGCCCCTCCTCACCGTCGAGCTACTTCTATCTCCATTGTCGTGTCTGGTATGCTGCTGGGGATGCTCATCGCTCGTCTCTTGTCGGGTATTGTTGCCCAATATATCGGATGGCGATACATCTACTGGATATCTTTTGGGCTGCAATATTTCATCCTGGTTTTGCTATACCTTTTCATGCCAGACTATCCTTCCACAAACCCGGACGAGAAAATATGGAAGAAGTATCCCTTCCTGTTGTGGGACATTGTGAAGCTTGTGTTGAAACAGCCCGTCCTGGTACAGGCATGTTTGGTTGGCATGTTTACATCCACGACATTCACGAGTTACTGGACAACATTGACCTTCCTTCTGGCTGGACCGCCTTATCACTACAACTCTCTCGTTATTGGCCTCTTTGCTTTGATTGGTATAGGGAGTATGACCTGGGGTCCCATCTTTGCTCGAACAGTCATGGAAAAACACCAACCACTGTTTTCTATTATTGTGGGAGAATTAATTTGTTTGGTTGGTGTTGTTGTCGGCACGTATATCGGGAAATTCACCCTTGCCGGGCCCATCATCCAGGCGATAGGCATTGACATTGGATTGCAAACTAGCCAAATCGCCAACCGGACGGCGATTTATGGAGTCGCGCCGAAAGCGCGAAACCGGGTCAACACAGCCTATATGGTCAGCGTGTTCGTCGGACAACTGATTGGGACTGCCGTGGGCAATTCTCTCTATGCAGATGGCGGCTGGATTGCCTCGGGATCTGCAAGTGTTGGCTTTGTTTCTGTAGCTCTACTCATTTGTTTCTCGCGAGGACCCCATGAACGTGGCTGGATCGGCTGGCGAGGCGGATGGAACATGCGAAAAGGGGTTCCGACAAAGAGCCCAAACACCGGCCAAGAAGTCGTGCATGTTCAAGAACAGACTGAGCCATCTGTCGAAGAGACATCCGAGGAATTATATCAACAGAAGAAAGATCTGGAAATGTCAGTTCAGAACGAAAAGCATGTTGTCGATTATAGCTCCCGGTCGTCACAGGGGACGCTTCACGAGGAAAATCGACCTCCGAAACAAAAAGGGTGACATGGCTAAGAGATACTGAGTCTGGATTTTATTCCTTGGCCTACCACGGCCTACCACGAGCTGTGAAGCGGTAGCCAGATCATTGCATCACCCCTGACGCTCAAGATTGGTTCGAAGTGGCTGTGCGAGGCCCCGGGACAATTTGGCTGTGGCAATCGACCTACTCGCTACCGTGCATCAGCATTGAGCAACTAGCTTTTGATGTAAAGTCATTTCGACCTTGGCGCAGCGCATGGAATTGAGCATCGAGTACGACAAAGATTTGTTCTCGGTAGCAGGGTCCACGCAATGCTACTGAGATCTTGTTGTCGATGCTCAATTCCAGATTTGGCGTACGATTGGAGCGGACTCGTCCACTGTCAGAGACTTCAACAGAGTCCAAACGCCGACAGTCACTGGTCACTCTTCTGATGGGAGCCTCCCACAACAAGGCCGATGGCTATTCCATTCTCCATTCAGAAACCCCCAAAAACCTTTGACGGATTGTTTTCGAAAATATGAGATTGCAGATCACTGAAATGAGTCAACCCCTTTCTTCTTTCAATGTTGTGCCCAGGTTTCCTCCTCATTCCTCACTAGGCTCGCGTTAGAATTCTTACCATTTTCCTAAGACTGCCTCTTCAAGATCACTCTTTTTACTTCACGCGTTTCTTGACGAAGAGTCATCTGTCTCTCGCTGGCTATCGTGGCGGGTCCATTCCCTTTTTACTGGGAGCACGGTTCTTCATTTACTTCTTGCATGCCATTTTTATTTTGGTCGTGCTTTGGCACAGTCCGGTTCTACTTGTCAGCTAGATTCAGAATACTCGGGTATCAATTTCTTTCAGGGGGACTTTATACGGTAAGATCATATGTTACTGTGTCAAGGTTCTAACCTGCTGACAGGAACAGGGAGGCGATCCGACGGGAGGATTGGTGACGTTAGTATACCGAACATGGAACAGCATTGCCTCTGACAATCAACAGGTGTTACAGCCATTCTTCTGCTGAGCTCGTTGGTATGATCAATTCCAGCGATACATCACCCATATACATTGGTTCAGACTATACTGCTTTCATTGGTTCCGCACAAGCCGCAGGTCGACCCTGCGTTAGAATTTCTACAAAGAGGTCATGGACACATGGATTGTTCATCGGAGATTTCAGTCACGCACCGGGAGGAGTTCATGGAAGTTGGCCAGCACGTATGCAGCATGTGATAAACGACGGAAACTTGGGCTGACCCTTGGACCTTTGGGACCGAATCGGCCTTATAATGAGAGAAATTGATTTCATGGAAGGTGTCAATCTACTCACTCGTAACGGCAAGACACTCCATACGTACGAGAGAACCCCATGTCGACGGGAGAATCCCTTTCTAATGGAGCAGAAATCCGAACTGCAGCATTGTTGGAGGCAGCAGAACAATGACAGGGCAGTTGCAATCGACTTGCTGCGCATGTTATATCAGTGCTATGTGCCAATATCCGGTGCGATTTTCCGACCAATTGCCACCCGGGTAGAATGTTGGATGTGGTGTTAGCGACAATCGACCTTCCAGCTTTGGAGCCGGTCTCGATGCCATTGGTGGAGACACCTATGCCATACAATGGATGTCTGAGTATACTCACATCTGGTTCTTCCCAAGAGATTCAGTTCCTCCCGATATTACTAACCGAAATCCCGATCCTTCCGCTTGGGGTCTTCCGGCCGCAAATATACAAGGATCTTGTGTTATGGACGAGCAGTTTCAATCCCATAAGGTCATCTTGAACAATGCATTCGCTGGAGAATACGCTGGAGCATCGAGTGTCTGGAATTCCACTACCGGTTTTCAACTTGTTCTTCATATGACACAGGTGCTGGAGCATGAACTCGATCCGAGTATATCAGCTAGTCACCAACGCTAACGCTTCATCAGCGTCAACTCCCTGTATCACGAGTAACCAATCGACTCCATCAAGTATATCTACACACAGTGCTTCCATTCCGATTTCATGCCGTACGATATCACGCGTCCGATAACGCCATCCATGCGCATCACAACCATTCCTGTCTTTCATGCCGGAGAACATTGGCCACCCCTTTCTTCCCGACCTCGCACTATTTCACTCGTGGCTAATCGCTAGTAAATTTCTTCCAATGCTTACCGCCGCAACACTTAATCTCGACGTCACACTCTCCCACTTTATCATCACGTTCATGAGGTTTGACCCGGCACCAAACCCTCAAATCTCCGTTTGGTCGACCACCAAAGGGAAGGAAGATCGGTACGTGCTTGCGCTCCCACTCGCCAAACTTGAGGTCCAGCTGTCTTCCCCCCGTAGATTGAGTTCCGAAGAGGAATTTCCATGCTTTGACGACGAAATCGCAGATATCATTGGTCGAAGATGGTGGGTGAAGCGTCACTGTGCGATTGTGCTCGGGCTCAACAGTGAATGTGATAGGATTCATTTTGCGAGAGTCGAAATTGCCCCCACAACTATTCGAGGGGAGTCTAGCGTTGGCGTTTCGCGCGTTCCTGTCGTTGTCCTGGTCATCGTCATCCTCGTCGTCGTCATCCGCATCGCCGTCTTGTTCGTCGCGAGCTAACATGTAAGCTAGCCCGCAGTCAAGATAGATTTGGATTTTGTCCAGCTTGGACTTCTTGAGCTCCTCCAGAATCTCTTGATAGTCTTCAAGTTTCAGATCTTTCGATTTCCGCTCAAGATCGAAGGTAAACGATTTCAGATTTGGACAAGAAGTTCGAATCAATTCGATCTCTTTCAATGACAAGACTCGATCTTCGGTTTGAAGTGTGTCTTCCCTCTCGTGAAGATGTAATTCTTCCAAAGTGGGTCCATGGCGATGGAGAATGGTGAAAAGTGACATTTTACCCATCCAAGACCATAAACTCAAAGATGATAGGGGCGAACAAGTCGCGATGTAGTTTTGTGCTGCTTTTGCAGTTCCTTCCGGGCAGTTGGATGTGCCAAGATTCAAGCTGATGTGTTTGAGACCGGTCAACATCTCACCAGCACCTTGGAAATAGGAGGCCGAAAGGACCCCTCGACTACATTTGAAGCTCTCGAGGGTTGAGAGATTGACGTAGCGAGACCAGTAGTTTAGCGTTTGATCTGACAAAGGCCAACCATCCAGCGTCAAGTGACGCAGTGAAGAGTTGGGTTTCTTGGGGGACGTATCCTCCGCAGCCCATCGTTCAATGATGTCGCGATGAAGGCCAAAGGAGATGAGGGATGCGAATCTCAAATTCGGCGCGGACGAAATGATATTCTGAAAGGCGACTTGGTCGCGCTCAAGACGATGTGTACTGAAAGAGATTTGCATGGAAAACGCAGTCAAACAAGGACATGCGGCAAGGGCTTTCTCTGACTCGACCGGTTCTGGATAGGAAGTGTCTCGTTGAACCCGACGAACTTTGAGCTCTGCCTTTGGATGATGTGTTTGCAACGCTTGAATAATCTCATATGGTGGAGGAGCGCCAACATCCCAAGTCAGGGATTTGAGGTTTCCGGCTTCAACCAAGAGATCTTTCAAGTTGGAGAGCGCAGGAGAATTTATTGGATGTAACGCACCAACACCTCGTTGGATTGTCAGGTGGCGTAGGCCGCGAAGGAGTTCTGGAGAGAGCCATTGGCCTGAGGTCCGAGCGTTGGAAGAGACGCAGTCTAAATGATGTTGGTTCCAGCAAAGAGTCTTGCGACGATGACGGATGAGTTGGACTGCGGAGTTGAAATATTTGTTGGTTTGAGCGATAGCTCGAGTGGTTCGAGGGGACTGGTCATCGACGTATTCAAAGATGCTGGCGAGAATTTCAATCTCGAGATCGACAATGCTGGTCATTTTGTGAGGCTCAGTCGAGGTCGGCTGGAGGGGCGGTCAATGTGAGGAGAGTTATCATTATAAGAAAAAGAGATCAAGAGTGTAGGAGAGAGGACGACGAAGGAGATAGAAGAAAGAGTCAAGTGTCACTGGGTTTGAAAGGCAATAATAAGGCTGGTGAGGCTTTTGAATGAAGGGCCTAGAATGAGGCAAAGCCTGCTTCTGATCGGCAACCGCGACATGAAGGCGCCAGCACACGCTATCACGTGATTAAAATACGGTGAACTATTATTGCACTATTACATTGCGGTGGATCATTTATGATCTAATAGCAGTATCTGGGGACTTGACGCATAATGTGCTTGGCCATTGCCGGTGTATGTCTTGCGCACATGCGAATATTCAATACGTTTCCGATCATAGTGTCCTCTAAAAGTCTGCTCTGAGCCAGTTCTGGCGTCCTCCGTACTTGACTTCGCTGTGAAATGGTCGATCCTCTGAAGCCATCTCGAGCACGGACAAGGGCTCACAGGGGATGGTATGGATCATCGTCACGGTCATGGTCTCATTCATGCTTTTGAACCCGGAAACCAACTTGAATAGCATTAACCAGACAAGGTCCAGGATTCCCCGAAGAATGATCGACACACTTGAGTAGAGAATCCAGACCTTGGAAGTCCGGTCCATAATACCGTATGTGCTGCGGCCAATACTCGATTCTACTGCACGTCATCAACTATTTTGCACGTCCAGTTTATGAAGGATGTTATTGTTTCGTTTGGTGTTACGACCCTGCTACAGTGTCGAATTCGGCGGGCGAACAGATGGAAGGATGACCACATCGACCGCCTTCTTGAACACGAGGTGTAGGGGGTTAACCCGTGTTTCTGGCCAAACTCTGACAAGTCGCACCATTATTTCAATCCAGCAGCCTTCTGATGGCACCGAAGCTGGTGCTCAATGCTAATTGAACTGCCAGAGTCCTCCCTACAGACACCTTGACGGGTTCTCGGTGCTCCTGGGTTGATCGAATTTGGCCATCAGAGGAGCTGCGGTATTCCCGTCAGATCTCGGTATGCTGGGCGGAGGAAGGCTTCGCAGACTGCCATCAGCCTGGGAATTCGGCTCTTAAGCCTGAGGAGTTGACTGGCCTGCCATTGCTGCTGTATCGCGCAAGGCAGTCCGACGGAGTTCCGCACGAGGAGATCATTGCAGAAATCAGGCTAAGAGGCTCAAGATGGATCCGAGGCATATGGCTAGCTATTGGCCTAGCTATCAAGTTCCTTGCCCATTCTCCCGATGCGCTAGATCAGTTCAAGTCGGCGATCATCAAGTCTTCGTTCCCAGCTCCAGTCCGGCAGGCCTCATCAACTCTTCTGCAGCATCCTGGAAATTCATCTGCGACCTCAGCAAAGACCCTGTGCGAATCAAAGACACTCATGATGTGTATCGTCCCTTCTTCTGGCTCAACTCCATGGATGTGGAACGCTCCGTTGTTCCCCTACATGTTGAGCAGGGTTTCGCTCGGCCGTCTGAGCCACAGCTCGTGAAGGATTGGATCTTTGAGCTCTCAGCAGGCACGGTACTTGACCGTGTTTTGGAGTTCAAGTACTGCACTGACATGAGGTTCATCGCAGACGTCGTGCGCTCTGGCACGAGCGACGGTATATATGACCCCTTCTCACTGCTCGGAAAACGGTACCTTGACGTTAATGACATTTTCGATTTTGTATGCCGTTCCCTTAACCTTGACATAATTAAATGCCGGAGGGCAAATCTTCAAGCCATGTGTGTGCAGCGGCAAGTGACCACTCACTTTGGTAGCTGGAGGACAGAGATGAGGAACGTTACCTGCTTCGGGCTTGCAAATTGGACAAAGTTCGAGGAGGCTAAGCGGGGTGGCCAGAGGGTAGTGAGCGTCAACATTACAGATGAGAAGTGGCCATAACATGAGGCTGTATCGCTGCGGGAACAGGACGATCGTTTCTCAATCGCCGGAGTATTTGCGAATGCAAGTTGGAGTGCATCATAGAATAAAGTTCTCCACAAGAGGCTATGCCATCTCTAAGCTTAACTAAGGAGAACAGTCCTTGTGGGCATGCCCGCTAAGAACATGGCGCATCCTAAATGCACGTAACGCGCAGGCTGTTTACCGAGATGGGGGGGGCTCCAGGGCAGATATCCCGCCCACGGCATCAATAGCACGTAGACGGGGAAAATGGATGATGGAAACAATGTTGGCTCTAGAGATATATTATGCAAGCGCCATCGCCGAGAATGATGCTTCCCAGGACTTTCTCCCCTCCAATCTCTATGTTCTTGCCTCCCTCCAACCTCCGCTCTAATGCCATGTCTTCACTACCTTTTATGACCGTGTCCAGATGTGCTGGCCGTAAATGCAATGAAGCCGAGCCCCAAGCGCCACGCTGTGGAAAAAGCCGTTGACTGATTCTCTCCCCTTTCTATTCCAACCGCCATTGTCGTAAAATGTTCTATAGCCGTCGTGGTATCGTGTGGTCTAGAATTCTTCGTCGATGATGGCCTCGTCTAATTCGGAGAGCAAAGACTCTTCGAGTAAACTGTGGCTTGCCACGTAACTGAAACCACCAAAAGGATCGGATTTGCTCAAGGTCCTGCTGTGTCTTCGGGCAACAGTATCAATTGCTCGATCGGTAAATTCTTTTGAGAAGTTCTCGGCCAGTTCAGGATTGGTGACTAATGGTTTGATAGGCGGGTCAAGCTCGCGAGCTTCCAGCTTCTTCCAATCGATCTTCCGGAAAAATCGATGCTTCTTGATGACACTGATGTCGTTGGAACCCACGCCAAGCCGTTTTCGAGGTTCTTTGCGGAGAAGCCTCGTGAGAAGATCTTTGGCGTCCGGCGACAAGAAGTAAGGCAGACTCAGCTTTTGAAATAGGATGTTTTGTTGAATCTTTGTCCAACTTCCACCTCCAAATGGAGGTTTGCCGGTCATAAGATCACAAGCCATTGCCCCCAGAGACCACCAATCACAGGCTTTCCCATAACCCGGACCAAAGTTAGCCTCATCAGAACCACGGATAATTTCGGGGGCCATGTATTCAATCGTACCCACTCCCAGACTATTGCAACGGCTGCCTCCCGGGGTACTGGCATCTTGAACGGCAACCTTGCTAAGGCCAAAATCGGTCAAGAGAAGATGGCCCTCAGCATTGAGCAAACAATTCTCCGGCTTGAGATCACGATAGATGACGCCGACCGTGTTGTGAAGATAATCCAAGGCCAAGACGATCTCAGCGATATAAAACGCAGCCACTTCCTCGGAGAAGAATTTCTCGAGCTCCAGATGACGGAAGAGTTCTCCACCAGAGGCGTATTCGAGGATCAGATACAGCTTCTCATGATCTTGAAATGCATAATAGAGGTTGACAATGAACGGATGACGATTGACCAGTTCGAGAATGGTGCGCTCGGACTTGGTGGACTCGATTCGCTTCTTATGCACTTTCAGGAAGGCCTTGGTAAGTTGCTTCTGCGCGAATAATCTGCCGGTGGCATTTTGCCGCACCAGAAGCACGGTCCCAAAAGCGCCGTCACCGAGGCAGCGAATGGGGGTGAAATCCGCTGCCGTCATTTTACGGGCTATCATTGACGTCGCACGCTGATCCGCATTCATGGTTGAGGTAGACGCCGGGTGTGCTTCCGTCTCGGCCAGCGACTGGCTAACAAAGTCTTGGTCGATCGGGACATTGTAGCTCACCATATCTTCGCTGGCCTCTTCGCCGGGTGTGTCGGAGGCTGCGCTGGTTGCACTGCTCGTCGCCTCCGAACCGATATTGTTTCGAGCACGAGAGGTTGAACGGCTCTGACTGCGAGAATTGAGAGCGTCGAGTTGGGTTTTTAAACTGCTGACACCAGGTGACTGGGGTCGCAGGCCCGGACTGGCACCAGCCAACGCGGGTAGACGAGGAGTGGGTGACAGGACTCGTGGACTACCGCGTGAAGCATCCGAATCTTCGGCACCCGAGTCTACCGGAGTGAAGCCTCTGACGGTATTCAGCGCCTGAGCGGCCTTCGCCTTGTGATTCTTTTTCTTCTTTCTCTTGGCTGCTGCCGTCGTGGACAAAATGACGCTGCCCTTGACTTCTTGTCTTCCTCTTGCACTATCCACTTCATTGACAGATCCAACTTCGCGACCAATGATGGAGATTGCCTTCTGAGGAGTCACCGGGGGACTCTTTGTTCGAAATGGAATGATCTCCGGCTCAGCGGCATCGGCCGCATTGTTGCTGAGCGCGATCGAATGGAGGGTATTTTCCAATTCAGTGGACATGCCGTCGGATAAGCGTGCGAGGCTGGAGGGATCCTGGACTTTGTCCATGACAGTCTGAATGCGAGCGAAAGCAATGCCGTGACCAGAGTCGGAGTATTACCGTCCGCCCTATTTCAGGACGGACCATATGCCAGTAGCCAAACCGAACCGCCGGCAATGAAGTTGGATGTAAGCGACGTTGAGGTCACATAGGAAGGTGCGATCAAGCAGTAAGCAAAAGGGAGTGGAACACTGGTGGTCGAAGTAGTGACTGTGCTGCGACCCATTGAAGGTAAAATAATATACGGCGTTAAGTGACTTGACAGAAAGGAAAATCACAATACCAAGACAAGAAGAGGGTGATTTGGTGGAGAGAGATAGAACTGATTCGGCTGCAGATCTTGGTCGGCGCAGCCCTGGGATTCGGGGAATAAAGAGTAGGAGCAGGTGTAATTTTTTTTAATGGCAGGCTGGCAGCGTCAATAAAAGTGGGAGGCCGGCCACAGAACTGCCCCGGATCTGTCACGTGCTCAGCCTCTGTGCGGATCCTGGGGGAGAAAATTCACCACGATTCGGCTTCCGGATCAACTATTTTTCCGGAGATCCACATTTCAGATTCCACACCGATCAGACGACTCGAACTCTCACGCCTCCCTCACCTCTTCTCCCAGTGCAGGCCCAGCTCACATATCTCCAGCTCAATCCCATCACCAACAGAGTCTAGACCAGTATGGACAAAATTATCCTGAAGAACCTGAGATTGGACCTCGCCGTTGGTCTTGATGCTTGGCGTCGATGGGGCAAACCTCAGCCTGTCTCCATCACCCTGGAAGTCCAGCCCGTGTCCAATTTCGAGGCTGCTGCTGCTCGAGACGACGTCAGTCTCTCTATGGACTACGGCAAATTGTACAAGAGAATCGCCAGCGGTCTAAAAGAGGTTGATGTTTACCCGGCCATCCACGTCCTGATATCTCGGCTCTCAGAACTCGTGTCGGAATATGCTCAACTCGACATCGAGATCTTGCTCCCCAAAGCTCTCCTCCCGGCCAATGGCGGAGTCTTATATCGTTTCCAGGTCGACAGATCAGCTGTTGAAGTTGCCACATCGACCTTGACCTTGACCATCCAGCAGATTGCCTGCAGTTGTATTATTGGCGTCAATCCGCGTGAACGGCTTTACAAGCAATCGTTGTTCCTCGACATCAGTTTGCCCGTCATGACTACCGCCGTTGGACCAGGTCAATCTGAAGAACCATATGAAGCGGCGTTACATGATATGGTTTATGAGGTGGCCGAGGTAAGTGATCTGCCATAATGTCATTGCGGTCATGGCTGATACGCGGACCATTTTAGCGAGTCGAGGGCTCGTCATATCACACAATTGAAGCATTGGCGACGGCAGTGGCCCAAATCGTTACGATGAACTACGGCCATACAGTTGCCAAAGTCCGCATCGAGAAGCCTAGCGCGATCACCACTATCGATGCGGCCGCCGTTGAGATTACTCGTAGCAAGACCTTTTTCGAAAACAAAGACTTCTGGAAAGTTAAGCTGCCTTGACGGCATATTGCTGCATTTTAGTTGCCGATCAGGTCGACTACACTGACTCGAGGACCTCGTGACCGCTCTGACGGTTCCAAGGGTGAACTTGGGACTGATGTACACTCGGCTTCCTTCCAAGTTCCTGGGAGGCTTGAACGAGGAATCGCACGGACATGAGTGGCTGAAAACGTTGTCGTTAGTCCCGTGGTTAAATCAGGGGGGATGACAACCGATTGGACCTCTGCAGACGAGGTCTTTTGCTGATTGGCTGCTATGTACGGAGCAGAGAAACTCTCAATGGGTGGTTTCGTTTGGTCAGGATCACCGGTGGTCGATGCCGCTTTGGCCGACACGTGGTCTTTCTTTCCGGCCTTCCCGCTCCTGTGCGGCGTGACGGTGCCTTTGATATTTTGAAGACCATCGGCTGTTGTATCACCAATGTCAAGATGCCTCTTTGTTGACTCGATGCCTCTCTGAATCGGTGACGAAGTTATAACGATTGATTCTTTCAGCAAGATTTCTTCTGGGGACGTGTTCTGGTTCGAGGCTAGGGCATACGCTGAATTTGAATCGGCCTTCAGCGACCATGTCGGCTTTTCACTGGAAAGCTGAATATGAGGACGACCTTTAGTCCGGGTTCTGGTCGACCTTTTCATAACTTGCCGGATACCTTCCGACGAGCTCGACGTTGGAGATCTCGAGTGCTTCTCGGCAGCAGTCTCATGGAGCAGTATGTCCATATTTTCCTTCTCACCGCCGGCGGCGTTTGTACGACGACTGGGCGAAGAGTCCTTGGATAATCCCGACATCCTTTGTGTGGCATCCGGGAAGTATCGGCTCTTGCTAGGTTTGAAATAATCTTGTAGGCTCGACGAGCTGGCATTTTTGAGTTGGCTGGATCCCAGCTTTGTGGGAATTCTGGGCACACGGTGTGCGCCGATATTTGCTCGAGGTCGGTGTGGCGACGGAGCGCTGGTCATGTCTGGTAGGGCGGCCACATCGCTGGACGGGACAACATAATTCAGTCTTGTCCCAACTTGGGTTCCGCCCGTGTCCTTGTGTTGCTTGGTCTCTTTCTGCTTCCGACATTTGCGAGTTGCAAATTTTTTGGGATCATTCTTAAGCTCCTCCTGTATTTGCCTCCATCTGTCGACGTACTCCTGAGCGCCCATCTCCACTATAGCCTCAGGAATCCACATCTTTTCGGGTGCGTCCGGTAACCAGGGAGGAGTTTTTCGCTTTTTGGAAGGACTTTGAGGAACAGGACCATCCTCATCGGCATTGCCAGCTTCTGGATTATTCCCACTCTCCTCATCTGCCGCAAGACTCTTTAGATATGCTGGACTGTCTCCTTCCGCGTCTAGGTTAAGGCCAACGACCTCGGCTGGAACCGCGGTCACTCTCAGCTCCGGAATACCGTCGCTCACGAAATGTTTCCGTCGCTCGGTGATCTGATCTGCCGATTGAATATCAGATCTAGCTGTGCCGCGATGTAGTCGATTGGCAAGCAAGGCTGGAGCCATGACCCGTACAAATTTCCACGCTCCTGGTTTATAGAGCCATTCAAATGTTTCTCCCACATAGTCTCGCAGAGCCGGAATATCGATTTCAGATTTCCATGCCTCAAGCCACTGCCCTTCTAACTCGGCCAATTGGTCCTCGGGAGTGACGGCAGGATTCATATAGTAGCCCAAGATCTGGCGGTTAGGAAATGTGTCGGGAATCTGGACAGATTTGCGTTTGATCTTGAAATAACCGCTTTCGTTGGTTTGGAGTTCAAATTGCAGTCGTTCGCGCCATTCTCGGACGCCGACTTCATCACCTCTCCGGACACAGCCCAAGAGCTCAGAGCCGAAACCAGCTCGTGCTATCTCACAGGCCAGTGTGGAGCCAATACCAGCCACCCCAACTTCATCATAGTCACCACCACCCAGCAGAGCCACGAGGATCATTCCATCCGGGTCCAGCCTTGACAACGACTGGAGCTGGTCGATATCGAGGACATTGACGTGGGTTGGGGATTTGCTGTGCTTGGAAGTTTCTTTGGACCAATCTCTCAACGTCCGAGTGGAGCCAAACATGATGGCGTCCACATCTTGGCTCATGACGGCGTCGACAATCCCTTTGCTTTGCAGCATAGCACATTCCGCCTCCGCCTCGCCCGGCGCCGTGTGGTGAGGAAATCGAAATGCCTGGATGAGCTTTTTGGACCTTTCGTTGGAAATGCATGTGCCATATCCGGAGACCGTCTTGCCGCGCTTGGTGAGGGGCTTGTTCTGGCCGTCGTACACAAAAACTGGATGAATGGGCAAAGCAAGTAATTTCAATAATCGATAAAACAATGTCCTTAACGCTGGATTCTTCCCCCCCTGGCTGGCCTGAGTCTGGAAATTCCAAATGGCGGCATCAACAGCTATCCGTAAAGGTCGTTGTGATTGTTCAAGATGGTCTACCGCGAGCTTTGCCAATGCGACTCGCTCCCCTTTGCCTATTTCTTTCAGTATCCTTTGCCGGTCAGCGTGGATTCTCACCGAAATCTCGTGATGCAATCTTACCCAGGAATTCCCATATTAGCAGATACACGTTCATTCAGGGGCTAGATTTGATTCTCATTTGTGGTTGCCTTCCCCGGTAGTGTTTACATGAAATTGTTGACGCACTGAAGCTCGGTTCGGTTCAACCCCGGATAAATATTAATACAGCGGACCATTCACTAGTACGGCGAGACAGAAGCACCCAAGACGCAAGCGCAGTCTCGTCATCGAATATCAGTCCCTTCCACTTCCATGCTGTGTCACTGACCTCTACTGAAGTAAGTCCGTTCTTAGCCATGCTAATCGTGTCGACAGGCACATCATCTCGATCATGTCTTACTCGGGACCTAGCCTCCCACCTCAAGGCCTCTACCTTCTTCCTTGCCCGACCACCTCGTATTCGTCCGACAGGAGATGTTGATAACTTTGACCAAAAATGAAGATTTTGACTACGCTCAGCGTGGCATCACAATGCCTCGCTGATCGCTAATGGGGATAGTGACCAACGTGATTGAATTATAAAAGCTGGACCGGTCGGCCAGCACGCATGCTCAACTTTCACATCCATTCCATCGACAATGCCCGGATGATCACAGTCCCATAGACTTCTTCTGCCGACCAGTGGTCCAAGTCCCAGAGCCGGCCCTGATGAGCCGATCGCGGTTTCATTCGCCCGGCGGCGTTTGCAGCAATATCTCCACAATTTCTTCTGGATGGCTGATCATGGCACAATGATCCGATGCCATCGGTACCTTTCTTATATTTCCTTTCCCCTCGGCAATCACGGTATCCACATTCTTGTGTTGCACATCGGGCGAAATCGCAACGTCCCTTTCGGTGACCACGACCGTCGTTGGAACATGTAGATATCCAGCGTGAGTGAGTCTTCCCAGAAAACTGACTGCACTATGGGGTTTCTGGAGGCTCCCATAATACTTCTGGGTTGCCTTGTCGTCCAGATCGGAACAGAGGTATGCCCCTGCAACCTCCGCGTCTATTGGCTCGATATAGTCGGGCTTCGATTTCATGTCCAGCGGTATTTTGCCTCCCACCAGCTCTTGAGCGTTCATTCCCACGGGAGCTAGCAATGACCCAATAAACACCACATGCACCAGAGCGCCAGGCTTCCCATTGGCCTCCCTTTCGGCTTTTGTTGTGCCTTTGACTGCTTCGGTTGAGACGAGGCCGCCATACGAGTTCGCACATAACACAACATTTTTGCCTTGGTCTGCAAATTCAGAGACCACTGAGCGGATATGATCCGCATCATCATACATTGTTGCTGGGCTGCCTTCGCGTTTTCCGACGGACGGGAGATCAATCTCATGAACTTGGTAGCCACCATTTTGGAGGATGGTGGTCACTTTGTGATAAAAGGAACCGGGACAAAAGCCGCCCGGAACGAGCACGAAGACCGTGTTTTCGGATGATGGCTTCATATTTGTTTTTGGGTCCAGACAATGGAATGTTGCTTCTCGCCCAGAAGAACTGGTCCTTGTAACGTGGTGTGCCAGATCTCTCTTTATATGCAAAGTTTTCTTAGATTCAGTTAGTTCATACAGTCCCAATGCTTTGTCAATGAGGCCTCCCATGCAGCAAAATGCTATGAATGGGACATTTTATTCGACTCCGCTTCTCCTCAAGTTAGGCGTCCCGTGAAGGAACAGGCTTGACATTTGGACTCTATTATATACACTACCAGGCTTTCGTGTCCTCCCTTGTCCATCAGACACGTGCGAGACGGATCCCAAATGGGCAGCTTGAATCTGAACTTTGGGAAGATTCCGACTATCTCTCAGAGAAGCAAAAGGAGCCGACTGCTCAAGTCGTGCGAAATGCGGACAACACAAGTCAGTTTGCTACATGAATGCGAAATGCCTATCTCGCTATTCCACTGCTTCTACATACTGGATCGGTCTTTGAATTGTTGGCTTTTAGAGGTTTGCCGCCTTGATTATTGTTACTCAACAAGTACGATGAAAGTGATCTGAACCAACCTCGAAGCAAGCAGCCAACCTCCTGAGTCAAACAAATATTCGATCACACGACTTCCACTCTTTCTGCAGAGCATGTTCTTGGACTTCAACTCTCCTAAAAAGCTGCGAGGCACATTGACTGGCACTGCGATCATGACTAGAGTCCCAGCACTTATGTACTGCTACCAGCTTTACGCCGATAAGGAGGCATCTCGACCGCCCGATTTACCCACTCGGTTGATCTCGGTGCTCCAGCGACAGACTTCAAGCCATGCCATCCGGACGTAGTGACACCAATTGGTTGGGTACGACCTTCGGCCTTATGCTCATCGTCAAGTCATTTCGACCACGCTGCCCCAGTCCGTGTGTTCGTCTTGTACTGGGACATTCTGGCTGCCCGCACTCGTGTGCTGCATCCTCGTCTTCGTCCACATATGGCTGCTTTTGTTACATAAGTTACTCCTGAAGAACCCCAGAAGAGTCTCCACCGAAGATTACCAGGCACTCAGTGGATACTTTTGGCCGGTCTTTGTCAGGGTATTTGTGATGCCACTCTTCATCAGCGGGCCTCTAGTTGGGACTGGGACTTTTAGGAAGGACAAGGCCGCTGCAGGTAGGGAAAAAAATACTCGATAGGAATGGTTCCAGGTTCTTGCAGATTGTATAGGAAACTACAACAAGTGGCGTTGCCATGGAAGGGTGCTACAACCTTAAATATACTTGCAGGCAGCAAACTCTTCGCAAGAACATCACTCACAATCGCGACGTACCAGCCTCCCTCGATCCTTCAAACTTGATATGGCCATACTCCCTGTATCCTTTGTTTCCTAGGCCCAGAATGACTCTTCGTTTCGCAAAATGACTTGTATGATGATAAGCTTCATGCTTCTCAATACTCTCCCAGCCCACGTATACAATGTACGAGTTCGCATGGCCATCCACTGGTTCAACGACCGTCCCGCCGGCACAGCCGAGGCAGCCATCTACACATCGAACAATATGTGTCCATAAAGGCCATGCACCCTCATGCCAGGCAGCATTTGTGGAGACGTAGATGGCGGTTCCAGTAAATGGTGCCCCCTTTCCCAAAGCGTGGCATTTGGGAGTGAAATCCTGCAGGAATGCATGGCGGACCAGCAGTGTTGTCGAAGGATCGAGCAGGGGCTGAAGAAGTTTCTGAAATTTCGGATATTGAGCCGAGTTGAGGAAGTCCAGATGCTGTGCGAGTTGGTCCCTGGCTTAGATAGCGTCAACGAAAAAATCGGCAAACTGTTCAAGATAGAGAGTGTCCAACAACTTATCCTAACAGATCCAGAACAGGATCACACCTTCGACCCCTCGGTCTTATGGCCCAAAGTTTCCAGAAACATGGGAAACGCTTACTTACCGACGTGCAATTGAACTTGGGACATATCTTCGGCCGAGCGACCCCAGTACAGCCGTCGAAATCCTACATGTTGTTCTATCACGTCCAGAGCCTGTGACCATGCGTTACCAGCATTCAACTTGGAGTCTGTGAGGTCCTTGTCTGCAGGGATCGTCAAGTAGATGATCTGTGTCACGGAGGTGATCATTTTGAACTTGTGTGGGGCCCTAGCAACTTAAACCATGATTGAGAATGATATTACGATACCACGTGCCTGAAAGTGAGGTTATCCCGAACAGGAGACGGCGTACCCATGAGTTTCTGTCCCTGGACAACTCAGTTACAATGCCTCGGATGCTCGCGACACGAACTTCCCCTCACCTTCTCGCTTCCCGAAAGAGGAAATGATATATTGCCTGGCCACCTCCTCCCACATGAGTTAACAAGAGGCCATGGATAATGCCTTGGTGTGGTCGATCCAGGCGGACTCTTCGTGTCTGGACATAGGGGGTTGCCCGAAACTGCCTTGTTGTGACTGCATGGGACATGTTTCCGGATGAACTGATTTTCGCCACATACCCAGCATGGCACCGGTGACGGACTTCGCAATCAAGGACAACTATAAGTACCTTGAAGGATGGGGAAGCTATCATTCGTAAGCCTTACCTTGGGGTCTCGGATCTTTAGCGACGATTCTTTGCTGATAAGGGTATGTATATCCATAGATCAGAAGCATTCCCAGGAGCAAACCCAGCGGTCAATAACAACCCTCAAAAGCCTCCCTATGGACTTCGCACAGAGAGGATAAGCGGCAGTTCTTTCACGGCGCCTCGAGATCACAATCTTCAGACTTGGATGTACCGAGCCACCTCTTCGTTGGATCATGATGAATTTGTTCCATACAATACCCACTCCACACCCACTCTTCCCAGTTTCCTGTCGCCCAACTCTTGCGTGTGGCTGGAAGTTCCTGTCGAGAGGGATTCGGATTGGACTTCTCAACGACTGCTCGCCCGAAATGGGGACCCTGCGGCCAAAAACGGGCTTGCAATCTGGCTGTTCTCCATTACCCAGTCGATGAAGCCTGCCACTGTCTTTTCTTCCCTCGACGGTGACTGTCTCATTATTCCACAGGCAGGAGCTCTCGACATCCAAACCGAACTCGGCAAACTCCTGGTCCGCCAAAATGAAATCTGCGTCATCCCTCGCGGTATTCGATACTGTGTTTCCCTCCCAGCCGGTCCCTGCCGTGGATACATCTGTGAATTGTTTCAGGGACATTTTCGACTCCCTGATCTCGGCCCCGTGGGTTCCACCGGACTCGCCAACGTCCGCGACTTTCAAATCCCTACCGCACACTTCGACGGCTCGGTGGAGGATGGTGTCGCTGTTGCCAACGACACCGAGTATACCGTCATCTCTCGTCAAGCCGGTCGTCTATGGTACTGCCGGCAGGACCACACGCCCTTCGACGTCGCTGCGTGGCATGGCACGAACTATCCATATAAATACGATCTCGCTCGCTATTGTGTATTAGGGAATCTCCTTTTCGACGAGCATGATCCTAGTCTTTACGCCGTACTTACCGCGCCGTCATATCGTGAGCCTGGGTCTACAGTCGTGGACTTTGCAATCATTCCCCCGCGCTGGATGGTGGCCGAAGACACATTCTGGTTGCCGTATTATCATAGGAACACGATGACCGAGTTCTATGGGCCAATTGTCAATGCACAGAGCAGCAGTCACCCATTCAATCAGGGACAGGAGTTCAAGCCGTTTGTTGCTGGGCTGAATGGCAGTATGACTGCCCACGGTAAGTAGTTGACTCTGGCACCGTCGGTGTCTGTGTCTGTGACTAAATTGAGGTACAGGAGCAACGGAGGACGAATATGAGAGAGCAGCGAATGCGGACCTGAAGCCAACGAAACTGATGACGGATGGGATCACCTTGTTTTTGCTAGAAACGGAGGTACCGCTGTGTTTGAGTGATTGGGCGGCGAAAGCGGCGCAGAAAAATTTTAAGGCGAAGTCAAAGAGAGCTTCTAAAATGTAGGCGACGAGCTTGTCCTCTTGTTTCAGGCGCTGTAAGAATGAATGACAGATTCGAGAGCTCTCGGAATTGCTCGCCTGATAAAAGGGGGTTGCTATGGTGACTAAGCAGTTCCGCTCTCAGGCCCCGATTGGCTGCCGCGCAAACAACGCCAGAACGATGGCTTCACATTTAATTTCACACACGCCATGCGTGACGCACCCAATTCGAATTGAGGGATACGAAGGCAATCGTGAAGGGTGGAGGCGACGACGCGAGAACTGAGACTGCAGAAATCTCGACCATGACCTCGACCGTCGCCTCCGCCATTCGCCCTGGTCTCCGCGACGCACGACAGCTATCCAGCTCTACCTCTCCTCACACTCCGAGCCGCTACATCTCGTCCGTGCAGTCGTCGCCGGGCTCCTCGCTGTTTCGCCCTGAAGAAGACCCTATCATTATCGAGCTCGACCCACGCGGCCTGAGTGCTGGCTTCCAAGGCGAAAGCGGCCCGCAATGCCGCATCGCGTTCAATCCGCAGAATTCAAGGAGAGTCGGCGACTACCGCACATACTTGCCGGAGTGTAGGAGGAGAAAGGAGGATTTACAAGCGCGCAGCAAAAAGTATGAGTTGTGGAGAAGCGACTTGAGGGATGTGGACTTAGGGTTGGTTGAAGATAAGTTGGAACGGGCGGTTCGGGAGGCGTACACTAAACATTTACTGGTCGATGCTGGGGTTGCGAGGCTGGTTCTGGTTTTGCCGTCCTTGGTGCCTCATCCGGTGCTGTCGACGATTCTCACGCTCTTGTTCGAACGATGGAAGTATTCCTCCATTACACTTCTGCCCGCGCCAACAATGACTGTCGCCGCGGCGGGATTACGCTCCGGTCTGGTCATTGACTTGGGATGGGAAGAGGCAGTGATCACGGCTGTCTACGAATATCGGGAAGTACATGTCCGTCGAAGTACGCGTGCGATGAAAGATCTGACATGGAAAATTGGGGAGTTGTTGGACTCGATCAGAACACAGCAAGATGAGTCGATCCGAGATTCACTACTGTTAGATTTTGACTTTGTCGAAGAGTTTATCGATCGGGCTGGAGCGTGTCATGCACTGGTTGTTGCTCCAGAAGACCCGTCAGCGACAACGGAGGGATCGAATCTCGACAACCAACAACACACTGATGCCGACAGCAACAGTGCGACAAGCCTCGTATTTGACTGGCCCACCAACACATCATCGCGACCAGTGTCTATTTCTCGGGCAGCACTCCATCAAGCTTGTGTCGGGGTCTTGATAGGATCGAAAGACGAAGAACACACTGACGACCACGAGCAATCCCTCAGCCAACTCTTGTACAGAACTCTTCTCTCTCTGTCTTCCGATGTTCGCAGTGTCTGTATCTCTAGGATCATTTTCTCAGGTCGGGGCTCGACGGTTGCTGGTTTGCCCGAATGCATCCTGGACACCACCAATTCCATCATCCAGCAGCATGGTTGGACAGCTATAAGAGGCAAGCATTTCAACGCCAAACGCAGCGGCCTCGCAGAGTTGGCCCAGGGTAGAGCTGCTCCTGTGGATGCTCGACATGATTTGAACCCGCCTGGCACCGATGACTTCATCGAAGAACGACTGTACAAACAAAGGTCAAAGGATGCACCACCCACGGATCCGCCCGTCCTTCGTCAAGTGGATTCTCTTGGACCATGGGCGGGGGCAAGTCTTGTAGCCAGTTTGAAGGCCAAATCTTCGGTCGAAATCGAGAGGGAGAAGTTTCTATCGCATGGACTAGCTGGGGCACATCGTGATATTGATTCGACCGCCATTTCTCAACGCGTGACTGGGGCAAAAGGCGCCGAGAGGATAAGTTGGACTTTGGCTGGATGGGCTTGATTGACACTTTGGTGACGGAGGTATCTATCGTGGATGTGATGGTTCATCAACTGCTAGTCCTCCTTCCTCAGCAATGGGCTCAGGGAAGGACTCGTTTTTCGTCTCTCCTTCGTCTTTGTCCTCGTCGTCATCTCGGCGCCGATGTTGCGTCAGGCACATCACATTATTTGGCATGGATCGACCAATAGCAGATTTCACCTTCCACTGCAGTGTCAACTAAACAGCTCTGTACATCGGAAGAAGACAGGGAGGAACACGAGGACCCAGACGGCTTCAATTTCGACCGGGAAGGTCGTCGAGAAGCGATTAGGGTACACTCCTTCGGAAACAAACTGCAAGAGAGGTACAGAAGAGTACCAACGGCGAGCACTACAACGGCAAGTCCAGCATGGTGTCCAAGGATAGTGACGACCCAGACCGAAACAATTCGATCAGCCGCTTGAAGAACATCGCCTCGTCATTGAAAAAAGCGATCTCTTGAACCAGCAGGCCCAAAAGTGAATCCACTGAGAATCCGATCTGTTTGGATCATCTTCCTGAATCAAGAGAAGGACTTGAAAGTCCTACTCAACATCCACCTGAGCAAACTCGACCGACTTCGACGAATTGTCATTATCCGCAATGAAGAGATCAAGGATTTGTCCGAGTTCGCAGCAAGTCAATACCGCCTCAAACCCGAGCAGCGTTGTCTCAATCTCGAGCTTAAGGAAGAGGCCGTACTGCTCCGCAAGTATCGCAACAGCTATCAGACTTTCGTGGAGTGGCATCAAGGAGAAATTAGACGAATCTTGTAGAGGAGACAGTGGTTGGATGCTCAGGATAAATGGGCACAAGGAATCGATATCAACGAATCAGAATTGCAAGAAGAAATTGGGAGGCTCAGAAAATGCCTGCAGAATAATATGAGTGCGACCAAAAGTAGGTAGTTAGCTCATGGATATTGAGAACCGAACGATGGTCATTCGGTGACCTGGCTAAGGTTTCTTCCGATACGCTTTCCGACTATGCTTCCTCGCTACATCTTGTTCCATGCAGATTTTGGAGGCAATGTTCAATCCTTGTCAGGTGGCAAACTTGTCCTCTGAGCCGTCCATTGCAGCCTTGAAGACTACACCTCGATCCCGAGACTCCGACACTTGGCCCTGAAATCGTCCATACCGACGTACGCACCGCAGACCCTCCTCTTTCCTTCAAAGCCCAGCCTTCCATGCAAGACGCGCCAATTGTCAAAGATGACGGGCTCGCCTGGCTGCAATTTCACCGTGAGGAGAAATTCCGGGCTCTCGAGGATGCGAGCCCATTCACGCGCGGCGGCATACCAGTTCTTCAGCGCCGTATGGTTGGGGAATATCGGCGTGCGTGGTGCCAGGCGGTCCAAATTGTTCCAGCGTATCTGCACCAGCGTTGCCGGCGAGGGCGAGGACATCCCCGTCGACGCGGATGAGTGGTTCAACACCGGATACCCTTGGAGCGAAGAGGCGGTGTTGAGAAATGAGCCGGCAGGCGAGCCCAGAGCTGCTGATGTGATAGGGTAGGTTGAAAGAGCCTGGTAATGCTGAGGGAAGTGTCTGTGTAAGTAGGTGGCGGCGGCGAAGCCGTCGACGAATGTGGATTCGCCGCCTTGCCCTGGCCGGTCGTCGCTTGAAGACGATGTGTGGGAGAGGAGGTGAAATAGTTGGAGGCCTGCCGGGTCGGTGAAGTAGGTTGTATCCGTGTGGGGGGGGAGCGGGTCGTTCGTGTACGCCGTGTCGATCGGGTTGACTTCGCTGGTGAAGTCCCAGAAGCCGCCATAATGGGTAGCCCGGATGTGTGATATGCGCTCGATCAGTTCTTGCGTACTGCCAGGTGTCGCGGGCGTGGAGGGCATGAAGCAGAGGCCGTACGTGTGGATGGAGTGAAGGAATGAAATCAGACCGGACTCGGTCGTCATAATGGAGTCGTAAGAGACGCGTGGGAGGGAAGAGGGCGAGGACGCCGGTGGGATATGTGTCCATGATCGTTGTGCTGGGAGCGGCGGTTGTGGTTGTGAAGGGGATTTGCTCGCTTGGATGAAGGGAGGGTGTGTTTCGAGCCACTCCCATGGGTATATGCTCGTGTGCTTTGGTTCTGTGGCGGTTGATGGTGGCCAGGTGACTTCCAACCCGGACGGGGTGGATTCGACGCTTGATACCTTGATCTCCGGGTCAATCGTGAAGGTGTCGAGTTGTCGCTGGTGGGTAGTTGGGTGCTGACATTCGCTACATGGACAGTGGTCACGGAGCCAGAATGAGGGATAGCGCAGCGCCGTGCCCTTGTTGAAGTCGATGATGACTTCTTGGTTTGTCATGTCGTTGACCAGGACTCGGGGCACGGGGGATGTTGATATGCCACGTGCCCGGCGGATGGGACTCCATCTTGATGGAAGTGGGTGGGAAGAAAGGATCGCTGGCAGCGATCTGGTTCTTGGAAAAACGATGGATCCTGATGCATTCCTAGTAGTTGTTCTCAGTTCTGTTCTGGTCCACAGTGATCTCACTCCTCGATCCTTCCCCTGAGATTGAATCTTATATCCCCCACGAGTCACACGCGAGCAAATCCGGAGCTTCATGTTTCCTTCTCTTTCTCTTGCTCTGGCTGAGCGCTCTGGGGATTTTCAGTGTATCTTGCAATTGCTAGTTTCTGAGTGAATGATCCATCGAACTTCCGGTTCCTCTCCGGTGACATGAGATTCTTCACGATAGCCACTTGAGTTGGTTACGGATTGACAAGTTTCCGCCAGAGCGAAATCGGCAGATCCGCCAAGACTCTTCCTCCTCCTCACGCTGCCAAAGACAACGAGGAACTTCTCGTTGAATGCCACCTTTTTCCACGCATTGCTGCCGCCTACTCGTGCCAAAGCTTCTTCGTTCACCTTTCTTGACATCCTCTAGCGCTGTCGTTTTCCACGACCCGACTGTGCCGGCGCGGAAACACGGCCAGACGGACAATGGAAGATGACATTTTCAACCTTGGGGATTTTCGAGGCGCTCAATCGGGAAGTATGGCTGACACGAACCCTGCAACCCTTCTTTGGGCTGGTTTTTTGGGCCTTCCTTGCTCAGTAGCACTACAATTTGCAGTACTACTAGTCGACGAGGGCCGAAAAAACACCACACACAGCTCAGAACCGACTTTTGAAAAACGCTAAACAATGGCCCCGAACACATCAATGAGCACGCCACGTATCTCAGAGAAGCATGCAACCAGCTGCAGGCTGCGGATAAAGGCAGAACCAATCAGATACCATGGAATATAGTCCAGCCGTACATTGAATCCACCATCGTGCTCATCGGCAAGGTGCTGCAACAGCCGTCGATGAGCGAACTCCTCCGGCAAATCCAAGACGCGGCAAAGGGGATCCAGACATCACGGTCGTCAAAAGCTCCGTAGGAGTGAGCACAGCCCCCCTTGACGCAACCAACTTCAATAGGTCTAAGACTGTGGCGACATCATGGGCGCAAGTTGCGGCACAAGCCAAAGGCTCCGTGCTCCCACCCCAGCAGGGCCTGCATACCTCCAAGACGCCAACAACAGTCACAGCATACAAAGACCGAGTGGTCATGGTCAAGCTAAAGGACCACGGCATCGCCCGGCGCTATCGAAATAACTCTGCCGCGTGGGCTCGACAACAAGTTCAAACCACCACGCGCGACAACGAGGCAACCAAGTTGATCAAAATCGTCGCAGCACACCAGCTTAAGAGCGGCGACATACAAATCTTCGCCAGCACCACGGCAGAAGCGACCCAACTGAAGGAGAACAAAGGATGGCTGAAGGGTCGTCCACGGTGTCGCCATGAAAGAGACCACCGAAAACCCAAGGACACACAATCCTCCCAGAACTATCAGCACCCAGGAGGCCCGAATGCCAGCACCAGCGATCCCGGCACGAAGAACAAGGCTCAGACCAGAGGACGTCACGGAGCCCATGGCGCCAGAAAGCAACACGCCTGCGCAGAATGAGTCCCCAGCACCCACACCTATGAACCGACCAGCAGACGAACCGACAGATCAAGCACCACCGCAAGTGCGCAGACCTGCAGAAGCCCAGGCGCCCCTCGACCTAGTCACACAACAAACGCCCATCGCTCCTTCGACCGGAGAAGGCCGGGAAACACCAGCAACGAGACCCGGTGATCGACCTGCCAATCCAGGTTCCAGAAGAACCCCTCTTCCTTACCCACGCACTAGAGAACGACCAACCCCAATCAACGGCATACCCACCGGGCGAGATAGAGGGAACATTTACCGCTGAGGATGCCGACACCTGGCTGGACAACCAGGTGGGTAACGACGACTTCGTGTGGAACCTCAACACAGAAGAAGGTGGCCCGTCCCGACAGACCTCTATGGCGACGAACACCCGCAGAGCCCTCGGGAAGGTGTATAGGGGATGGACCTACCCTTCGCACCAGGAAGCCTACAACAATTGGCCGGTACAGGATGCAGACTTAATAATCGCCAAATGCATGAAAAGATGTATGTACGGCGGCAGGGACTTCAAGGCCGCGGCAGAACTACGTATACACCTCAAGAGGGTGAAATACGCCGAGAGAAACATCGGCGTGCACCAAGGGTTACGTGGGAAAAAGGCCCCGCCGTTCATCCCAACATCCTATCACCCACTCAAAACCGATTTTCAACTTCGCTTACCTCGACGACGAGGCCACGAGAGTGTGTTTCTACATCAACAAACGAATCGACCCGAGCACGTGGAATGTGTCACATATCACAAAAGACGCCACCCCGCTGGAGGTTTCCAATCCTACTCTCGGCAACAAGCTCCGTATCATCAACGTCTACCACGAGGTAGGAACCGACACACTCACCACTCTACAGGATGCGATCCGCAGAACGAACCTGGAAGACGAACTCCTCGTACTCGGATACTTCAATCTGCACCATCTGCTCTGGTCAACGACACGCCGCTACACCCACCGCGGAATAGCAGCCGCCCAACCTCTGATCACCGTAATTGAAGAATTCCACCTACAACTACTCACAGTGCCCGGTACGACGACGCACCGATGGAAAGACGGAGAGTCGACCATCGACTTGACTTTTGGCTCCGAGGAAGCGGCGTCTCGTATGATCTACTGTAGGGTAGACCCCAGTCGAGACTGTGACTCTGACCACCTTCCAATTTCGATGGCGATTGCGTGGAATTGGCACCCTGCTGCCCCATTCAGAAAGCGTCAATGGACCAAGACAGATGCGTCGCTATTCCCGCGCACAATCAAGGAGAGGCTTCCAAAAGTGCCCGACGCAGCGGACCTCAGCGAGAAGGACGGCATTGATAGCTATACGCGCTCCATCATCGACGCCCTCTGAGTCGGTATCGACGCATCAACGCCGTGGTCTAACCCGTCATCTCGCTCCATACCAGGATTTGACCAGGAATGTAAGGACAACTGTAGAGAAGTTTAACAGCTACGTCGACGGTGGCAACGGACGAGCAGTGCCATGTTAAACGCGATCACTCGAATCCAGCGACGTGCGGCACAAATCATCACGGGTGCCTTTCGAACAACGGCTGGAGCTGCTGTGGACGTCGAGGCACACTTGCTCCCACCACAGCAACAGCTTGAACAGATTGCCCTCGGAGCTGTAATGCGTATCAGAACCACCCCTCTCTTTGCAGAGATGGCCACCGGTGAGAACAGGAACACCGTCCAGAGTCCTCTCGACCTGTTCTCGAGCATCCCGGAACGCAAGTCCGACATCCGGCTCGATCGGCTAGAGAGGGGCCAGCCGCACATTGTTCCCCCCTGGTGGGCACCATCGTTCACTCGGATCGCTGAATCTCCCGAGGTTGTAATCAAGGAACACGATGCGACGGAGCCGGCAACACTGTGCCTGTACACCGATGGAAGTGGCATTGATGGTCAGGTCGGGGCTGCCGCGGCAGCACCGATGCTGACAATCCAGGGCATTCGAGAGGGGGATGGAGCTGGCATTCCAGATCGTACTCGACGTCCACGCAAAGACGAACACTTCCGGCAAATGCATCGTCTTCACCGACAATCAAGCCACCATTCAAGCGATGGCCAACCCTAAGTGCCCCTCTGGACAGTATATCTTGGTTGAAGCAGTCCGAGCACTGGACAAGCTTCGCGACCAAGGATGGGAAGTCCAGCTCCGATGGATTCCCGCACACGTCGGCGTGCCTGGTAACGAAGCAGCCGACCGAGCCGCGAAAGAGGCTGCGGGCCATCACCCGAACGCACGACGGAACCTCGAACCACCACAGGAACCAGAAACACTTCGGACCCTCATGGTCACGACCAAATCCACCATCCGCCAGGCCATGAAGGTCGAATGGGACCAGAACTGGGACTCGGCCAAGCACGGAAGGGAGCTTTTCCGACTTGGGGTCCGACCCGGAAAAGGGACCCTCACCACCCATATAGGCACCCACCGAGCGATCGGCTCGGTGATCACACAGATGCGGACCGGCAAGATCGGACTGCGTGCGTACCTCCACGGTATCAATAAAGCCGACTCGGACCAATGCCCCTGCGGTCATGGACGACAAACCGTACGACATATCCTGCTCGAGTGCCGCGATTGGTGTGAGGAGCGACAACGAATATGGGCAGGTAAAGCTCCCTGCATGGACGTCAAGCAGATTCTCTGCAGCTCGTCAATGGCGGTCCAATCAGCCAAGATGATATTAAGAACGGGACTGCTCGAGCAATTTCGGGCAGTGCCATCCACAGTACTCCAATTTTCGTAAGCGTAGACGAGGGATTATTGTCATACAGAAGTTGAGGAGGGCCAGGAAAGGCCTGACAAAAGCACAGATATCGAACCACTATGAAGGCTATTAGTAGATGGATAACTGCGTTGAAGCAGAAGGAGGAAGCAGTCTGTCTGGGACGGCTTGGTTTCTGAAAGCAAAACGGGGGACACACCTGTATTTATAGTCACCGAACCATAGTGCTACGAACCGTAGTGCTACTAGTCGAGGAGGGTCAAAATCGCAACCCAGGACGAAGATATGTTCCCCCACCTCCAATCCACGGTGCTATGAACTGTAGTACTAACACTACGGCCGGAGACGTCCAAAATGAGCCCATCTTTGGTTGCTTTTTTGGCCCCTTCGACTAGGAGTACGATTTGTATTCCAGGGAGGCGTTCCAAATTGTCACTGCCTCGGGGGGGTTTCTTTTTCAGCTTTTGATAATAGGCCTCTGTCGATGAAGTATCCGCTGCCGTATATAGTCCACCACTCTTCCCATATTGGTCGTGTAAGGGCCCAAAGGAAATGAGGTCGTCGTGACAAGGGCCGGCTTTGTCGAGATAGCTAGAGGCGAGTATGCGCTGGCAAGAAGGATGGCACCACGTTCGACTTTGCGGCGACTGTGCGCAAGCAAGACAAATCTCGGAGCATTCGACCAGTTTAACTCTCTGCACGCTAGAGTCAACTGTCAGCGATAGATGTTAGTGATAAGCCGATGGTTAATGGGTTAGAGGCTACTTGCGTAGTTGTGCATCGCCTGCTGAAGCTATTTCCCGCCCGCGCAAGATGCACGTTGCTCCATTATAATGAGCTAGATCGACCTCCAAATCAGGAGGTATACTTCAACTGAGGAGTTGGTAAAAGAAGGCTCATCAAGTGGAGAGCAAGTGCAATTACCTGAGACGGCATCATGTGACCAAAGCTTGGCAGAGCGTCCTCAAAACTTTCGACGGTTTAGATGCGTCCGCAGCTTCACACATTATCATGGCATCCAAGTTTATGGTTAATGCAGCCTTTGACGCTAACGCTCGTCTTCTCCTTCGGCTATCTCGCCAGCACACCGTTTTATTCGTCAACAAACTTGAATACCCTATCCCTGGCCGACCTACCTTGCCGCCGATTCTCGGCTCCAGATCCTTCTCAGACTCTACGTCCAGTCCCTCTTTTCCAAAATCCTCCGGATCTTCTAAGGACTCACAATTTTCTGGACCTAAGGATAAGAACCGGTTCTCGTCTGAGACCTGGGATAAGGTCAGGGGCTGGAGCAAGGCTGTGGGCTTATGCGCAGGTTCCCTCTCTCTGTGTTAATTGAAAGCATGCTGATTACCAAAGACTTTTACAGGATATGTCACCCAGGAAATGTGGAAAGATTGGTACCAAGGATTTCGGAGACGTGCGCACGAATCTGCACGCGAGTCTGCAATATACGATCAGCTCAAAAAAGGACCGGTATTTAAGAAGAAGATTAGATACGTCATCCCACGTCAACAGCTTGTCGATGAAATAAGGCTGCTCGTCAAACCAACGGAAGATGGTGGTGGTCATTATCCCGTTATTATCGGAGAGCACGGAACTGGAAAGACGAGTCTGATCGAACTCGCCGTGAATAGCATAGAAGAACCCAAGGGTATTGTATATGTCGATGTACCTGTTGAGTGCAGCTCAGAATTCGATGTTGCCAGGGCGATGCAAAAGGCTATGGGGTGGAAGCCAGATGACTTGATCGATTCCGGCGAACGTAACTACAGCAGGTCCTGCTGGTGAGCATTAGTTCAAGGCTAATAGATTCGCAGCGGCATCTGTAGAAACGGTTGTGGAAGTTTTTACCGATTTCGCCATCAAATACCAGCAGGAGTTTAAGACAGTGCCGGTTTTGATCATCGACAACGTGAACAGACTCTCTCAGACGCATCAGCGGCTTCTTGATTTATTTCAAGACTATGCGAAGAAAGCTGCCGACCAAGAGATATTCACCATTGTGTTTGTGTCAAGCGAAGGCCGCGTACCACGTCCTATGACGGGTAAGTCAATTATATTTCGATTGTTATATGCTAATTGTGTACTATAGATAGAAGTTCGTGGTCAAGAAGGGGGGAAATCACCGAAATCGGCGATGTGACCAGAGAGGAAGCTCTGCAGTATCTCAGACTTCGGAAGGTCGATGATGAGCTGGCAACGCAAATTTATCAGCTTGTTGGGGCCGGCATGATACACCTGCAGTCCGTCACAAATGAGATCGAGAAGAACAGGACATTTGAAGGTATTATACAGCATTACACAGAAAACTGAATTAGCTTCTCATCGCCCTCACAGTTGCGCGCCGGACCATGTTCTCCGACGCCGAAAGACAACTCCCGTCCGCCGAGGTTCTTCCTCACCGTCGTTATCACAAGGAGGGAGCGGTGATTATACGTGAACTTTTGAAGAACGGAACAATCTCATGGGACACCTTCTATGACCTAGTAGGCGCCAACATTGGGGATAAGTTGCTGGAAGCACATATATTCGCACTTCACTCCAATTCCGAAGAGATCACCTTTCAGTCGACAGTGATGAAACGATATTGTGAGGAAAATTTGGCTCTCTGGGAAGGAAATTGAAAAGTCAGAACTTTGTGTCAGTCTTGAGTGTGGCGCTACAAAGTCCGTTGCGCTTTCCTGAATGCCAGATTGATATCAATCCAAAGCGGCTCAGGGCCTGGTGGACCAAAACCTCTCCATAAGCGATGAGGGCCGTGTGGATCGAGGACCGCTAGAGTCACTGACGTGGTCGCCTACATCTGCCAGAGATCAGCTACCAAAGGGTGGATCGTGGGATATGATCATTGGGCTCGAACTTCATCCTCGGACACCTTTATTTTCGCTCCTCCGCTAACCGCTGCTTTTGAGCCTGTTTCCCCACTTTTGTCACCCATACTTCTTCTTGGAACAGCTTTTCGCACTGCAAAGTGTGGTTCTCCGCTAGTGAGATTTTCCCTCTCAACCAAAGATAACCTCCATCTGACAACGCATTGGACGGACCCGTGCTCTTCTAGGGAGACATCTGCCACTCTAGTATAGTCTGCGTTCTTTTTGTGAGAGAGGCAAGGATGACCACCTTTTTCCTTTGGGTACAGGTCTAAAGAGGGCAATGTCTTTTGTGCCTACTCACCTCCTTCGTCTTCCACGACTCTTTCATTGCGCGGCGACGCCGTTTCGGGGCAGCGTCGTCGACAGAAAGGGTTACTGGCCCGGGAGAAGGCCGAGATCGTTTTCGGGTTTGTAGGTCTCGTAGAGTAGCAGAACTGGTGCCGGACTGGGTGGCTTTGCTTAAGGTCTTGCAATGCAGCGATGGCATATTCTGAGCAGGGGTTGGGTCCGCAAAGAGCACCTTAGAACTGAGGCAAAATTCAGCAAGGCTGGTGCAGACGTTACCTTGGAATTCGCCGGATCTGGAAAGATGACCTAAGCACGTGCTCTCTGTTTCGGCCCTTTCTCAATCATTCTTTTGCCCAAGCTGAAATGGAACCCCATCCTCAGGCTCTGCTCTTTCTGAGAAGTGAATAGCATCGAAATCCTTCCTTACGACATTCGTAGACTGTTCGACGCCAACATCGTCGTCGGTAATTGTCCATATTCCTTCATCATAAGCGGGTTGTTTGCGGGGTCGGCCCCTGAGTCCCAGTAGTTGCTCTTGTGAGGCAGACAAGAGCGAGCCGTCTCCAGTCATCCTCGGCCAGCTGAATCAATGTGCCAAAATCGTGGCCGCTGAAGCAGGGGCTTTTTGCCTTACACGCTGTTCGTAAGACGGAGACCGTCCCAATGATTGACGCTTCTGCGCCGAAACTAGGAGAAACGCAAGCGACGGTGCAGTGTTTGAAATCTGGTAGCCAACTCTTGACATCGCAGAGACCGTCTTTTTTCACAGACGCGGTTACGAACTAGGCAACTCCAGGAGATCGTCGCGATCGGTTGCACGCCTACGGTGAGTCCTGCCAGCAGGATGAAAATAATGAGCCACGTTAACGCATTTGGTGGCAAGTGAGGTCCAAATCATCGGGCAGAAGTGCTAGCGTTGTAACTGCGCCATGTCAAGCAGGGGAAGAGTGCAAGGAGGGCAAGGTGAGATAGAAGAGGATGGAAGAAGAGGTCAACGTCGAGAAGGATGGCAGGGCCGTTCCTCTAGACGTCAAAAGCAGTGGGCAGCCAAGACCCAGGCTATTCCTCAAAAACAAATGCCGCCTAAACCGCAGGCGGATTTCCCGGCAACGACTTGGGAATTTGGCGGACCACCCAACACGAATCGAGCATGAAGAGAACTTTGAAATGTTGTATCCCACCAGTCTGAGTCAATGGCTGGTGGTTAAAATGCAGGCCAGGTGGATGCATGCTCGTGGAAGCAACACAAGAACAGACAGAACTCGTACAGGATCAGCAAGGTCCTTGAGCGAGGGGGTAACAAGATCTACTTTAGATCAGGCTTGCAAACAAGTAAATCAAATCAAATCGAGCCTCGAATTTGATTTGATCTGGACTCGAAAAGGATCGATTTGATTTAATTTGATTTGATCGATTTGGATGTCATTTGGATATTTGGGATAGCCCCGCTTTTTTTCCCAAGATGATCGGATCCAATCCGCGGATCATCTCGACGTCGGGGCTTGTCCGTTCACGCTCAGTTACGAAGCATATCGAGTGTGATTAGTAGAGCTTCTCTGGGTGGTCCACAGACTGGATCCAATACGTGGCCCATCTCGATATCGACTCCTATCGAGTAGGGTGCCCTCCTGGCCACATGGTCCACGGATTGGATCCGATGACGGTGCGGCAAGGGGGAGGGCGCCTACCAATACACTCCCCTGGTTCCAAACACCCACCTTCAAAAGGTGCGTCCTTGACAGAGGGTTTTGGCACGGCCGTCGCACTCTCTTGGCAGTGACGTCTATACAAGAGAAGATGTCACATATTCCACTTGAGTCGTTCTCGAATTCTACAATGTTTGCGAACGATTGAATATAAACGGCCAAGAATCAACGGCGGTACTTTTGCAACAATTCCAATATTATTCTGAAATGGACAGCTTCATTAGGGAGAATCTCTCTAATCAGGCCAAAACACCAACTGCGAACATTATATCCTGGTCGAGATGGTGCACCATTTGGGTCACTTTGTACGTTGAGCCGTAACGAAGAACAAACTCAGGCGACAGTCCCTTTCTGTCTGGACAAAGAAAAACCAGCTGTCCTCTATTTACTGAAGCCCCTTGGTACACGACCTATTGAGCACGCAGCACCCGAGCCATCCCCACAAGTCATGATTACAACATTGAGATATCGTTATGTCGGGTAGCAGCCTAATTGCAGTGTTCTGATATACATATGGAAGATATCTGTTCGGTTGCAGGTCACGTCTAGTCCACTTCCAACCACCTTTCTCACCGTATCCTGTCTTCCAGATAAAAGGTGCTCATCCGATACTGGCTTTCACCATCATACTGTGACAATTCTTCCAGCGCTTGCCGTCCCTCGCGTTCTGTCGTCTCCTTGATCTCTTGGGTCCTGGGTGTTATACGGCACTCGAAAGGCTCCGGACGCATGTTCAAACCATTTCTGTTCAATGCATGTCAGCCAAATTGCTTTGGAATTTTGTGCCGCCACCTACGTGTACGCAAAAATGTCCACCGGAATCTCGTTTCCATGCTTGTCTAAAGCTTTTTGAATGTTGAATCCCCACAAGAGTCTTGCTACGGTCAAGAATGTTCCTTGTTCGGCTAAACCTTGACCACTACAAACACGTCGACCCCAACCGAATGTCATGTAGCCTTTGTCGTTAGGGAATGGACGATGGAGTGGGTGCCCCTCGAAGAATCGATCTGGACAGAAACGATCTGGCTCGGGGAATTCGTTTTCGTTTCGATGGATAGCCCACACGTTGCCTTGAACCCATGTATTCTTTGGAATGTACCAACCCTGTTGGGGGTCAGAAAAGCCCTCATTGAGTCTCGGGGTCACGATTGGAAATATCGTACCTTGTAGTGGTCGTCTTGGATTGGAGCGTGCGGCTGGCCTCCAATAATCGCAACGGATCGCCATCTAAAGACCTCCTTGACAAAGGCGCGGATATATGGCAGGTCGTCATCCAGACTGGGACTTCGATATGGTCCGACGACTCTATCGAGCTCCTCCCAAGCCTTTGGCAGGACTTCTGGGAAAGCACAGCAAGCCAGGACGAAGGTAATGAGGGTAGAGCTGGAGGTGTCACTGCCGGCTCCGAAAAGATTTCCGTTCAGAGAGGCAATCTCCTCGTTTGTCAGTCCATACTTTGGTGCTTCATCGAAGATCTTCTTAGCATAGCAACTTTCCCCGTTGTTCTTACGGACAGCTTCTTCGGCAAGCGCGTAGTAGAATGAACGACCACGACCTTTTCCTCCACCCAGACCATGCTTCCACGGAGCCATCCAGGTGGGGAACTTCGAGAGAACTACCTCTTGTGAGATCAATGGCCTGGGTGTCATTTTGAGGGACTTACTGGGGAATGTCTCCATCAACATAGGGAAGGTTTTTCCTGGCACATTCAACTCCGCAGCTCTTTGCATCACGGCGATCACTTCGGTGATGATGGGGTCCTCTTTGCTGCTGATGCGGCGATTGAAGCCGATAATACTCACCACCGAGGCCGCGTAGCGCTCAAAGTGCATGACATAGTTGTTGGGGTCCTTGACGAGATCCAAAGCCACGACTTTGCTTTCGTTGTTCTGGAAACCGCTATAACTTCGAACGAGTTGAAGGCCAACTCCCATATGGGTGAGTTTTCGATGAACTCGCCAGCGATCACCGTAGTACATTGACACGATGTTGGATTGTCCCATACTCAGTTCGCCAAAGACGATCATTCGCGGTCTGGACGAATAAATGCCAGCTCGCTTATCCAGTATCTCTGAAGCAGCCCATGCATCACAAATCCAAACCGTCGGATTTCGACCTATCCAGTATGTGATGACTGGAGTGTTGTACTGCTTGGCCAGTTCTTCGAAATAGATCCATGGCTTGCTGTCAGGCAATTGATAGGTATTGCCTACAATTGGCCATGGGACAGGGCCAGGAGGCTGACATCGCATGAGGACATGTCGTGTCTCGTCAAAAATCTCGACGACGTACCATTTTGCTCCGCAGAACCAACATTCGGACATAATCGGCTGTCAAGGCAATGAGACCAAAAATGACCAGGCCTAAGCCGATCTGGCCGGCACTAGGTGCCGCATGTTGAAGATGAAGCATTACACCCATGATTGCTCGCAGACAAGAGCGCGAAATCGATCGGGAGAATCAACGAAGAATCAGACCACGATAAAAACAATGAGGCGACTTCAACCAGAAGCAAATGGACCTCCGGTTGGTTCCCCTCGTACAAGACTTGAGAGCATGAAATACATACCTCTAGACACAGGACTCGGCATTTGTGTGAGCTGCTCAATTCGACATCTCCCATTGGATGCTTGGTAATTGAACTACGTTGGATTGGGAGAATGGACTTGCCATGGACGTGGGGCCTGAATTACGAAATCTCTTGCACGTGTTGGGCCCCATGTGCTCAAGAAGTGGCACACAATCGTGTGGAGGAGGAAGAATGGCCCATGGTATACAGAAATGGGCTTCGGAGTCGAGAAAATTGGAGTCAGGCTGGATCCCCCCCTGTTGCCCTCTATCCCCCAAACGTCTTTTTGCGTCCAGGGTCCCCATGCGGAGTGCTCTTTAGAGGCATCTGTTTGCGAGGACCTCGGAAGAAGCTGGAGTTGACTCCCTATGACATCCATCTTCACCTTCGATGGCAAAAACTAGAGAACGAACGGCTCTACACGGATCGGCATCTTCCTTAGGACATCTTTATATCTCGCTGGCTCTCAGGAGAATCTTCCTAGGAGATTCGCCGATCTTCTCCATACTCGATCTACGCCAGATCTCATACTGATATCAAGTTCAGTAGCCCGTCTGATGTCGGGTTGTCACGATGAACCCACTCATCATGGGCCTCGAGAAGAGCAGGCTACCTCCCTCTGAAGCCTTACCCCCACCGGTCAAACATATACTTTTTCGTCCGCGTGGGGTTCACCGGTATGCAGTACTGAGGACTTGGTATAATTTTGCTCCTTTGACCAGCTTCCTTCTACTCGTTTCCCTAATCCGTTTACCCCCGCCTTGTGCATTCCATTCTCCCTGCAAGCCATGCCAGGATTCACATAGCACAACGGGCAACGGCATGGATGTACGTCGACTCCCATCCTGAGGCTAGACAACTCTCCTCCGATCGGCACGGTGGCTAACTATCCAATAGCACACCGTCCAGCAACTTGTCAGTTCTCTGTTGACGCGAGGAGAGGAACGAGCCTCGCTTGTTGTTGGTACATTTTCCGCCGGGTTCGGTCGCAAGTCAGGGCTATGGTTGGCATGTTTGCTGAATGTTGTCGCTTGAATTATCCAGATTGCCACGACCAGCAGAGGTGTCCTCTACTTCGGTCGCCTCTTGCTTGGATTCTCTAATGGCTTCCTCGTCACATTTTCCAACATGTATACTTCGGAAGCGTCGCCGGCTCATCGCGCTCTTTTGCCTATTGGGTCAACATCGGGTGAATCGTTAGTACCGTCGTCCACTGGCTCTTACCAGATCCCTATCGGCTGCTTATTCATTGTCCCCATCATCCTATCCGTGGATCTATTCTCTGTCCCGGAATCACCTCGCTACATATAGCGGCATGGATGCTCTCGCTCGGATGTCGCTCGAAACTCTACGAAGAAACTCGATAGCTCCCAAGTATATCGAACTCGAATGGGACCAGGTGCGCCATGGTGTCGAGGAAGAAAAGAAAAAGCCATAGAGTGTCGGTTGGATCGACATGTTTCGAGGTAAGTCTTATTGACAATTCGCGTTCCCTTTGGATCAGTAACTCTAACTTTATCCCTTACTAGGCACGGACCTCCACCGGACGACATGATCGCTTGCCAAATAGTACCTGGCATCTGGCTCCTGATCGCATACCGGACTTACTTCCTTCTCCTCGGCGGTGTCACAGAATCCTTCCAATGCAGCATCATGAACACCAGTCTCGGCTTCGCTAGCGCTTACTGTGGCATTGATGCTATGCGCCAGCACGTCGGGCGCCGAACGATCCTAACCATCGGCGCCCTAGTATGTGGTTTCTGCCAAAGTCGCGACTGCAATTGCTGCCGGCAGCATCGATCCTTTAGCCTCCGGCACGACTAACGTCCTCATCGCGTTCACTGCCATCTTCTACCTCTTTTGCAGCGGGTGCGTTGGCGCCTGCAAGTCATCCTATCGCCACGGAATTAGTTTCAACGCGCCTCCATGCTTGAGACCGTCGGTACCGCCACGTCTTTCGGCCACGTTCTCGCCTGGCTCTGCTCCTTCTGCACGCCCTACTTCATCAACCCCACCGAACTCAACTGGGCCGCTAAGTACGGCCATGTCTGGGCTGGAAGTAACTTTTTGTGCGTCGTGTTCATTTTCTTTTGCGTACCGGAGATGAAGGGCCGAAGTCTTGGGGAGTTCAATGAATTGTTCTTCAATCGTGTGTCGGTTAGAGAGTTTCCACAGTATCATTGCCCAGATCATGGATGAGGTTGTCCCGGATGTACAGGTTCATACGGGCTTGTTCACTGAGAAGGGGAAATTGGAGCAGTAGTAGCAGCAGCATGGAGAGGTCGAGCTGGTTAAGATCCAGTAGTCTCCTCTGACCCGTCCACGCAGGAGGTGCTGACCTATTGTCGTTTCCTGGCCTTCGTCTCCCCTGTCTTCGTAGAATAGAGTTCTGAGTGCAGGAAATGAAAAGGTCGTCCTGGGACATTTTGGACTGTGGATGTCTAAGGCATTTACAAGTCCGTCCGTTACCCTCACGTGAAATCTTGGTATATAATTAAGACATCCCCTGGGGCTTGCCACGGTTAAGCAGTCTCAGGGAACCTTTCATTGACCCGCGGAAGCTTTTAGATCAGGCGTGTCGCACTGTTGTTCAAAATCCCCAAAATTTCGATATCCATCTTCAAGGTTCTGTGACGAGGAAAGAATATCGAGTTTCGGTCTTCTTCTCGATCCGCAATACCATAGCGACTTCTCCACTAGACAGGATAATGCCCATCTCCTCATCGAGCCCAGCTCAAACCTTCTCACTAAGTTCCGTCGTCGCATCGCTCTCCACATCCCCATTTCCATCAGCAGTCTGACCAGGCTGAATCCCCGCATAATTATCAAAGACGACGCTCGACAACCGTCTCGCTCGTCCACCACCCTCTTTCTTCGCCCGCATGCGGAAAAAGAATCTCTTCCCCCATTTCCAGCACTCGATGCCAGCGAAAAACAACAAGGCCTCGATAATTACGATGCCCCACTCCCACGAAATACCGGTATGCTTAAACACGTCGTGGTTTATCACGGGAACATAGAGAATCACAAATATCGAGACAAATCCGAACATGACGGACCAAAACAAGAACTTATTGCGCCAAACATCGTGCATCCACTGTGTAAAGTACAACTTGGACTTAGGCTGCATGCGGAAGAAGCTACGGCGAAAGTTCATCAGTTCCCAGGCTAAAAAGAGCGAGAACCACGTCATGCTGACGAAGGTTGTTGCGCGGGCGCGAAAGACCATGTCGCATCGGTCAGAGAAGTGGTTGTTGCAGTTTTCGCCGAGGTCGCCGTCGCCGAAGCCCCAAGCCACAAGCAAGAAGGAGGAGAGACAGAGAACTGACATCCACGCGCCGTAGACGAGCATATCGATGAGTAATTCGTTGGTGAAGATGCCGCGCTTGAGATTTTGTGGTGGGCGCTGCAGAATGTCCGGCGCCGCGACTTCGAGGCCCAACCCCATATCGGGAAGACCGCTAGTGACCATGATGACCCACATGATTTCGACCTGGATACACCAGTCAAAAAGAGTGTGTTTATGGATATGGGGAGAAGGGGGGAAGCGAAACTCACAGGAGAAAGAGGGAAGACGGAAAGATTGTTGTGGTCTTTAAACGCCAGACCGATCAAAAGCGTACACGCCTGCGCGATATTCTGCGCAAGCAAATGGAGTACGAATTTCTGGATATTGTCGAAGATTCTGCGGCCTTCTTCGACGGCGTTGAGGATACTAGCAAAGTTGTCGTCGGTGAGAATAATGTCACTGGCATCTTTGGCCACGTCGGAACCTCCTTGGCCCATTGCGATACCGACGTCTGCACGTTTCAGGGACGGCGAGTCGTTGACGCCATCGCCTGTCATCGCGGCGAACATTTCTCGTCGATGGAGGGCGTCAATCATGCGCACTTTCGTCTGTGGCGCGCATCGCGCAATCACGAGTGGTAGGACGGGGAGGGCATCAATTTCGTCGTCGGTCAGTTGGTCGAACTGCGCGGCGGTTGTGACCATAGCGTCCGCAACGTCTTTGCTCACGTTGGCGAGTTTATCTGGGACAATGCCGATTTGCTTGGCAATTGCAAGCGCCGTGCCAGGATGGTCACCGGTCAGCATGTGTACACCGACGCCTGCGCGGTGGCAGCGTTTTACGGCGGCTTTGGATTCAGGCCGGGGAGGATCGTAGAGGCCAACGAGGCCGCGGAAAGTCAAATCGGATTCCACTCGAGGACGGGCGTCGCTATTGGTAGGACCGTCGTAAGCCTTTGAGGCCAGAGCCAACACACGCAATCCTTGTGCGGCCAAGCTTTCCATGTTGGCAAGAATTTCGTCTTTGATGCTCGACGAAAGTTCGGTGGGGGCGTTAGAGCCGTCCATGTCGATGTTGATACAAGAATCGATAATTCTTTCCACGGCGCCTTTGGTGAAAGCGAATCCCTTCTCCTGATCTTTCTGCCGGAAAACCACGGACATTTTCTTGACGTCGCTGGAGAAGGGATATTCTGCCACCAGGGCCCAGTTCGCAGCATCACCTTCGGTGAGTTTCTTCCTGTTCCAATCAAAACGGGAGGCGAAGACTTGAATGGCGATTTCCGTAGGGTCGCCTCGCGCCTTCCATCCTTCGCCTTCGGTCGACCTGTAGACTGTGGCGAGGTTGGCCAGAGATGCCACTTTCAGGAATTCCTCCAGAGGCACATTGTCAGCGATGAGCTGATGGTAGGATTTTTGATCGTCCTCGTCGGGTGCCAAATCGTAATCGGAAGAGCGGTCTTCCTCCCGGGGGGAAAAATGGCTGTGGTAGAGCGCGGCGGCTGTCGGATCAAAAGGACTACTACTCTCGCCCACGGAATACGTGCCCTTGGATGGGATCCACGCTTTTTTGACCACCATCCTTCCTTGCGTTAAGGTGCCAGTCTTATCGGAGCAAATGTCGGTGACGGCTCCCAAAGCCTCGAGAGCGTTCAATTTGCGGACGATCACATGACGTTCGACCATTCTCTTGGTGCCGGCAGCCATGGTAATGGTCAAGACGACAATCAAAGAGGCCGGAATCATGGACAAGCCCGTGGCAACCGCATAGATAATGACTTCTCGCTTGTTGGAGAATTCGTTCGCCGCCAGCACCACAATGGCAAAAACCACCGCAATGCCAAAGAGCCCGATTGCCAGTTGGGATAACTTTCGTTGTAGCGGAGTGCCGACATTCACGCCCAGGAATGCGCCGATAAAATCTCCCATGGTCAATCCCCACGCTTGAGCTTGTCGATACATTTTCACATGTCCATCAGCAGCACGCTTTGGTTGACGAACCCTGGAGTTGGACTTTCGAAGTTCGGCGGCGATACTACCAATTTCGGTGAACATTCCTAATGAATTTGGTCAGAGGTTGATCGCATCAGTCCCATCGTGACGGGAGACGAACCGGTGGCAAAGACGATCCCTCGAGCCCGCCCTTTGGTCACGACGCTCGAGGAATACGCAACGTTTAGCCGATCACCTGGTCCCGTCGTCGGATCGAAAACGGCATCGGCATCTTTTTGAACGGGGAGGGATTCTCCGGTCAAAAGAGCTTCGTCGGTTTCAAAGTTCATCACCTCCATCAATCTGGAGGACTGTCAGTATGGGGGACGAAACGATTTGGATCAGATCATGTACCTGATATCGGCTGGAACCACGTCTGTGTCCCGAGTTAGCACACTGACACTGGATGAATGGTCAGGGAATCCAAACGTACCGCCGGTCTTGAGTTCCACCATGTCACCCGGAACAACATGAATGGTCGGAACCACCATGCCGTTTCCGTTTCGAATGACGCTCGAGGTGGGAGACGATAGTGAACGAAGAGAGTCCATTGTCTTCTCCGCCGTGTACTCTTGCATGAAGCCAATGACGATGTTGAGAAAGATGATGCCCGCCACGACACCACCCTCGATGTAACTTCCGATACCAAATGAGACACCCATGCCGAGAATCAAGACCTGAAAAACCCATCAGCGATCTTGTTTCGAGTCATGAACATGATCCCTACCAACATCATGGCATTGGCAATTTGCCGGACCAGAATCTTGGTCGGATTGACCCCCGGTCCATTGTCCAATTCGTTTTTACCGAATTCTTCGAGTCTCTTGGCCGCTTCGTCGGGTGAAATACCATCTATGCCATTCCCTCCGAGCTCCTGAAGAACTTTATCGAAGGTCAGAGCATGAGCAGGCTGTGATAGTGGTCGATTCGACTGGCCCGAAACATGGCCCGCAAGAGCCTGCTCGGCCTTGTTGCCCATGTTGTATATCCACAGAGATATTTCTCTGGGACATGTACCGGAAATGGATTACCTTGGACTCCTCCCTTTGGATAAAGGAGAGAGAATTTGTTGGGGATTCCTGGACGAAGTTTCGAGCAGCGGCTCGGGTACGGGTATCTCAGGGTATTAAATGCGAAAATGTGTAGGCTCATGATCGAGAAGATAGACCTTGGGGAGAACAGGGAAGACCGTGACCAATGGCCCTATCAACACAAGCATGGGAGGGTCGTGTTCGATTTGTCGAAGCATGAACATGGGCATGGGGTCTTGGGGTTCCACAGCCAAGCCCGGCGCGAGGGAAGCCCTTCATCGTTGGGCAAGACGAGCCGAGATGCAAAATATCGTTTGGACGTCGAAGTTGGCCCGATTGGGGTTTCGGGTATGACGTGAATGGTCGCATTCCTCCTGTATCCTTGAGGATTTCCACCGATTCATGTTAGGAGATTCTCTGCATCTCGCCTGCTCGGTTCATTCAGCGAGACGGGCAGATCTATTACCGCCTGGCCAAGAGGCAGAAGGCAGACCCAAGTGGCTTGGCCGACAAGAGAGCAACCCAGCCAAGAGAGGACCAAGCGCGTGCCGTGGATCAGAGGCTCTGATCGCCTCCATGTGCGATTAATATGTGGGATGACCGAGCTGAGTTTGGAGGCGATAAGAGGTCACGGACCGTACTCATGCTTGAAAGGATGTTTTAGACTCCACTTCTCTTTTGCACTCACGAGACGAGAAGCTCCTGAGAATCAAGAGACTCGCATCATGTAAACTCAACCTGCCCGTTCAGCCGATGATGGGATTATTTGATTGCGGTGTGAAATCTGGAACCGTGGCGTTTCATCAGTCAGCCTTGTCGGCAAGGGCGATCCGATTCAATCGTTCGGTCTGGACTTTGTTAGTCGTCGTCAAACTTCTTGGTACGGGATGACATTACTCCAAACGGGGAGACTGATGCGAGGTGCAATGACGAAAGAGAGACAATTGCGGGGACCTATATCCAACCAGGTCGGAGTTTGATCATTGATCTTTTAGAAAACTGGAGCTGAACGTCGTCATCAAGCGGAGAGAGGGAGGGAGAGCGAGAACCAAACAGGCCTCCGGTGTTGGTTCCGGATTGGCGGTCTTGGCATCAGATTGCGTGAAGACCTCTGACTCGATCATTTCTCTTAAGGCCCTATCTGGGTGGGTAATACCTATATGTCCAGTACTACTCCTGGTAGTACTTGTAATTGGTCCTAGTTACAGAGGATATTGCCGAGAAGAGACACTCTTTTACTTCCTCGACCATGTCACTTGTTCTTGTGACATCGATCTGGCCAATCCAGTGCCCGACTCGGTGTCCATATCATCGAAAGGAGTCATCCTCTAGGAGGCGGTTTATTCTGCTCTCCTTTGCAAATGTTGGATCCAACGTCCTCATCACTTGTCCATGGCCAGCAAGACGAGCTCCCTCGTTGACCAATATAAAGCGAAATGCTCTCTTTCGACAAGGAGGTCCACCCGCTGCTGCACCAATTCTCTCGGCTCGACGCAGAGATTGCATGCTTCCATGGCCACCATGATCCAGGCTTGAAGAGAAATGTTCCTACTGATGGTGTCTAGACTCAGGAAACATTGGTGGGTGGTCGAAATGAGTCTTCAATGTCGGTGGATTTTCCAAATTCGATCATTGGTTTGAGCACCCCATTTGAAGCCGAGTCGATCTGTGCCACCACGCATTGTCATCCGTTATCGGTCAGCAGGACACTGGTCAAGATCGCCATGTCCACAGCTTGGGTGCCGGGACCGCTAAGCCGGTCTCGAACGATGATAGAGGACGCCAAATGAAGGTTCTCGAGCACCGGTGTGGGCAACTTCACGGGAATCCTGAGTCAATGCTACCACCGGGTGAAAGATGATCTTGTGTTGCAAAGCAGCCTGCATGAATGCTGAAATCCTTGAGTTTCAAGCAATCTGTTGTATCAACCCGGCATAGCGACGGTAACAATATCAACAAGTACTGGCTTTGGAGCAGGAGCCTGACACAGGCGGATAATGTATCATGCCATGCTTACCAAGTCAATGGCCTCCGGTACAATGCCTCGGAAGGCCCGCCCGTTTGGTTTGTCTGGTCATGGCCCGTTGGCTCATTCTGCCGCTTGAGAAGATCAGGTCTCGACCACTACACGACTGTCCTCAACGCTGATGGCCTGGGATAGTTTCACTATCATAGACCTCTGCCGCTTCAGGTCATCCTGTTCGAAGGAGCTGTCGCCTGGTTCATCGGGCTGACCAGATATTTCCCCCAGAGATGCAGATATCATGTTGGTATCGTGGACGACCGTCTCGTGACTAGACCATCCCCGAGTTAAGTAGTTAATGCCTGTATTTGGGTATTGAGTAATGAAGGAGGTTATTATCTGAACATGAAGCATCAGGTATATTTTTGAGTGGTAAAGATTTAACGGGGAGTGAAAATTTATTGCTCTTCTAGAGGCCCCGGCGTCCGTGGCTGCCAAGCGGAGCCGACGCTTAATGCGCCATCATGCGTCCCTACATAGGCACGGGTATACAACGAGGAATCCAGTCCAATACCGATCGAGTCCCTGTCGTCACCCAGAAAATCGCTCTTCACCCATCTTCATCCGGAGTCTTCACTGCCATTATTTCTATTTCCTCTTTCTTTCTCTCCCTCCCGGCGCAAGAGAAGACCATACCAAGGTAACTCCTCCGGACACACCTTGTCGCTAGATAGGAGGCGAGCGTCGATGTGAAATTGCAAACCCTTTCAACACATCCACTCGTCGCCAACAACCTGTGTGCGGCCTGGCCAACACCATGAGGGTGTTCCCTTTTCCATCTCTCGAACCAGTCTCATGATGGCGAAATTTCCACCGACCATGTGCTAGTGTATTAGACTTTGACCTGGAATGATCAGGAGAAGCGCATAGGGCCAAAATGAAAAGAGGTGGACTGAGTATAACCCATGCATCTCCAGAGTCGTGTTGCCGGGCTTGAAGTTCATATCAACATAAAATCGCGTTGCGCCAAAGAGAGAAGGAGCCATTGATTTGGTGTGGGAGATTCTTGGACTTTGTAAAAAGGAAAGCTCTCGATACGCACAAAAAGAGGTCGCAGTTTTTCCAGGGTCGTTGGAGATGTCCTTCTTGTGCTTCTCCTATTGCTCTTCGAAGAGTCGTCCTTCACACCTGTGTTCATGTCGGGTACCTCTCTTGATATCTGCAGCCGAAGACTCGCACTCTTTGACTACGGTCCTAACGAGTTCTGAGGGCATCCCAGCCCCGTAAACTGGTACGCAATGAAAAGAATTTCAGCATTCTCCAAACAATATCCAATCCATCCTTATTCTTTCTATGGCCAATAATATCTCTCTCGAGCATATTGGCTGTCTCGATGTCTTCCAGCCAGACAGCCGGTCTCTTTCCCTTTCTATCTAGGCAAAATCAATCCACACCCAGAATTTCATCCATCTAAACCCTGGCTCCACATGTCCAATCTGCCTCTGAGTATTATTCACTTCTGCCTCAGGCATATCAAACACATGTTCTTTCATGATACAGCCGACCTCAATATTCTGGATCTTTTCCTTCCACTCCCCCTCCTTCACGATCTCCTCCCACATCTGCTTCCAAGTCTTCTCACCATGCCGGAATCTCCGCCCACCGCTTGGTCCCGGATACTCAGCACCCTTGACATTCCCGATCTGAGCCCCGAGAATCAACACCCTCTTTCTCCCAGCATCGAGCAATCTCAAACATCTCTGCGCCATGACCTTCTGCTTCTCCAGCTCGAAGAGATGAAATACAGAACAGGCGTGCAAAATGCCCACTTTGCCGTCACACGTCCGAGCCAATGGACTCGAGGGCGAGAAATCAAACACATCCGCCGGCGCGATGAAGTGGTCTCGCGGCAACCTGTCTTCGTCGCGGAACAACTCGTACCCGATCTCGATGAACTCGGGTTTCAGATCCGCACCGTACAGTCTCGAGGTGTCTGCACCGTCGAACGCAAGTTTCCGCACATCTTGCCCCAGACAGGTGCCGAGGTCGAGAAAGATCCATTTCTCGTTCTGGTCTTGCAGCGCGGGGAGAACTTCCTTCTCGTACAGCGGATGGCCAGCCAGATCCAGTTCGAGGAATCGCCATCTCCCTAGGCACGGGTAATGGTGGGATTTGTATGCCCGGTCGCGCACAGTGGTGATGTGTGCCTTTTGCTCGGGCTCCGGGATCCCGGAGTATGAGGAGAGTAAGGCGGAGATTCCTGACGGCACTGCTTTGAGAGTTGCTTGGTATAGTTCGATGGGCGTGCTTGTTGAGGGCATTTTGGAGAGACGTCGTGAGATGTCTGATCTGGTCTGATTTTGCAATATCTTGTTCCTTTTCGTCCCTTGCACAGCTTGAACTCGTCTATCCCACGCTAGAATAACGACGAGAACATGAACTGGTCTTGGGAGCTTTGACGGAAGACAGAGGTGCTTGGAAGATCGCGGGATTTATCGACTTCTTAAATACTTTGCCCGGATACACACAACCTTTCATGCCGATTTCGTCTCGTGATAGCGAATCTTGGTGCGGTGGAGGGTTTTATACCTTTCCTATCGACATCTACTCCCTTAGCGAATTCCTCGAGGTTTTCCTAATCTGGACAATTCCGCGAGCTCCGAATTCACGGTCCCTCGACGTGATTGGGTCAGATGTGGGAGGTCCTGTATTTGGCGAATGATTTTGGTTCAACGGGGTGCCTCCTCCTCGTCTCTATGCTGTTGGTTGTAAGAGTGAGCCGAACAACAAAGCCGGGAAGATTAGCCAAAGTCAACGATTAGCGGCCCGGTGATCTCTAAGCTATCCCCGTCACCAAAGTCCACGGTTTTGCATATGCAACTTAAAATGCAAGAGCATCTGCGAGTGGACGAGTTCGGTTCCACGGCAGATGGAAAGAAGTCTTCGAAAAGCTTATGCGTGAGGACCTTTATGTCACGAACAACGCATGGAAGTACCGATGGCGCAGGAGGATGGTCGGGATGTTAGGGAAGTAGTGGAGCAACCATCAATCTCACAGTTATGAAATACTAAAATGCAAAAACAGGTCAATACGCCATGCGTTCCCCGCGGATCGGAAAATAGAAAGGCCGACATCGGTAGAGAACTTTGTCTCACTTTTAACCACCGTGGATAGGAGGTTATCAAAGAGCGGTCTCTCGTGCTCGTATCTAGCCGACTGAATGGGATATACAAGGAAGGGCCACCAAGACGATGGCCCTGGATATTCAACATTGGACGCGTCGTGTCTGTCTGCGACCACTCAAATCCATAATCTATTCACATATTCATGCCTGTCGGCGGCAATGGCATCATTCGGATCAGGTTGTGCCAGGCCGATTTCCACTCAATCAAGCACCCACATCTGTCTCTTAACCCCCTCCTGCTCCTTTCCATCACCACTTTTGGCCTGGGACCACGAGATCTCAATATCCAACGACCTCTCTTGACCGTGCTTCTTCAGATACCGGACGTCGCCGCACACGTCGTTGCCGGCACTGAATTCATCGACCGGATCCTGGATCAGGAAAATTCCCTGCTGCCAATGTGTCGCGTCGGAATGTGGACCGGTTGAGAATGCGACAAGACCTTTGTCTTTGGCTTCAGGGGCGGTCGTTCCGGCCTTGATGCTCTGGTCTCGTGACGTTGAGAAGATGACGTCGAACCACACCACAAAGCCTTCGAGCAGTCTGAACCCTTCTTTCCATCGGTTCGTGAAGGACTTGGTGAAGGTCAGATCCTCGACCACGGTCTTGTGCAAATCGAGCCCGAGAAGCTCGACACTGTCCGCGGCAAGTTCTTTTGCGTCCACCACGCACACGACGACTTCTTCATGTGCTCGTTCCAGCATGGCTGTCATGTCGAAGCCATACACGTCGCGCCAGAAATCGATGTGTGAGGCCTTCAAATCCGAGTCGGCCAGCGGAGCTATCCGCAACGTCGCGTGAGACGGGACCATAAGTCCATTGGGGGTCAGATATTTGTCCCGGGCGTGGATGACCGAGTCGAGCATTGATTCGTACAGGAGACAATACCCCATCCACTCGCTTACGATCACGTCAACCTCGGACACGGGGAGGGTGACCTCCTCGATCTTTCCTCTTAGACACTTGACTGTGTCTTGTAAATCGTTCCTGAACACATTCTCGCGCGCCTTGTCAATGATATCCGAGTTGTCGACGGCGACGACTAATTTGGCTCCCGCCCGAGCGCAGAACAAGGACAGAATCCCCGTGCCACATCCAACGTCCAGCACGACCTTGTCTTTGAAAAGAAATTTATGGTCGTAAATGAAGTCGCGGTACGCGTCCGTTCGGATGCTGTCTTTGATCATGGATTCGTGGATGGCGTTGTACGAGTAAGACCGGAAGTAGTCGTCATCAAATTCTGCGGTTTGGCCGACCGATGGCTTGTGGGGATCCCAATTTTTATTTGCTCGGACGTGGCTGGGTTCGGGAATCGGTCCCGAGGATTCTAGTCGTTCTAGCATGGCGTGTTCTACTTGTTCTCGGTAAGCAGCAAATTGAGATTGGAGATCGGCGAGTTGTTGTCGGAGTTGTTCAACCTCACTGACGGGTCCGGAGCTGGCACCGTCTTCGAAGACGTCGTCTAAACTGTATAGGAGGGCGTCATCTTCCAGGACGGGTTTGAGATACCTCTCGTCGTCAAAAATGGATTTGGACGAGATATGAGATGGGTGTTTCCCGGCCCGGACCTCGGAACGAACATAGTTGACCAGTTTAATCAATCCAAGAAAATCAAGATCTGGTGTTGTTTCGTTAGCAAAAGGTTCGGGGAAGTTCGCGAGAAGATTTCACCCAGGTCTTGCCTTAATTTCCAGATATCAAAGTCGCCGTGCTCACGACAATACACGAGCATGCTTTTCGCATCAGGAAAAGTTCTCTCATCGAAGAGGGACACTATGGTGATAGGCTCTTCGTCCTGCTCCACATCTTCCCATCCCTCGTCATTTCTTGTATCGAGAGGATCTGAGAAGGATGACGACTCGCTCGCATGGTCACGTTGATTGCTGAAGGCCATCACGGACACGGACGGTGAACAGATTAGCCAAACAGACGATAACCGAAGCTGCCACGAGTTTTGGGTACCGGTGAGTCCTGGCTGATAAGAACTCGGACTCGACGGAGCGTGGCTCGCGGAATTGAGCTTCACCTCGGTCCAAAGGCGCTCAAGTTGTGGTCCCAAGAGGCTGAGGCTGAGGCTGCACTTGTGGGAACCTGGGAGGGCCAAAGGGTTGCTGGCTATGTCGCGGCAAGGTCGGCCGTCACGTGGTATCACGTAGAATAATCACGTGCCATTGCTGCTGCGCACTGACGCCAAGCTCACTACGGTCGAGCGCAGTCCCTGCGGTGTTTCTTTTCAGCCTCGCAGCCTTGTCATTTTTAGGGCTATGAACTCCGATCGAATGTGCCACCCAGGAGTTATTTGTCGCATCTATTCCGTATCGTACATCGAATTCATTTCAATACCCTCGCAGAATGCTTCTTTCTCGGTGGCATCATATACCTTCCTGCCTCCGAACCACGTTTCCAGCACGCGGGCTTGAAGCAGCGTGTCCGGTGACCATTGCATGTCCAAAACCACCAAATCGGCCTTCATTCCTGCTTCTAACCTCCCAGTGATCTTATCCATGAAGCAAGAATATGCGGCACCCAAGGTTGCTGCCGAGAATGCGTTCAACAATGGCAACGCGAAGTGTGCATTGACAATCTCCTCTGATTCAGGTTCTCTCGCCGACTTTCGCGTCGTCGCCACGTACATATTTGGTAAAGGTAAGTTGGGCGCCGTGGGAGCGTCGGTACCCAATGCCAGATGTACGCCTTCATCCAAGAATTCTCGATAAGCAAATGCACGACCTCTCCGTTCATGTCCTAACAACGAACTCCATTCCCGCAGGATCGCAGGATCGGCATGCACGGGCTGGATCGAAGCCGTAATGCCCGACTCTTGGAGGCGTTTGGCGTCTCCGGGCGACGTCAACTCCAGGTGTTCGATACGATGTCGGCGCCCCCGGGAAGCGACAGCTTCAAGGGTGTCGATGGCCATTTTGATCGTTGCATCACCGATCGCGTGGAGAGCACATTGCAACCCCGCCGAGTCTGCTCGTTCAACGACTTTCTTCAACACGGCAGCATCCCATAACGGATCGCAAGAGACCCCATTCGATGAATATGGCTCCAGCAAGGCCGCCGTACATGCATCAATCACTCCGTCGCCAATAACCTTGATGCCGGCAATCCAAAAATGAGGCGAGTTCTCCTGGTTGTATTGTTTCCCCAATTCGATGGCACGGTCGACCTGGCGAAGGTTTTCTTCATCTGATTTGGAGGGATATATCAACCAATGTGCTGCCAACCGAATAGACAATTCCTCTTTCGATTTCAGCTCCAACAAGGCTTCCCAAGCGTTTTCATCCATGGCCATTTCCACCATCCCGGTATATCCTGAGGCATTATAGGTTTTGATCGCCTCGCGCATCGCAGTCGTCTTCTCTTCCATCGAAGCCACTTTCGACAAATGCGGCCAGACAATGGTCACCGCGGCAGCTTCACTCAGCAAACCCGTGGCATGACCCTGGTCATCCCGCTGAATCTCTCCGCCGGGGGGATTCGGCATGTCCTCAACACCCATCTCGTTCAAAGCTGCCGAATTACACCAGGTGGAATGCAAGTCTTTGGCATCAATGAAAATCGGTCGGCCCAGCTCGTCAAGATCATCCAACGTCCTGGCCAATGCCTGACCACCGGTCATGTAATGCATCCATCCACGGCACAAAATCCGTGACTTCGATGGATTTTTCCTGGCCGCCTCTCTGATGGTAGATTGTATATCCTCAAGACTCCGGCAATGTTCGAGGCTTATCTTTTGTAACGACGTCCCGAACATCAAGAGATGCATATGCCCATCAATGAAGCTTGGTGCCAGCGTGTGCCGGTCGACGTCAACGACTTTGGCTCCATCTTTTACAGCAGCCTCGACGGCAGCATCCGAATCGAACCCAACATGATCAATCAAATCGTCATTGATGATCAGGCATGAATTGGTTTGGTCCTCCGCGATCAGTTTCGAGCCCGTGAAGACCCGGGCATTTTTGAACACGGTCCGCATGGCTTCTAGCCTCCTCCTGGTGGTTATGCGTGACTCCAGCCTGGAATTTTCATTCTACCAAACGGAGCGGCAACGGAGTAGTCCGAAGCAGCAAGCTCACCAAAAAATGAACACCGTCCCCCACAAAGGACCGATGTCGCTCACCCATTTCATCTTGGCGAACATCCTCATGAAATGTTGGCATCCCCTACGGGGGTCTAAAATATTTCAGCGGGAACTGTGAATACGTCAATCCAGTTCACCACTTCCTCGCAACGAGAATCTCATGAGGCTTCAACTCGCTTCTCGGAGTCATGACCTCGCTCGAGCTTTTCTCCTCGGGAACACATCCCCGTTCCCAAAGCAGATCAAAACCCCCCACCCCCCAGGACTCCCGTCGTGGCGGGTAAATTTGGCTAAATACATCGACGCTAAGTTCAACTTCCTCCGAATCCAAGAGCTATATGTTTAAAAGGTAGATCTGGATAATTGAATCGATTTTACTCGATTTCCATCTGAACTCCAATATTGGGATACACCCGCTCAGAAACGGAGATTTGAAAAATTTTTCGTTCTCAGTGTTTTGGACCGAAAGGATCCCGGGACACCGCGCACAATGGCGTCAGAACCATTGGTGACCCACATGTACACAGCAGATCCCTCGGCGCACGTCTTCGACGGCAAGATATACATATATCCATCTCATGTGAGTGATCACATACCCCGAGAAATCAGCACCTCATGGGCGGCCATCCGAGGAGATCTTCCATCCCAATGAGTTTGAGGCTCGGAGAGCTCCCAAGGCAGCCTGATCGAACAATGGACCTCGTTTACGCGACCACGTCCTAATCATCAAGGAAACAGGATCGAGAAACAGACATCAAATTCAATGACAATGGCGACCAATACGACATGGCGGACTACCACGTCCTATCACTCGACGACGTCGGCGGCCCCGTAACCGACCACGGCATTGCCCTCAAAATGGAAGACGTCCCTTGGGTATCCAAACAACTATGGGCGCCCGACGCCGCGACCAAGGACGGGAAATACTACCTATACTTCCCCGCCCGCGACCAGGAGGGAATATTCCGCATCGGCGTCGCGGTCAGCGATAAACCCGGCGGCATATTCACTCCGGACCCCCAACCCATCCTGGGAAGTTATAGCATTGATCCCGCTAGCTTCGTCGACGACGACGGCCAAGCGTACCTCTACTTCGGTGGCATCTGGGGAGGGCAACTCCAATGCTGGTCTTCGGACAAATTCGACGCGTCGATGTCCGGACCCCAGGAACCTAAGGGAACCGGCGTCCCTGCTCTCCTTCCCCGCGGCGCCAAACTGTCTGACGACATGCGTTCGTTCGCGTCTGAGGTCAAACAGATACCGATCCTGGACGAATCGGGCACGTTATTGGCCGCTGATGACCATGATCGCCGCTTCTTCGAGGCGGCCTGGATGCACAAGTACCGTGGGAAATACTACTTCAGCTACTCCACCGGCGACACGCATTACTTGGTATATGCGATCGGGGATAATCCGTTTGGGCCGTTCACGTATGTGGGACGGATTTTGGAGCCCGTTCTGGGATGGACGACGCACCATAGCATCGTCGAGTTTAAGGGGAGATGGTACTTGTTTTATCATGATTGCTCGCTGAGTAATGGTGTGGATCATTTGAGGTGTGTGCGGATGAGGGAGATTGTGTATGATGATCAAGGACACATTTCGCTCAAGGAGAAGCAGTGACCGTTCATGACCGATCAAGTATTGGACTTTCCAAGGAGAATGGCATTAGAGATTTGTGACATGAGAAGTCAAGAGTGTTGGACGTCCAGATTTCGGACTTGACATTGATGGTCTGAGGGCGGGTCTGATCCCTTTCTTCTGAAGGGCCGTGATTTTTGAGGGCTACTGGAATGCGTGAACGCCAATTGTCCCGTGAGTGAACCACATCGGACCTCAAATCTATAAGCCTTCCCTCTTAGAGTCTCCCTTTTCCACAGCCTCGTCCCCCCTATCATTCGGACATCAGTCAAGAGGGACGGGCTCATTTTTCCTACTCTTTCGCCTAGTAACCCTTCGACGGGTCCCCGTGCCCCAAGTCATGGATTTAAATTACATATTCAATTCCTCCTGTCCTAAAACTACACACGCTCTCCCTCCCCACCATTCGCACCTTTCACACCGTTCATCTCCCCCTCAATCAACTCCTCAGCCACTTTCATACAATCAAACCCATACACCATTCTCTGCACATCAGCATCCGCCCACTTATCCGGTACAGGCCCCTTGCCCTGCTTCAGCGCAGCAAACTGCTTATCTCTCTCCTCCTTCGCCGGGCCTTCACCAAGATGCAATGCCCGTCCACTCGCCGCGGCCAGTTCAACGAGCGTCTCCGCCCGTTCCTTTCTGACTTTCTCATATGCTCTGAGCATCCTATTGATATCCGCCGGTGTCGGGCTCGACGGAAGATGAGAGAGCACCACCGCCAGCACCGCTGCGTCTTCGATGGCCTGCGCGGCGCCCTGCGCGAGATGCGGGAGCGTTGGGTGACATGCATCCCCCACCAGCGCCACCGAGCCGCGAATCCAGGTCGTCAACGGGGCATGCACGCGGAGTTTCCACTCACACACCTCGCCTTCGGGCACGAGGTCGAGCATGCGCTGGATCATCGGGCAGAAATCGCCAAAGACGTCCAGCATGGCTTTCTTGGACCCGCGCGTCGTGTACGTGGCCGACGGGGCCGCGGCGAAATTCACATCCGGCTGCGTCGTCGAGATGTTGTAGATCTGCTTGCTGGACACCGGGTACGCGATGATGTGTCTCTTCTCGCCGATCCAGCGGATGACTTTATCCGCGTCGAGCAGCGCGAGTAAGTCCGGGTCCGTCGCCATCTGCTCTCGCGTCAACATGATGCGGTACGCCGCCTGGCCGGTATCTTTGACGGTAGCTTCGACATTGAGCTCTCTCAGCATTGCGACGCGCGAGTTGGACTTGATCCCGTCCGCCGCCAGCAAGATGTCGCACTGTACCTCATATGGTTGAGCGTCGGCGCCACGTGGTGTCGCCGTGAAGCTCGGCTTCGGCTCGAACTTGACATGATCACACGTCGTCGCGAATCGGAACCGAATTTTATCGCTTTCCCTCTGGCAACCCTGATACAATTCCCCGGCTAACGTCGCCCTGTGGCCCACGGTGTGGGGGAACCCGTACGCGTCCCGGATATATTGTAGATCGACATGCCCTAACTCGGCGTCCGTGGCGCCTTGTCGAATACTCGTCTCAGTGAGCACGACGGCTTCCTTTGCAATAGCATCCCACACTCCTAATCGATCGAGGATGCGCGCCATGTTGGGTGCCATTTGAATGCCAGCGCCGACAAAGCCCAGGTTCGACGCCATTTCGAAGACCGTGATGTCTGTGAAACCTGCGCGGGCAAGGGCGAGGGCGCAGGTCAGTCCGCCCATGCCGGCGCCGATGATGCATATTTTGAGGGTGTGGACGTCAGAAAGCATGCCGAAATCACTGGCAAGTCGACTTGATGGTTGGACGCAGAGTGCGGTTCCTGTCTTCTGCTTCCCCTCTTATATACCTTTCTCAATAATCTGAATGAGCTCAGGTCGATTGCCGCGAAACCTGGATCACGGAGAAGTCGTTGAATTTACCCGCCGATAGCGAGGAGGTCGGAAAGGCTCGCCGGCACTTCCTGAACCGAATCGAGCACTCGCTGACTTAGCTTTATGGAGCAAGGTGGTGGGTGCGCTGTGATAGGGGCTCCCTTACGAACAAAAGCGGAGCCCTACGCGGGGCTGTGGGAGTGGGAGCTTTCGGCCTTGTCGGCATATGTCAACAAGTCCTCAAGATACCGTAGTAGGGAGATGTGAGGGCAATGCTCCTCGGTCGTCTGCGCATCTGTCACACTGGTGGGCTCTGGAGCGCTGGGAGTCCAAAACCAAAGACTTACCTCAAGATCAGACAATCCTCCGAGACAGCATGTCTTACCGGGCCTCGTCACATCAACACGTTCGATGCTTCCATCAATTTATCATCCCGCTCGTCCTTTAAAGACTTCAATTGTTCATGAGTGAAAGTGCTCCGGTATGCCAAATCGCCCGGTTTTCTCCGGGGCGCCATCGATCGGCCCAACACATTCTGGGGTTGGTGACCAAAGTCCAGCAAAAGTCAGCCTCGAATCCGTGCTGATCCTCGTCCTGTCTTTCAATAACATAATCTGATTCCCCGATAATTCGACACCGACTACCCTCGACCTTTGTCCATATATGAGCTCCCGCTTTCTAAAACCTCGTCGAGTAACGCGCTCTGGCCATCACTTCTGCGGATAGCTCATTTCTCCTCGAACACAAATTACCCCTCCCTTGTGACTTGTAACGATGAACTACCCATTTTTTGGTCTATTCCGTATGAACATCTGTGACAAATGCAATGCAAAATGCTTACATCTTGCCCCTTGCCAAATGAAGAATATTGTTACATCTTTCCCCAATGAGTCGCATATACATCTGGTTGAGCCATGTCTGAAATTCTTTTGAAATTATATCCAAAGCGGGAGTCCAGACTCCCTAAGCAACGCCATCACACAAGTCAAACGGTAAGACGCTATATGCGGCGTAAAGTATGACAGATATTGATCAATGCTGAGAATATTTCCAAGACCCAAAAAGAGGGGGTCGAAATAAACATGTGCTTCGACCAGTATGATGAGCAGATGATCTCAACCACGATCAGAACTTGGCTCGAAGCATCCGGTCATCGACTATTGAATACAGAATTGATAGATGCACATCACGAGACAAGGCCCGAAGAATGGGAATAAATGCTTCGCCCTCCGTGTAAGGTCAAGGATGGTGCGGTCACCATTTCCAAAGGAATCTTCTCGGAAGTATTGGACACTCCGCCGTCGCACCATATCCGTTGCAAAAGATCCCGCTGGGCGCTCGGGCGAAGGATAGCTCGGTGGACCATGGACGGGATTGGGTAAGGTTATTCGACGTTCGACGGGGACGCTCTGGTAGTTGGGCGAGAATTCGTGTTCCATTCGTCTTCTGTAATAGGAAGCATGGGCTCTCGAGTTTTTGAAGCTTTTGCGCAGCGAATCCACCTTCTTGACGACAGAGTCCCCGACACACATTTCAGGAGCCACGGGACACTCGGTCACGAACACTTCTGTGTGAAGTGACCATGGGCAATATTCCGGGACCCAGTAGACGACACACTTCCCGCGGACCGATTCCGCATATAAACGATCTCTTGCAATCGATGAGCGATCGCTTTCATTCACGTCGAAAATGGCCAGTTGTAATTTTAGGGCTCGGTCGTATCTGATCCAGTTGTTGTATGACACGTTCTGGGTGCAAGTCAAGCCTTGCCAATAGGATTTTTGGAAGCACCAGACTTTGCAGACCTAATCCAACAATGTCATCAGTGGGTTGTCGAGCAGAATGGGAGTACGGGCCAACCTGTGACAATGCATCGCCCAGACTTGACATCGTGGCGACGGAGACATTATCCAAGGGCGACCCCGTGGGGAGTGTATCCCCACCGGAGCAAACGAATTCATCCAAGTTCTCTTGCTGGCCTACTGGTGTCGGAGGGATCGTGGGTGCCGTGGTCCCTCGTTCTAGGAATCGAACAACCTCGTCAAAGTCACATTTCGGAACATATTCGTCCGTTTTCGTCTCCAGGTAAGCGGCAATGTCGCGATGGTTCCTCCTCAGGAACTGATCGTTCAGCGATTCGCGTAAAGAGGATATCATCTGTGGCCATTTGGGATACTTCTTCCAGTCAGTTTCGACGCAGGCATCGTCCAAGAACATTTTGGCTTTCTCCACTGCGTCGTGCATGGCCACCGTTTATAGAGCATGCAGTAGTGGCGATGTACGAGACAATATGTGAAAAAAATGAAGAACTTGACGCGGGAACGACTCAACAAGTACAAGGCTTCGGCATTAGGTGAAGAGTGATTGTTGTCCACCGATGAGGGTCTAAACAGCGAGGCAATCAATGAGAAGGGAGGGATGGAAGAAAGGATGGCCGAGCAGCATGGAGGTTTGAGGATTTCCCAGGCGAGAGTCGTACCGGTTTGCCTTGGGCAGAATGCGAGATGAAGTAGAACTCTCTCCTGCATTCAGTGTCTAAGTTGAGTGTTCATGATCGGAAATTTAATTTCGGGGATGTCGTGTCAGACTCAGCGGTGTGTTTCCGACTGTGTTCATGCGGTCATGATTCTCGGGGTGGCTCGAAAATACCCTGTTACCTCGACGTAGATGGCATATATGAGAGTTAAGCGTCCAAGATGTGAGCCAGTAGGGCTATCCAGCTGAGTATGACCGGGAAATTTTGAATTCAAAATGCCCGAAATTTGGTGCGTAGGGATGGAGGCCGGGAGGGGACAGGAGAAAGCCTCGTCGCTCCTGTAAATAGGTATAGTGCATGAGCTACTATCTAGCTGACAGCGGAATAGATGCTAGCCTGTTCCTAGTTACAGGAAGTAGCATGGACCATGTAATATAGGTTGGCTTCGGGCATTCTCTGCCTCCTTCCGGAGGCATACATAATTTTGCATTTTGCCATAAACAGGAGTTTAGGTCCAATTTTTTTCGGTCCACTGAATGTTGCCATTCTCGTCTTTGCGCCACATCTGTTTTTTCTCATCATCCCATCTCCAACCTTCAGCGCACAGTCGATCATAGAGATCCGCATTGTCCATTCGGGATCGTTCCCTGGTGGCGTGTGCCGAACTGGCCTGCCGTTGATCTGCTCCCCCGTCAGTCTGTCGGACTTCTAGAACCATCTTCACTCTGGCTTATACGGTATGTCTCCTTGACTCACCCTTGCTCTCCTTGCTCTTGTCCTTCGCCAGCACTAGCACCGGCTTCATATGGTTCTGGACACCCGCCTCGAAATCCACCAGTCCCACGGCCCTTAATTGGTCATACCCTAGCAAGACGTCAAATGGTGCATTCTCCACCAGCCTGAATGCCACATCGTATGTGCGATGGTCATATAGCCAGAACCCTTCCACCGTCAAACTGCTTTTCAACGGGGATCCCTGAAAGCCAAGGTAACATTCCTCGTGCCGCTCCGTCGGTCTCAACCCGAGACTTTTGCTCAACTCCTCATTCATCCAGTTCCCATCGGCCCCCGAGTCCAGGACTGCCTCCCCTTTCCAATCTGCTCGATCGATGAATGAGAGCATGATTTCAAGAGTGTTTCGTTCGAGTTTGGGACACGGAGCCGCTTTAACTGGCACTGACACTCTGCCGTCAGACCGCGCGGATTGATGTGGTGGTCGCGATCGCTGTTTTCCACGCCAGCCAACAGGATCGCTTGGATGGTGATGGCGCTCCTCCATCTTGGTGTACGGTTTATCACCCTTCTCTTCTCGGTTCACCTGTCGTTGATCAATCTCATCACCCCCCGGGTTTATTTCTGAGGGGTTTGTATGTTGCCGGACAACTGTGAGATTTGCAAAGGGTGGTATGTATGAGCCTTGGGAAAGAAGAACGAGCCCAAAGGGGGAGCATGTTGGCCCTGACGTTGTGCCTTTATGCGGTAAGGGTGACATGCGGCTGCCTTGGTGGTCGACCTTCTCATACTTCGGGTGAACCACATTGTTCCGCGTAACTGGGCAATTCCTCCTGGAATTGTGCCTCCATTGCCCGAAAATACCGTGTTGCTGTGGTAGACGCCCCCTCCGCGAACGACGTGGCCATGCAGTTCTGAGGGACTTTCGATTGGGCCGATATGAATGCAAAGCAACGAATGATGTTGACTGCGTTGGCATAGCCCTCTTGTGTAACACTGGACTCAATTCTGGCATGGCTACGACTTCAAAAGGATGTCATCACTCCGGAAGTGACGTTGAAACTCTCCAAAATATACAAGGATGGAAGGTTACGCCAAGGTAGCCCGGTTGATGACGAACCACACAGAAACGGCATGTCTTCGAGGGTTCAAAGCTCTCAGTTGTCAAAATCTTCTCTATCTGCAAGCCGAATTAATTCAGCTTGAGGCTGATCATGAGACGCTAGCGACCACCGATCGATCTTCCGGACACCCCAAAAGGACGCTCTACGAAAAGAGCTACAGATTGCTCAGCCAGTCTCATAAGGATGACCATGACGAACAATTCCGGAACTGGCTTCAAATTCGAGCCAAACTCAAAGAATACTGTACGTAACACCATATGCGAACCCCCCCCTTAATGGACTCACGGTGCTCACCAGCTGTCAATGCTAGATACATCCCTGGAACATCACATTTTCGTGTCCCATTTATCCAAGCCATCTTCAACTGTCTTGGAATTCATCAATGACTGGTTTGCTCGGAAGACCATGGGGGGCTGTCCCTTACTAGATATCGATCGACATGCTTGGGACAAAAAGAACGAAACAGACATCATTACTCTACGAGACCCAAGCAATATGGATATATTTTCTCACTGGTTTTGCGAGAAACTCATCCCCATGCTCCACTCCCACTGCTTCAGGAGATTCAAGAAGCCAATTCAGTGGGATCCAGAATCTGGCTTGTCAGATTACTCCGACAGCGCCGTTGCCACCGTACTGGACTTGCTGGGGACTGTCATCTCTTCTTTGTTCCCCGTCAGCTCGATTGCGGTCCTGTACTCTGTCACTGGTATGTCGTATAGGATCGGCATCGTCGCTGGATTTACAGCCCTCTTTTCCTTGACCCTTGCCTTGATCACCAAGGGAAGAAGAGTAGAGATATTTGCGGCAACCACTGCGTAGGTACACTCATCTTCCGCATCGACACCTATCTTCGACTGGCAGTGATTGCCACCCCTGGTTGAGCATTTGGTGTCTCCTCACGTGGGATTATGCTGACAAAGCCTTGTAGATTTGCCGCCGTTCAAGTGGTTTTCATCGGCACCAATGGGAATCCAGGCCATGGCCGCTGAAAATCTCCTTATTGAACCTCCCCCATTCTCGAGGCACTTCCTCGTTCTGCCGTCGTCTAATTACGACTCCGTTAGCCTCTGGCATCCGTTTCGAAACGATACAATTTCGAGATATACCTTTTCGATGGATCATCTTCGAGCCTACCTGGCAGAGCGTTAGTGTCGGGCTGATGAGGTTCCTGGCTGCAATTTCGGCAATGGAATCGATATACCTCTCCAAATAATTCTGCATCCTTCTGCACTCTATCCGTGTCTAATTCTAACCTGGCCTATTTCTTACACCCGTTTTTCTCGACCCACTCTATCCTGTCTATCTCTCACTAACCGTGGCTCCCGGCAACACCAGAGATGTCCTACCCTAGAATCTCCGGAATTTGCTCCTTCACATACTCGACCACGGCATTTGGGCCCTTCTCCACCTGTAGGCCATGGGGGATCGCATGCGTCTTAATCCGAGGATCACTGTCTCGTGCAATTTGCTGGATGCGAGCACTTTCTTCCGGTGTCCACATTGAGGCGCAGAACTGAGACATCGGTGTCAACAGCCAATTTTGTTGAGGAGAACGGAGGACGTACAAGAAGATCAGGCTGAATTTCCTTCACTGTCCCTTCTACTGCGTCGATAGCTGTTGCGTTACTTCATTAGCCGACTGTCATTCCCATTTTTATCCACTTGTGCGCTCCTTTTCTACTTTGGTGTCTGACACATTTTCCCAATGGTCCTGATCAATTCCTCCTCGTGGACAAATTTGAAATGACAGAACTAACTCTCACAGTTCGTCATATGTTGGATCGTATACTGATCCTTCAAATCCTCGATCACTCTTCCGATCAATCTCTCCGCGCGCTCTGGCGCAGTGTTGACGGTGACGAGTTTGTAGGGACCATTTGGTGCCATTCTTGCTCACTGAAACATGCCGACACGCTCAATTTACCGATATTGGAAGACTTTTCTCGGGAATTTTATTATGTATATGTGCAAGAATCTTATTTGAAGCAGGGGCTGAAGCGGATCGGCCAAGTTCGGCTAATAGTGGGTGGAATCGAAATTCGGCAATTGAAATTTCAGCGAAGAAACTCCAGGCGTGATGACGCCCATGTGGAATATAAGGGAATGATTCACAACTGATCACGTTCAAATGGACGAATCTGAATGTGCTGGCCTCCAATGTATGTATTTTATTGACCATCTACCAAGGGTGCTGTCTTTTAAACCAACCCATCTACATACTGGGGGCCTAAAGGTCACCGCACCTGAAAATAGAGACAGATGTGAACGAAAAGCCAGAGATCTTTGCTGGGGTTGCCTTTGTGCGGCATTTCACCACAGCAACGAAGGGGTGGTCCTTGGCAACTCCTCTGTGGAGACGGAGGACGGGAGCCCTGCCAAGATTGAGCATCGAAAGGGAGATACCAAAGAAGACTTACCAATGTCCTAAACTAGCTTCCCCTGAAAGGAACTTGCAGCATTGCGTACGGTCTCGTGGAAGTATTTTGATCCATGCCTGCCTTCAATCAGCCGTCGTTGATTCGCCCTTCGGATAGCAATTTACGATGGCAAGACTTCGCAGCCGAAGGTTCCGCAAGCCGGGTTCATGACACCTAGGAAATCTTTGATGCGCCGGGTTGGTGTCACAAGCTTCGGAGGTTTCTTCTTGAAGATCAATCGGTGGGCGGGACACCTGCGGCAATCCCAAGCGATGGGTTAAAGGAAATCATCTCTCGCGGTATCTGCTGGATAAAGGATGTTTCATGATAGACGATGAAGTGCCATGATCCTCTTCAGACTCATACTGAGACCTTCACTCCAGAGGAATTTGTTGGCAACCAATACCATCTGCTCGAAAGTTAAGCCTCTGTTCAGCCTTAGTATCACTTTTAGGATGGTCTCTCGCTCGCGGGTAAGCATTTTATCGGGGTCTGGAGTAGCAAGAAATAGGCATGCGCCCCACAATAGCCATTCCATTTCTGCTGGACATGTCGTGCCCACCCGGGCACACTCCAAAACCACTTTGGCGAGATCACGACAGTTTGCCACGTACGTGGAGCTGCGAAGATGGTATACAAGAACCGCCAGCCAGCCCATCCGTTCAATGGGTGTCGAGGCAAGGAGAAGAGATTGCCAGTCCCGATCTCGATCGTCATTCGTTGCTGTCGCCATGAGATGAACAACCTGACTGCGAGTGATGGAGAGCCGGCTCATCAGTTGAACAGAAAGACTCCCCGTGAGGGCAAGCTCGCGAAAGCCTTCGGGCAAATTGGAAATCATCGCACACAGATCTGGAGAAAAAGGATGGCTTGGGTAAACTGGCACTCGTGAACTGATCTTGGGACTGGGAGGTGGAGTCATTTCACTGTCCATTGGGGAGGGAGGGTCGGCCGCGGTCGTCGTTCGAGGAGCCTGTTTTGGAGCTTGGATATGAGCAAGTGCCTCGATCCTGGTTTCCACATCAGTTGGTCGCCATGGCGATAGAGTAACGGATCCCCAATGTGGACTCACGCGGTCAATGTAGACTTTAGCCATCCATCCTCTTCTTCGACTGCCTTTTGGCCTCCGCGCATTTCGACCAGACGATCTATTCCTCGGCAATGAGTGTCAAAGCGTCGGTCATCGCCACAAAAGGCCTAAAACTTAGCACACGTCCTCCAGGCCGTGGGTGTCCCGACGTCACTCACACAAATTACGGCAAGATTTGCAATGGCTATAATCACCGCTTCGCTCGATGCCTCGGTTGCGGACGAGAGCGATTTGCTGACCTTCGACAAGGTTCCCCCATAATGACACATCATTGCCAATTTGGCTTGAGGAGTTTTGTTCGGCATGACACATAAGACGTAGGTGACGATCGCTTCGAACAAGACATCATGTTCCATGATATATTGGAAATACCTGGGCCGGGGAGCGACGGCCTCTCTGGCGAAGTCGAGCACGGCGGGAAAATATTCTCGCCATTCGATCGGGTATGATCGGAATGGATCGGTTCTCAAACCACCAAAGACCATGTCACTTTTGGAAATCGATCTCAGTTTGGTTGAAATGGAGAGTGCTATCGATTCATGGTGGTCGGATTGACTGAAATCCGTGTCTCCGTCACCAGGCAAAGAAGGAGTGGTGGAATCGAAACCAGTATCTTCTGGAGTGAGAGCTCGAGGCGGGGAATTTGTTCCGGTAACGGAATCCCCGTCATCGGTCGACAATGAACATTGCGACTCTGGCGGTGAACAAGAAGAGGGAACGTAAGGAGTGAGAAGATGTTGTTGTCTGCTTTCGCTATCAAGTCGCTGTTTCAATCTGACAGCTTTTTCACGCTTTTCTCGATTGATTTTCTGCGCCGTGTATCTTCGTTGCGCTGACGCTTCCACCTCAAAACGCTTGGATTGTCCATCGTAGGGAACAAACATTGTTGCTCATGGCCACTTAGCGGGCTGGGACCTCGGATGTCAAGTTAAGAGGCGTCTCTGGTGTGAATCGTAGACTAAAGACACGGAAGACAACGGAAAGCGAGAAGATGCCGCCAAACAGCCAGTATCGATCAAGGACGGGGGAAGACGAAAGTTTCTTTTTCTTTTTCTTTTTCTTTTTTTTTGGCGATCGAAGGAAAGAGAGCCTTAAATTGGATGTGTGGATGTAGGATTTTCGAAGGAACAATAACCATATCGCTTCGAGGCGGCAAGAGTGAGATAAAGGACGCGAGCTGTAAAACATGTTCATGGAGGGGTGGCTACCAAGCCACTTGAGTAGTTGGTCTAGTTCGTCTTGGTGCATGACGATGCCTGATAGTAGCCGTGGAATGGTAGATTTAAGCAGAATGCCGCCTATGGCAGTGGTGCTTATAGGTGCTAGCGGTAGCACTGCCGAAGTACTGCTGGGCAAGCAGCTTTGGAGGTTTACTAGGAGTCCTTCCGAGATCGTTTCCACCGCCCTGATCCAATCACATCGGCCACACGGGACATTAAAATCACGTGGACTGATCTTATCTGCCTTATCTAAGCCTTGGTGGAAATCTGACTAAATGACGAACCATTCTGCATTTTCCCAATCTGGAAGATTCTCTCAGCGCAGTTTCTAATTCATCACTCACCATCCGCCATGGATCGCGTCGAGCCTATCATAGATTGAGCTCTGCTCAATCCACGACGACGATAAAATCTCGGCCATTGCACGTACCGCTCACCGCTCAGCCTCGATTCTCCAGAACCCTCTGACGGCCCGACAGGTCAACCGCTCATTCCCACGAAACTCAAAGCCCGAAGACTCCCCAACAAGCTTTCAAGTTTTCCCTCTTTCAAGATATCCGCCGAAGCCGGGTCGCCTTTCTGCATCTGAATGCGGGGGAAATTGTCATCCTCGTCGTCCAATGCCGTCAAGGCTGAGTCAATGAATAAGAATCTGAAATGAGATCTGGCAACCATACCCGGTATCGGACACCAAGACAATGAAGGTGGAGAACCACGTCAGCCTTGGTGAGGTTTGCATCATCAAATCCTTGAAGAGCCGAGTCGTCGACAATTCCTGCGCTTCCCTTGGATCAGGACAGTCCACTTACGTCGCAAGCAGTCCGTCCTTGATTGATACTTGGAAGTTGAAGCCCCTAACATTCAGGACAACCTTTTGTTTATCTCAGCTCATACCGCTGTCCAAACATGCGAATTTGAAAACGTCAAAACTTGTTAGACAGACTTTTTCTATTGCCATCACTATTCCCGTCGGTACACTCTTACTCGGTCCGAGGTTCACATGCTATCACATCGTCGAGAGACCTTGTTAATCCCTCTCCAAGAACATGTGCAGATGGATATCCACCTCCGCTTCGACTGACGAAAATGAGTTTTGACTCGGCCGGCCAGGAATGAGCTGCTGAATATCGGCGGATGGAGAAGAATGATGACTCTGGCACGACGTCCTGTTAAGAATAGGACACCCTTGACAAAGATTAGAATGCAGAACCAAAACGGCTTGGTTGTTGGTTGTTATTCCCCCCAATCGGAGCCCTCATTGGCCAAACACAATGGATTCGGATTGAAAAGGCACGTGTTGGAAAATCTTTTCATTCCATTCAGCTTTCTCTGGTCTTCGATCATATTTTCCCAGAACTACCGAATCAGATTATGCACCCCTTTTGCAGCGACTTGTCTCGTTGATACACCTGCCGCATGATCCGAGGTTGGTCATCGGATCGAGCCAACTTGCAAGGCTCTCCCCGGAAGTAATGTTGTCACGAACCCCCTCACATGGCACAGGAACTCCATCCATGGCTGGCCTCATCCTTCTTGTTTACTTCCAGCTGGAAGTCATAAGCAACGGGCTCGACAGGAAAATACCCACCTCTGGCAGAATCGACTTGGATTCTCCACGTGGTTGGAACTTGGCGAGGCTGCCGTGGAGAAGCCTGAAAAGTCAGTTTATGGGGGAAGAGTCTCCCAAACTGACAACGATCGGGCATAAATGAGTCATGATCAGTATCACAGCAGCCTCGGCGAGGGGAATTACTGGGGCAGACCCTTTAAGTTAGAGGGGGACTTTAGCAAATAGAATCGAACCCCCACTTACCTTTCTTGGGCCGGAAACAGATGATTGAATGACACCCGGAAAATAACCAACCAAACTTTTCTTGTTGGGAAAGAGTTCCGAACCCATTCGTCTACTAAATCAACAATGCCGACGTCGCAGAGACAATTTCCTCTCTTCTTTGACGCATGATCCCGCTCTGAAGATGAGGTCAACTTTGCTGTTCTGGCAGAACAAATCAAAAAAGACCCTAGCTTGCGGTAGTTGTGTCCAAAGCATTTGCCGATGTTGGCCAGCACAAAAACACGCAGCAAGGCTAGACCCAAATGGGTCCAGCCAACTGGGGCATTTCCGTTGGTGGTGTTTCCCACTTCTCCACGGGGAAGACAAGTTGGAGAACTTCATCTCATGTTGCTTTGCCAAACGTTCGGGTGAATCCTTAAGCACAGCTCATGCGGGGGTTCTGAGAACGTTAGGAAGACCATTTCTTTTGGCGAGCTGCGTCATCTTGAAGGTTGTCCTCCTTTACCGCTCCTTGCTGGGTGTCATTGGGTCCGACCTCAGTCAACATCGACCGACTCGCAACGTTGTCCTTGTCTTGTCGACACTGTTGTGAAAGATGGGTCTTGGTGTACTTGAAGGTAAGGGAGTTTCCATATCCTCTTAAGGGCGAGAGACCTGACCGCTGCCAGATAACAAGCTGGATCATGTTCCAGGGACAGTCTTATTGAACGACGAAGCCGCTCATTCGGAGGCCATCACTCAAGGCCTTAAACATGGAAAGGGCCGTGACGCTCATATTGTGCTATCGCCACAACCCAGTGAAGACCCCAATGATCCGTTGAATTGGCCGATATGGAAGAAAGAACTGATTATCGCCATTCTCTGCTTTGGAGCTATGCTCAATGCTGGCACAAACGTGAGTCGAGGGACTCCTCGGTTTGACCAGGGCAGGCGGTATCTGACCTTTTTTTTTTCCAGGGCCCATTCTTGAATGCTTCGTACTTCTCAATGGCTCAACAGATCAACAAAGATTTAACGACCGTGGTAATGGTTTCTGGCTACAATCTGTTGGCTGCAGGGTGTTCAGGCCCCTTTGGTTCGTTCATCCAAGGCTTATGAGGGGGACGGCTAATCTCACTACGAACCAGTGTGCGCGTTTAGCCGCAAATACGGCAAAAGACCGGTCTTTCTCGTGTCCACACTATTTGATATTATCGGGACCGCAGTCGGTGAAGCCAAAATTGACTACAAGTATCTCTTGGCCGCACGAATTATTCAAGGATTTTCTACCTCGGCCTTCGAATCCCTCATTGTGGCAACGGTGGGCGACATATACTTTGTGCATCAGCGAGGACTCCGAATTTCCATCATCAACTTTATCCTGAATTCTGCCTCGAGTCTTGCGTCGATTATCTGTGGACAGGTTTTCCAAAGCCTCGGCTGGCTCTGGTTGTTCCACTTGTTTCAAATCTTCCTGGTGGCGCAATTTGTCCTGATGTTCCTGTTCTGTCCCGAAACATCATACATCCGCGACAGCCGTTACGAGACGGATATAGTGCGAGATGAGAAGTTGCAAGAATTGGCCACCATTGAACATTCTCATAAAGAGCACGTTGGAGAAGAAGGGCAGGGAGAACAAACGGTTATCCCCGAGAAGAAGACCTTTGTACAGGAACTTGCTGTCTGGACGGGCGTCTATTCGCACGATAGCATTTTCAAATACCTCTTCGGACCATTCCTAACCCTTCTCAACCCTGCAGGATGCTATGCGGTCATCGCTTCCGGTCTTTTAAATAGCTGGTACGCCCTTGAACCTGAGTTGCCCTTTTCTCAAAACCGCCTTCCACTAACTCGCGTGACAGGTACGTCGGATCGGCCATCATCTTAGCCGGCATATTTTCTGGCTCTCCGTGGCATTTCGACCCCGCACATATTGGATACGTCGGTGCTGGGCCCTTCATCGGCGGTCTCATTGGCTCTCTTATCACCGGATTCACTGGCGACTATGTCATCAAATACCTGACTCGGAAGAATGAGGGCGTTTAGTATGTATTCCTTCGTTGAGTCTCCGTTCGATATAGGCTCGTGCTGACTGGAATCCAGTGAACCGGAATTCCGCCTCGTTTTCATGCTCCCCGCCTGTATCGCCTGCGGCCTCGGAATGTTCCTCTTCGGATATACACTCGCCATCGGATCTCCAGCGGAACTGTGTGCATTCCTTCAAGGCCTGATGATGGTCGGAGTGTTAATCGGCATCTTTTCGACCCTTTCATACGGTCTGGACTCCTTCCGAAGCCAGAGTAATGAAATTTTCGTCATGAACATGCTCTTCAAGGTGCGTCTGGACGTTTTACGAGAACGTGCTACTTTTCCGTGGGTGAAAATATCTGATCGGATACCTTCCAGAATTTCATGTTCTATGGTCTCTCAAATTTCGCCAACGACTGGGTCGCAGCCAATGGGCCCGAACAGATCATGTATGTCTTTGGGGGAACCTCGATCTTCTTGTCTCTCCTCGCCATTCCGGTCTACATCTACGGAAAACGCCTTAGGAGCTGGTGGACCAGACACGACCTTTTTGTGCTCTTGAAGATGGAAACCCATGGACCAGTCAGTGAGATGGGTTAGTTTAGCCCATCACAGAGCAGAAGAGGTACTTTGTAGCAACTGCGGCATGTGAGCGCTATACTGGTTTAAGGTCTGCTGAGAGATGGGCAATCCAAGACATTAAGGCCAAATTAAGGAGGTCCACATGTCCATATTGAGATGTCCAAATCCGTCTCTTCATCAAATTAATTCAATGAGTCAGATTCCGCCAGAGACATCGGGGCCCAAAATTTTTTTGGAGAAGCCGAGCGCACCAAGCTATGTGATTTTCATTCCTCATCACGTCCAATCAACCGAGAAAGTCCAACTCCTTGTCCTCGATTTGGTGTAACTGGCGTTACTCCATCAAACTCGCTCGTCACCGCAGCATCCAGTAGAATCCGGCTACGGTCTTTGCACTCACACTAGGTAGAAATCCTGACCCCTTTCCCGAGTTCCCAACGAACGTCAGCGGCGCAGCCTCCCTTTCATTCAACACTGCCGGATGTGTCTGGACATATGGCAGCCAAACAGTCTTCACAGCCTCATCGACCAAGTTCCGATCCTCCAGCGTTTGTTCCATGGTCGAATACGTAGTGATGCCACGCATGGCGAAGTTGATTGGCGAAGGAGTCGTCGGTGCCGAACATCGACATGAGCACCAATTTCTAGATTCTGATAACACGGCTCTGATTGACAACTCCATGAGGCGAGGAGGTGAAGCGGTGGCGGCGAATGGGCTGCCTGAGGTTCGGATCTGACCAAGCGTGCTGATGAAGACGATGGATGTTGACGGCTAGGAGGTACAAAGGTATTCTCCACATCTGCGATGTTGCATGGGTCGCTGATTATAGTGGTCAGGTTCGAGTGTTGAGGCAGGTTGTGGTTAGGTTTGCGGACGAGGACCGTCACCACATGGCCTCTTTTCAATGCTTCTTCTAGGACGAGGCCACCGGTTCGGCCTGTGGTCCGGAGGACGAGGGGATCTGTCGAAACATTCCAGTAGCCGTATTGGAAAGGGTGTGGTATACGCCACAAGGAAACTGAACATTAGCCTTCTTGGTCCTGTATGAGAGGGATGTGTACTTAGAATGCGCTCGAAGAGTGTAGTGGATTAATAGCGCTAGTGAACTGAGAGTTTTCTCTCTTAGAGCATTGGTCCTTTCAATCCCCATGGCAAAATTTATTCTCCATTCAGGCACTCTCCGATTCTCAGGCCCCTTGCATGTGTATCCCACTGGTCGGTTCCTGGTGACCCGCTACAGCCTTGCTTCAGCAAATCGGGGTTTATTTCGTGCGATATGGAGCATTTTCGACTCCATTTCACCAGGATTCGATCTCGCCAGACCACATAAAAATCATACTTGTCACCTTCGAGAGACCAGACTGCGTTTCTCGAGTTCATTCCTCGCTGTCCGACCGTTTTAGGCCCGGTTCTACCCCCATGATGCTAACATAAGCGCACGAAACCGCCATAACTTTTCCTTTCCTCGATGACAAAATGTCAAACAAAGCGCAGGTGCCGATAGATCATGTCGCTATAGAAAGGGGAGGCCCCTACATATACAGAGTTCAGAGATAATTGGCACACTAGCACCAGCCGTTCGACACAAACTGTCCGTTGATCTGTAACCGCAGCTTCCTTTGTAAGCACTTAACCCGAAACAGGTACACGAACTTTAATTAGGTAACAGGAGTTCGTATACCAGAATCCGCTTGAGGCTGAATTCAGGGCGTCACGTCGGGGATGGAACGCCTAACAGCAATGGCAAAGTTACATATATGAAAGGTGTGAGCTTTCTGCAAATTGCTTGCTTCATCTACATCCAGATTCTCCAGGCGCATAGAAATTGGAGATCCTCGACAATTCCCCTTTCATCGGACAGACAGCAACACTCGCATCACCCTCGTCGGAATCAGAAAAATTCCAAAATGGCCGATGAAGTTGCCATCATTGGAGCAGGCTTGTCCGGTCTGACTCTATCCCTTGCTCTACAACAACAGGGCATCAAAGCTACCGTCTACGAAGCGCGATCTGCCCCCCTCAACATCGGCGGAGCAGTCATGTTATCACCCAACGCTCTGAAAGTCCTTGATGCGCTCGGCGTGTACCAGGATGTCCGAGCACGAGGCTACAACTTTGATCAGCTCGAGTACCTCAACGCCGGTGGCGAACTCATCGAGACCTACGAGTTTGGTAGCAAAGAGAAATACGGATATCAAGCAAACAGAATCTACCGTCACGAACTCATCGACGCCATCTTGTCCAAGATCAAGGCCCAAGGCATCTCGGTCGTGTATGGGACCAAATACTCCCACATTATCGAAGAGACCGACGATCACGTTATTTGGGAATCGACAGACGGCGTCACACATACCGCTTTCTCGCTCGTTGGGGCCGACGGAATCCACTCCTCGGTTCGGATGTATCTGTATCCTCATCTGACGCCCAAGTTCATCGGCATGGCGGCCGTCACGGCGGCAGTGCCAGCAAGCCAAGTCCAGTGGCCGGGTGGCCGTATCGACAAACCTTTGACTATCATTTCCGAGACCAAAGGCGCCTTCGTGGTCGCACCGCAAAGGTTCGATGGTTCGGAAATGTTCTTCGGCAAACAGAAACGAATGGAGGACCACGACCGAGAAGGCTGGGACAAAGTTTTCGCAGACAAAGACGCCCTAGTCCAGTTTCTGCAGGAAGGCGCCGAGTCCTTTGGCGGGGTCGCTGTTTCTGCTACGAAGAGCATCCCCCGTGACAGAATCAACGTTTGGCCCTTCTATGTGATCCCGCAGCTTGAAAAATGGGCATCGGAAAAACGCAGGGTGGTCATACTGGGTGATTCGGCTCACGCGATTCCGCCAAGTGCCGGACAAGGCATCAACCAGGCTTTTGAAGACGTATACATGTTTGCGCTCTTGCTGGCTTCGAGCAAAGCTGGAGGCGTCCAATTCGAGGAGGCATTGACATTCTGGCAGGGCTATAGGCAAGCGAGAATCAACAAGATTCTGGAATTGAACAAGCAGATTGACCTGAGAAGGATGCCGAAGGAACAGCGGACCGGTGAAGTGGAGAAGACGGTGCAGCAGGAGTTCGATCTGAGCTGGCTCTATGAACCGGATTTCAAGGCGGATGTGGAGAATTGGATCAAGGGTGGCAATGCTACTGGAAATAAATGAAGATGATCTAGTATCTAATGTTGTGTGGCCCGCGGGAGCTCACGGGGCGAGAACGGGTTACGGTCTCTTGACATCGTGGGAATATACAACCGCCGATGAGCTTGGCTGATGGAAAATCATGTTTGTCGCCATTTCGAGGTAGATACGATGGTCAGGGCGGCTGTGAAGTCAACTCGTGCCATTACCACTTGGACATGTTCTCTCGTCGAGCCTTAAGAATCCACACGGTTGTAATGCCGATGTCCATCAATCAATGAACTGCCTGGACTCTGCCCTTGTCCTGCCCGACTTGTTTCTCTGACAGAAATGGCGCAGCAAAGCCATAAGTATTGTATCCCTGAGTATAATCCTTTCCGGCGACACGTTCTATCAAGACAGGTTTCAGTCAGCCAAATGCAACGACAGCAAACACTCGATCAGCCCGAAAGGCGGATGGTCTGGGTGGTGGAGGTCTCCTTACCATTGTCGGGTGGGAAATTCTCTCGTCGATGGACATAATACTGCTGCCTGAGATTGTCCCCATCTCTTTTACCGTGGTAGGTGGCATATATGCTGCTGCGACTGGTGTTGGTGCGGTTTGGGCCGCTTCGGTGGGCTAGGTGGCTTCCGAACAACAGGATATCTCCAGGATGCAGCGGCACTTTCGTCCACGTGTGGCTGTCTTCCCAGGCCTTGGAAATGGCGCCTCCATGGGAAAGCTCCACGTCCATTTTGTGAGATCCAGGAACGACTTCGATACATCCGTTTTCGGGAGTGGCCTCGTCAACGGCCAAGTTGGCAGTTAAGTGCTCGATTTTTCCAATGTGGTCGTATGCTGGAGCGTCTAGATGTGCAGCAAATCCGTTCCCTGATGGCAGCTTGTAGTTGATCTTGTCTTTGAATAGCAACATGTCCTGGTTTGACAAAGATTGTTAGCCAGCGCGAGTCCCTTGCTGGCATTTCCGAATGGCCCCTCTCCATCATCAACATACTTACATCACCAGAGATACTCTTCAAGATCTCTGCCAGAGCCCCTCCACACAGGAGAGCGTGGAAGTCAGGGTGATAGTCGACAAAGTTCTCCGTCCGCAGCAGTTGCCTTGTGCCATTGACGTTGACTTCATGGTAAGGCATCCACTTTCCCTTTTCAAGGGGCCACTCCCGCACCTGCTGAGTCCAGGCCCGGAGTTTCTCTGGTGCTACCAGGCCATGCTCCTCCGCGCGAAGGAGGAGGTAGCCGTCACGGTGGAATTGCTCCACCTGAGCAGCAGTCGGGACGAAGGACGACATCGCTTTGAGGGGGGAAATGAACCGCAAGTTTCAGATGAGGAAATGGTCCAGACAATGGATCAAGTCGAACACTCTTCAGTCATCCCGAGGGACCTCGACTCAGAATTCCCTTCAAATCCCAGCCGTTTATACCACTATGGCCTGACATCCTGAACCGGTCTTCATGCCGTCCGGTGTCACGTGGTCTAAAGCCAAACACGAGGATCCCCAATCTGCGAGGGGAAGAGAAGTCGACGTTCATGCCGAAAGGGCGATTATTCGGCGTCCATCCGACGGGATCAGGTGGGATGATTTGGGAGAAAGATCAAAATAATGTGTCTGCCCGGGACTTTAGCTTCGCCAACGAGCAAGTCCGTGCTCTACATATCTAGTCGTCACTTTGGCTCTCTTTTTCTTTCATTCTCATCATCCACAAATTTGTAGACAGACGAAGGAATCTGCCAGAAAGACATTATGTTGCCTTCCGTCGAGCGAAACGCCCGCCAGTGCGTCGAAGAACTGTTTCATTTCATCACAATTCAAGGAGATGGCGATTACATCGGTGAGAAGGTTTCTCAGCTAGAGCACTCGCTCCAGGCGGCTCAACTTGCTGTGGAAGCGGGCGCGGACGACGACACCGTGCTGGGAGCCCTCCTTCATGACGTCGGCCGTTTCATCCCGGCCGCGGAGAATATGCCGGCCATGATCGCTCCAAATGGAGTGTATGTTGGCCGCGAGAGCCATGAGATTCTTGGCGAGAAATACCTTCGCCAACTCGGATTCAGCGAGTCGATCTGCCAGCTGGTCGGGGCTCACGTTATGGCGAAAAGGTACCTAACGGCCGTGGATAAAGGGTACTATGACGGTTTGAGTCAGTCCAGCAAGACGACATTGAAGTTTCAGGTCTGTGCTAACCCCGCGAAATTGTCCTAGAGTGGGATCTAATCCGGGAACAGGGCGGCATCTTCACCGAGGAGCAAGTCCGTGAGGCGGAGAAGGACCCTCTTCTCAGCGCGAAACTCGCAGTTCGCCGGTGGGATGATTTGGCCAAAGTGCCCAACATGGAAACCCTTCCGCTCCGGTACTATGAACGAATGGCGATTAACAGCCTTCTCAGTGAGTGATGGGACAAAGGTATCCGTTGCCGCGTCCGAGAGTTTTAACATCGAGCAATAGACTCCCGATCCGTAATTGAGGTGAACGGAAGAAGGTACAACCTTCCCCGACGACCGACAGCGGTGATTTGCATCGACGGTTTCGACCCGGAATATCTCGAAAGAGGGATTTCTGACGGCATAATTCCTCACATGGCCTCATTCGTACGATCCGGCTTCTCGACTACAGCAACATGTGCCATGCCATCGTTCACCAACCCCAATAACGTTTCCATCATATCCGGGGCGCCCACATCCGTCCACGGTATCGCCGGCAATTTCTTCCTCGATCGATCCACCCGGCGAGAGCAGATGATCGTCGACGACAAGTTGCTGCGAGGTACGACAATCTTGGAACAAATGGCCAATCGAGGCGTCAGGGTCGCGGCCATAACGGCCAAGGACAAATTGCTAGCTATCATCAACCACGGCCTAGATTGTTCCAAGGGCGCAATTTGTTTCTCGGCACAGTGTGCGAATAAATGTACAGTTGCTGACCATGGCATTTCAGAGGTTGAAGAATGGCTTGGCCTTCCAACGCCGGAGCAATACTCCGGAGACTTGTCGTTGTTCGTTCTGAAGGCAGGGGCAAAACTTCTGGAGGAGGACAGGGCCGACTTGCTGTATTTGACCTTGTCCGATTACGTGCAACACAAATATGCACCTGGAAGCAAAGAGTCGAACGAGTTTATGTCAGCCATTGATCAGTGCATTGGACGATTGGTGGAATTAGGGGCCACCGTTGCTGTCACCGGTGACCACGGAATGAGTGACAAGTCGAAAAGTGATGGTTCTCCCAACCTTCTATTTCTTGAGGAAGAACTCAACCGGGAGTTTGGCCAGGGCTTTGCCAGAATCATCTGCCCTATCATTGACCCCTTTGTCCGACACCACGGTGCGCTGGGCTCCTTTGTGCGGATTTATTTGAACCGAGAAGGTGTCAGCATCGAAGATGTTCTTCAATACTGTCGGTCATTCCCCCAGATCGAGTTGGCCGTTGATGGAAAGACCGCCGCCGAGAAATTTCAGATGCCTCTTGATCGTGAAGGAGACATCGTCGCTATTGCCAAAAAGGATGCCGTTCTCGGAAGTCGAAAGGAAGAGCACGATCTGACCAACCTGAGAGATCATCGACTTCGCTCTCACGGAGGCCTTTCAGAGCAACACATCCCCCTTCTGCGATCTCTGCCGGTGACAGATCCCGCGGGTGATCGGGAGTGGAGGAATTTCGATGCCTTTGACCTGGCGTTGAATTTTTGAGAGGTTGAGCGGGACAGCATGACTTTTCCTTATTCTGGATGCATCGATCCAAAGTCAATGTCGAAATTGAAGTCTGCACCTGGAGAATACAAGAAATCATAATGTTCCAGAAACATGGCATCGGTGGGACTGAGCCAACGGTTGTTGACATCGAAAGACGTTGGCGGACCCATGGGAGCTGACGGCGGGGTTAATTGTCCTGCTTCTTGGGGAGCACCGTGCAAGAAACGATCCAAGAGCTTTCGCATGCTACTTGCAATGCTGGTCAGTAAATGCCGGGGATGCATGTTGGCTGTTATGCTCTTCAATGTCGCGGCCAACCTGTCCAAAGTTTCAGATATCCCAGCCTTGTCGATTCTCAGATTGGCCGGGTTTTTGAGAATGACCTTCAAAAGGAAAACAAAGGCAAAAGCGATCATGGTATCAAAGTATGCCGGAAGCCCATGTAAGTAGGACTGGATTTCATGATCGACCACGGTCACTTGCAGAATCGACGTGGCGGCATGAATCGCCACGGCAGCAAATTCTTCGAGGTCTGGCTCGAGCTGTGAGTGCTCGCCTTCTGCAGGAGGAGCTCTTCTAAACACGTGCGAACATAAAAACAATTTGGCGAAGTGGTAATGAAGGCCGACTCCTTTGCGAGGATAGTTGCCCACGCATTCGTTGACGTGAAAGCGCTCATTCCAGTCCGCGCGCCAGGTGTCCAATGCAATACCGAGTCGCCGAAGTTGAGGGAGTAGTTGATCTGATAGATGAGCCTCAGGGTCCAAGCTGAATTGATCAAAAACACGATTGCTGATCGACCAGATTTCCACCTGGCTCACTAGTCTAGCGTCGTCCTCAGTCGCGAACTCGGACTTGAGGAACTCACTGAGGGGAGTGATGGCGCTGAAATCTCTCGTCAATGGCGGCCTGCCGTAGGCAATGGAGAAATGGTGATCGCAGACATAAACGTGATAGTAGAGACGAGTACGTAAATAACACGCCTTCTTGGTGTGAGGAGCTTTGGGGATGCATCGATGAAGATTTAGTTCACCTGCTAGGCGGGCGGCTGTGAAATTGTTAATAGGGGGTCAGCACAAACACTCCACCCCCAGGTAAAAACTTGCCTGCACCAACGAGTGTCCATGATATATCGCTCAACCAAAATGCGCCGATACAAAGAGCTCTCACATCATCGTGAGTATTTCTTTTGGAAAACATCTTGGAGGAAGCAAGGTCTACAAAATGTTGGTAGCACGCTTGATATTTGTTTGAAGGAGTGTGAAGAGCCCCCACGGCACAGATGGCGGCGGTCAAGAGAGGCGAGCTTTTTCGTACACTGGATAGTGAATCGTGCTCGGCGAGGATCCGGTAGAGGAAGTGGTCGAGACGTCGGTAATACAGACTGAAAAACGTTTCCGCGTCTTGGATGGTGACGATACCGCGATCTACAAGATCGAAGTCTTCTGCCAAGTTTTGACGAGTTGTGGCTGGCGACGAATCGGATACTTCAGACACACAGGATGCTGGAACAATACCTGGTCCTCTATTGAGGTCCATCACAACTTCCCAGCCTGGACCCTGCTCATTCTGCGGCGGCGGCGATTCTGTAGTTGGGGTCTTTTGTGTTGGACCTTGTATTTGAGGAGAGATTTCTTGATAAGAGAACGAAGATTGACTTGGCCCGGCGAATCCCGTAGCTGAGGTGTCTTGTGCGGAACCTGGAATATGGGCAGTGTGCCCCTCACGGTTGCAAGCAGACGAATTTGGAACATGGAATGTATCGGATCGTTGTTGGTTCAGTCTGTTGATGGATTCTTCCAGCATGCGAAGCTTCTCGTCGACATTGGCCTTCCATCTGAATTCATCAGCACTTGCAGGGAATCCGGAGAGTTCACAGCAAGAGACTTACGCAACATCGCTTTCGAGTAACATCTGTAGACTTCGATTGACCACGCAAGATAGTCCCCGCTTTTTACAACGCGTACAGGGTGGTGTGGCATCGGTCATGTGGCATTTGATCTTTTGTTTCCGGCAAGCGACGCAGGCGGTGATTTTGCGGCTGATATCGATGGGCTTGCGATCGCCGAAGGACTCACGGAGAGCCTGAGCGGCTGATGAGCCGGTGTCCATGTCTTGGACAGGCTGTCAATTTAGTCTTAGGGATAACGACGGTTCTCTTGGTGGAGGATGGTGATGGATGTCAACTACAAGGTTGGAGGACGGAAGGATTGTCGCCAATTGGCGACATGAGGAAAGATGTCGTCGAATTTCAGCCAATCAAAGCTTACGATTTGCAGCTGACCACGTGCAGGATCATTTGGCCAGCGGAACTTCTTCTTCCCTGTTCCTCTTCTCCCTCTACTCCTTGTGCCGTACCCGTCGTTGCCATCGGCATCCCCCGGAGACTTCTTCGCTCTCAGGAGGGTTGCGCTCTTCGTGCCGTCCATCAGAAATTCGAACTTTTTGGCCCTCTTATCATCCCTTCCTGTGGATATGCTCCTTTTGCTGCAGATCTACACGTGGCCGTCAGCATCCTCTCAATTCGTTCTCCAACGCCATCGATACATCGGGATATGGGCCATCTTTATATCACAGCAACGGTCTTTGGCCCGAGATCCGGCAGAATGTCCAAGATACTCTGATGCACTTTGAAAACATCTATATCAACATCCATGGATGGCGAGATCGAGACGGGAGGCCCGTTGAACCACACAATCTACAGCTAAGGTGACGAATCCGTTCAACCTTGCTCACAATGTTCAACGCAGCCTCTCACTTCTCCAAATTGAAGTTCTTGGTGGTTGCGGGAGTTGGTCTCTTTGGCGATGGGTTCTTAAATATCAGCATAGGACTGGGTATGAATAATTTTCTTGAGAGATTGCGATCCTTTCTGACGGTCGCAGTTGTCCCCATGCTCGGACACCTCTACTTCCAAGACGAGAAGAACAAGATCCCAACCATCAAAGGGGATTTGATCAAGGCATCACTGTCTCTCGGTATGATCCTCGGTCAGATCAGCTTCGGAGTCTTTGGGGATGCTTTGGGTCGCCACCGAATCTATGGCAAAGAACTCATGATCACCATCTTCGGCACCCTTATGGTCATCTTGATGCCTTGGAAAGGCTTTGGTCACGGTGATGTTGTTGCCTGGATGTCGGTCTTCCGCGTGGTTACTGGCTTTGGCATCGGAGGCGGTACGTTCTACCGACCAGTCGTCTTCTGTAGTCCTCTCTTTCTGACGCGTCACAGACTATCCCATGACATCAGCCTTGTCCGCCGAGCAAAATCCATTGGGTTCCCGGGCCAAACTCGTCCTTACCGTTTTTGCGTCCATTGGTCTCGGCGCTATGTCCTCAGGTATTATCTACCTTATTCTTCTAGCAGCCTTTAAGTCGTCGGTCAAGGAAGACATATATCATCTCCAATGGGTATGGAGACTATTGTTTGGCATCGGACTGGTCCCTTTGATCCTCACCCTCTACTTTCGTTTGACAATGCCTGAGAGCAAGCCATACAAGCAATGTACGAAACACTCCGTCCCTCATGTCGAAATCGCTGACTGAAGCCAGATGTCGCTGAGGAAACCTCACTCAAAGCCGACGGGAAACGCGGTCTGAAGCAGCAGTTCCAGGATTTCCGAGAATACTTTTCGCAGTGGAAACATGCCAAAGTACTCTTTGCCGTCAGTGCGGCTTGGTTTCTCTTGTAAGACTGACAGACCCCCACCCCCCCCTTTCTCCCTTTTTCCTTTTCTTCTGAATCTAATTTAGTCATTACCTTCTAGTGACATTGCATACTACGGAATCAACCTGAACCAGAGTATTATCCTCTCGAAAATTGGTTACGCCAAGGCACCGACACCATTTGGAACTTTATGGAACACGGCCATTGGCAATATAATCGTCTCAGCTGCCGTAAGTAGAATTCCCTATGGCTGGTCTGGATGACAACCTAACAACCTATTAGGGCTATCTCCCGGGCTTCTATATTGGAATATTTCTGCCCGACTTCATCGGACGAGTCAACCAGCAATTTTATTGCAGCGTCATTGTCACAATACTTTATGCCATCTGGGCAGGCGTGACTAATCACAGCTCTACCGGAGGCTTGGTTACCTTGTTTACCCTTTCCCAACTATTTTTGAACATGGGACCAAACTGTACGACATTTCTCATTCCAGTAGAAGTATTCCCCACTCGAGTCCGGGGCACCGCTCATGGAATTGCTGCAGCTTCTGGCAAAGCAGGTGCTGTTCTGACTGCATTCGCCTTTGGATCTCTTACCGATGCTGTCGGCCTTCAAGGAACCCTTGGCCTACTTTGTGGCGTCCTGGCACTAACTGCCCTTGTCACCTTGTGGATTCCAGAGACCAAAGGCCGTTCTCTTGATGAGATCGAACAAGGAACTATCTACGGCCTGCACAAGGGTTCTGAGAGTATTCCATCTACTGGAGACGTCACACCAGTTTTGGAAGGTATGAAAGGCAATCTTCAGACCAAAGTGTCCATGAAAGGCGCGGGAAAAGAACGAGAATCTGATTCCGTGTGAAAGGATCAGGCAATTGGTGCCCTATCTGATGTTCTGGCTACAAGATATGTGTGGCTTGCCAATCATTTGAGATTTCCATAGACTTCGAAGGCCGAAGCTGGTATACCCCACACCATGCGAAATGTACCGCCATGAAGGTGGCATGATCGTTCGACACATTGTCCTCGGAAATTTATATTTATGTAGGGGAAAGCGCTTGGCTTACGTTAAAGGATATCTTTTTAATGTTGCTGGCGTTAAGCCCAAGTCTATCGCATCGATGCGACGTCGGCGTGAGGGAATAATCCGCCATAAGTATTGATACTCAGCCTCAGGTCGCACTTGAGGATTATACAATCCTAGATGGTGAAAATACCTCTGACAGTGACGAATACTGTCCCGGTCGTCTAGAGAAAACGGAAAGAAATTCCTTGCGTCAATATTCTTGCTGGAGTTGTACCTCGAAAGAAGCAGTCCATCTAGCGTCTAATACCCTATTTGCCTAACTCGGCGCAGTCCCCGACCCCCGCCAGTCAACTCTTCCCTCTACCAGTTGCCAAGCGCATCCTCACACGACAAGGAAAGGAGCCCGAGGAGAATCCAAAGGATGATGGGCAACCGGAAAATTAGTCATCATGGTGGAGGCAACTTGGAGGCAATGTTCCACAATCATCCTTCCAATCTAGAAATATTTCCAAATTGGGCGACGCTCCTTCTTCTCTTTTGTCATCCAGACGGCTTCTCGTCGTTATGAAAGAGCGAACTCAAGATGCTTTGGGCAGGTCATTCCCAAGATCCTTGTCACTTCACGGGGACATCCTTCCGATGGCGCGATCATGATGGTGAGTAAGATTTACAGTCAGGTCGGCGTCTTCGGGCCCTCAACATCTCGATCTCGGGATTCGAAGATGAATAAATAGGAACCGTGAGTGTTCATGTCGGTGCTGAGTGGATGTTGAGAAGGAAGTCGAATCAATAGCACGACATTCAGAATTATCCCTCGGATCAAAATCAGAGATAAAACTCCTGGCACTCAGCCATCGACAGACATCATGCCGATGCCATCGTTGACGAAAAAGTACTACCACGCACCATACCCGTCCATCGATCCCCGCCGACCAGAGCTCTCAGCCGTCGGAAAAGTCGTCTTGATAACAGGAGGTGGCTCGGGCGTGGGACAAGGCACTGCCGTCGCATTTGCCAAGGCACAGGCCAAAGTGGTTGTCATTCTCGGTCGCCGCTTGCAAACCTTGGAAGAGACAAAATCCAAGGTTGAGCGGCTCAGCAAATCCACAATGGTAGCCACATATTCACTAGACATCTCTGACGAGAAATCTGTGGCGGACTGTTTCAACGACGTCAGGACCAAGTATGGACCCATCGACATCTGCCTAAATGCTGCAGCATATCTCTCGGATCAAGGGACAGTCAAGGATTCGCCAGTATCCGAGTACTGGGCGTCCTTTGAAATCGGCGTCAAAGGCTCATACATTGTAGCGCAACAATTCCTGCGCCACTGCTCAGATCATGACGCCGTATTGATCGGCGTGAATTCCTTGATCGCACACATTCCAGCTGTGCACGTCGACTCGGCACCGGCGAGTTATGCCAGCAGTAAAATCGCTGCTGCGAAGTTGTACGAATATGTCGCGGTCGAAAATCCTCATGTCAGATGCTATTCGTTGCAGCCGGGGATCATTGAGACAGACATGTCGAGGAAGAGTATCGAAATGATGCCTGAGGAGAGCCAGAAGAATAATCGATTTTTGCCATTTGACGACGGTGAGTCCACAGGACAACTTTGGTTTGCCATCGTTTGCTAACTTTTACCAGTCTCGTTGCCAGGATGCTTCTCCGTCTGGCTCTCATCTAGAGAAGGCGCCGTGATTCCGTCTGGTCGATTCCTGTGGTCGAACTGGGATGTTGAAGAACTCAAAGAACGAGCCATCAAGCTCAAGGAGGATCCATGTGTCTTGACGCTGACCTTACCTGGATGGCCATTCTCTCTTCCAGAAGACGAAGTCTATCCAGATTATGGGGCTGCTGCTAAAATTGGTAGGGAGCCTTGAAGATGAGAAATGGTGCCATCAAGACATATCCGGGACTAGCAGGACAGGGGTTATTCGTCTGAAGGATATCCAGATAAAAGAGAGAATTGGGACGAATGTTTCATCATCAGGTTCTTCTTTCTTGGATTGTCCTAAGATGTATTCCGTATTGAAGAATCAAAGAAATTTGGTAAGTTGTCCGTGTTCCTGCCATATTTTCCAGCGGCAAAATGCATCCCCGAAGATTACGAAACTCAAAAGCATCTCGATACTTTTTGGAAGAGAGCTTGAATGGCCTGTGTACCCATTGTCACGGGAGTCAACGTCGGTGCTCAAAATGGCCCGAACGGGACTGGCGAGGCTCCATCTCACCAATTTTTCCTGACCGTGCCACAAAGACCTGCGCATTGACACCGGGACCGATGTTGGTGATACTTGAAACATAGCTTCCCAATAACTGTTGCCTTTCTTGAATGACCCCAAAATCGCCATGTGGGAAAGAATCGGGGCAACGACTTCACATGGTTGATGTGTCTCTGTTGCTGCTTCTCTCCCTTCTTCTTTTCCGGGGGTCCCACCCAGCCGCGAACCTCACCGCTTTCGAGTGCATTTAGTTTCATCCAACCTATTGGGCCAAAATGAATGCAGACTTCTTCCTTCGCTCACATTGTCTTCGCTTTGGCCTCACACGAATCCTAAGGCTTGCTTCCACCGTCGTTTTCATCACCATAGCCTTCCCTGTTGGTCTCAGTACTAGGATTTTTAAATGTATAGTACAAATGACCATCATATTCCCAGTCCAGTGGTAAGAGACACCTATTCCAATCATCCTAGAGGCTTTTGGCAACCACCAAAAGGACTGTCACGGATCGTCCACCATTGGCCAAGGCATCCCTGTCTGGAATACATATCTCTTTGACAACGATGCATCCACTATCAACACTATGGGAAGCCGAAAATTAGGGCTATCTATGACTTTCCAGCTGGAAGTTACGCGTCCTGGCAACATGATATTTCATTCTTCGCTCCCCTGGGCAACGAACTAGACGAATGGCCAGGTGAAGAATGGGTAGACATCCTTTCTCAGAATGGTTTGAACTATTACGACGGGTCGAATTGATCTTGCCGTGCCAAAAGTTGTGACGGCGTGGACCGACAACGTCGATGGCGACGGCGACGACAGTGGTTTCAACCTACAACAATCAAGCTCGACCGACTGCATAATATTCCTCTCCAATACGCCCCTGGTTGCAATCTTGCCATGGGACTCAAGAATGTTGATGATATTATTTCCGACGTCATTGACTGTAGGTGATGGTGTATCAATGAATCGTGTGTCGAGTATGGGAAGTGTGACACGCCCCTTTTTTTCATATTGAAACCCGAAAGAACCCGAAGAAATATGGGCCCCTAATCATCCTGGTTATGAGGGACATAGATCTGTATGAGTCTATTATGCATGGGGAGAAACAGAGGCAACCAGATAACCAGATACCAGCGTTTTGGAGGATCACGAGTTGATACCATACATACTTGGGGAGTAGCTTTGTGGCATTGTAGCGGTGATCACTGACGACATGGGAATCTCAATGACACTCAGCAATTTGTTGCTATGACGTCCTAGCCTCCCTAGCATTCTCTGCCCTCCTTTTCGTGTCTAGGGTGGCGACTGCTTATATCCTATCCTGCTGTGAGGCTGTGAATCCACCAATGAGCTCTGCCTAAGCCACACTAACACAGCCTCTACGTTTAGACACCAGCCAATAGGAGCATGCCCAATCGACGAGGCTGTGCTTAATGACTCTTCGCCAATGACTGGATTCTAATGAATCACCCGTCGACATACATCAGCGTCCTCCTTCCTCATTTTTAAAATCTCACGGCATCGACCCCTTCATTGGGCAGTCGACCATACCTGCAATCCATACTCTATTCCCCCACCATCTCGTATCCACGCTTTTCATAACTCGTCCAACTCACCACATCACCGGTCAAATAAAATAAAAATGTCCCGACGAACTCCAGGTTCTGGTATGTCCTCGACACGCTCCGACGCCAACCTATACCTCGACCTTCGCTCGCACCGACACGCCCTGAACCGCGTATCGAAGCAATCTGCAAAGTACTATGGCTACCGCGGCGTGCACCCCGGCTGGGTAAATCAACCATACCTGGCCCTTCGCCCCGACACCATTGCATCGTTTTCTGACCCGTGCCCCCGCACCGCCTACGCGAGCTGTGCGCCGACCCTGCGGCACCCCGCACACATGCATGTGTCGACTTGGACGAAAAGGGATATGTGGTTGGACAGAGAGCGTGGGATCTGGCCGCTGGACCGACGGCATCACAAAGGAAAGAAGATCCGTGAGAAGTATTGTTGGAAGTACACGGAGAAGGAACTGGGGAGGAGAATGAGGGTGAAGACAAGGGGTTTGGAGGGGGCAGTTAGTGGGGCAGAAATTGAGGCGAGGTATGGTGATGATTATTACTTATGTAGATTTGGTGACGATGACGTTGAAGAGGAGGGTTATGATGATAGGGACGGAGATGGGGGTGACGATGAGGAAGGAGAAGAAGGAGACGTTGAGGAGTTCATTGAAGATGGAGCCTCTTTTGTCGACGAACAAGAGCTTTCCGAGAAGGAAACTGATGTTGATAACGAGGACGGATTCAATATCATTTCGGAACGGGACTTCGACGTCTTGTCGATTTCTTCAATTGAAGAGGACGACGGTGAAGGAACCTGAGGAGACTGAGCATGAGCAGGAAGAAGGGTGTTGTGAAGGCGGTATGTCCGCAGAAGAAATTCAAGATCAGGCTGAGCAAACAACCAAATCGCTTTGCACTTCTTGCTTAATTTTTATGATCTTCTCTCATTGCTCGCCTTCTTTGACTGACCAAATGGCGTATATAGCTTTCTCTAGGAAGACGGTGCTTGGGCAGCCGGACACGCCCTGAGTCTGGGTCTTCCCGTCGAAGGTGCTGGTAAATTCGCAGCTGAAAATATACCACCCCATCTTTTGTCCACAGTGAGCTGTGCCATTCGTGTCCCCAACCCCACAGAGACACGTCAATCATCAAGGCTAGAAGTCGACTGGTGTGCACGATATTGTTTCCCAAACTTGATCGATACATTTCACTCGGTGGGACGACATAGCCTTGCACTTCAGAGTAGACCCACTGGTCTTTCCCAAGCCCATGAATTGGCTATCTGCTTCGCGCTCCAAGATGCAGACTTCTCGAGACAAGGCACCTTCAAATTTATTAAATGTTTGCTTTTTTCTTTCTTCTTTCCCCAAAAGATCTCTATGTGAGCGCTCGACTGATTAGACCGTTTGTTGTAGAGTTGGATTTGGAATGGGAAGGTTTCGGTTTCTGGCGATCTGCTAGGTTTCAATCATCCCACTGGCTTTACCTTCTCTCGCATCGATGCGAGGGTGCATTCATCTTCGACTTGCCCGCGGTTTGGCCCGGAGTTGATACATGCTGCCCACATCTTCCAGAGTACGGCCGTTGCTCTCAATGGGAAACAGGTAGAACAATGATCATGACTACAAAGCAATATCCTCCCAGAACATATCCATCCGCAAAGCCGATTGCTCCGGTGATGAATGGAGTAAAGAAAGCAATGAGAAAGGCGAAAGTCTAGTTTGCGGCTGTCGCTGTTTCCATGCGGATACTCCGATAAAGAGGTATGGGAAGACAATCATTGTCTTGCCCACTTGAGGATATTTTTTCCCGTCTGACCTGGTCAATGTGAATTTCCCAAGGCTGGGCGAACACCATGAAGCAGACAAACATCCGGCCCGCCACCCCAGTAAGGCACTTATGTGTCACGCCGTTTTGGTAGCTCGAGCTTCTGCAGCGGCCTTGATCTCCATCTCCGCAACCTGTTTATTGATGCAGGGGTGATCTGCCGGAATTCCATAAAATTTCCTCGCAAGAAAACAATTGTTTCCCGCGCCGCCCGGCCGCGGTCGCGAGAGAAGTCATGCTTGGGGTTTTCGGGGGAAGGCACAGACTCCAGCAACAAGGACAACGGCTCAAGGAAAGCAATTCCTTGAGAGATCTTCCATGCGGTGGCGTTGTTTACAGTCTCTGTACCTAGGTTGATCCAGTTGCCGACCAGGATGCCGAAAATGATCATTAATCGGTAAGTACTTAGCACCTTGACGTTAATAACGGAGAACAGCTGCTCGCATGTTGTGACCTGGCCTCGCCACCACCTCGCCAATGTGAGCGGGGGATGATTCTGTTTGGTGCAGGGGTTGCCAGAGGTTGCCCATACCCACTCCTGCGATGAAGCCACTTATGATCTGATATCAAGCATGCAGGGGTCGAGATTTGGACGACCATGCTGACTGTACAATAAAGCATGCAACAATGATTGACTTTTTGCGGCTGAGCCTATCTGCTAGCGTACCCGAGCTGAGGGGGGGCCAAGCATCGTCCCAATCGAGGGCCTGCAAGAATGAATTTCAAAGTGCACAGTCAAACCTTAAAACCATGCTCACCAAGCTCATGATTAGTCTAGATCTGATGCTCTTAAGATTGGGGGAAGGCTGACGAACATTCCCGTATAGATCCTGGAAGTTGGACATATTGAGCATGCTTGAGATAATGCCTGACTTTGGAATTATGTTGATTGAGCCCATAATGGAGTGAGTGGTTGGGGAAAGAAGTACCCGTATCGTAGCCGAATATCATTTCCTCCGGCCGGGAAACGAACTCCATCGTCACTGTGGCGGTATTTGGGCTTTCGAAATACGTGAACGGCCGTAAAGCCCTTCCAGGGAGGAATCATGAAGGAGGAGATATTTTTCCTGATGCGGTCCCTCGATGGAACGGCAGAGGATGCCTTTTATAGAACCCCTCCAATCATTTCGTTTACAAAGCATCAGACATGACAATTTAGGGCAAAGTACTGCTATGGTAGAGGCCCCCGCTGGTTGCTCTAAGCTGAATAAAGTAGTCATATAAAAGGGGAGGGGATTTTAAGAGGAGGAACGCATCGCTTCTGCCATGAGGAACCTGAATGACTTTTCCGTTTGGCCTCCCTCTTGGCGCCACGTCTTTGCGACGTCTTAGCATGGCACGGACGACGATAATTGCCCAAAGGATGTTCTCTTGTACGCTCAGAGGTCCAACAGCCGCAAGCTGATGCGAACAAATTAGCAGTGCTTGTGGGGGGAGAGGGGAGGAAAGAGGGGGAAGGGAGGGGGGATTTTCCCTGTCGACAGGAACGATGTATTACAACGAATTAGAGGTCAGCCACGTTCCATGACAAGACTTAGCGAGTGGCCATATTGACAGACGAGCTGCAAGACATCCAAACATGTGAAGTTTCGTCCTAATGCATCTGAATGCATCCTAATCGGTAAGATTCCAATAGGTCCACAGTGGGTCATTCAACCCCTCTCGTCAACGCAAATCTTTGTGACAAAAGGCCCATATTCGTGCGCACGGTCCCATATTCATGATCCAAGTTGCCAAGTTGTGTCGTCTTCTCCTGCCATATTGGAAACCTAGATAGCGATATTGCAAGGGGTTGAAAGCTCGAGCAAGCGAAAGAGGGGATCCAGAGAATCTCGATGACTCCTCCTATGTACAGAACCATTGGGGGTCTAGGGTTGCGTGCATCTTGGACGGTTGCAAATCTTTCACTATCATTTGGACATTAATATCTATAGGATCTCCATCCTCCGCTAGTATCCTGATGGTGCCGATGTCAGTGCGTCAACGTCGAACTGTCTAAAATCCTTGGATCTGCTCATTCTTGAGCCTGGCACTCAAATTCCTTTGGACATTGAGCCAGCTTTACTGTTGCTCTATGATTCATCGACAAGATGGAGCCTCGCAATCTCAGCAATATGTCTGGTGAAAGTACCAATACGATCGCCACCTACACACAATATCTGAGCATGGACTTGAACGAACATGACAGTTTCCTGTTCTCAGCAGATCAAAACACGGTGAATTTCTCAGAGCACCGTCCGTCACCACATTTGAATCCCGCGGGAACCTCAGATCGGCTTGAGGATAGTCATCATGTTCGCCTAGGAGAAGTACAGCAAGAACATCGGGGGCTTGAGAGCAGTTGGGGTGATTGGGGACTTCCTTCACCTCGGAGCGACAATAGTAACGACCCAAGTTCCACTCCAGTCGAGACCAGTAACTCCAGCCAAAGCAGCCCCGGATCTCCCCAGCGCAACATTCAGCCGTGGCGAACGAGCTCCAAATTATCGTCAGTCTCTGGAGTGGGCAGGCTTAAGCAGCATCAATGTGGCGCCCTGAAGCATTCCGAGGAAGTCACAAAGATCGCTCAGAAAAAGCAAGCTCATTCCGTCGTTGAGCGAAGGTATCGCGACAAGATGAACAACAAAATGAAGCAACTTTACCATGTCCTGTTGGAGACAAAACAGGTGTCGCGCCTCCCACGCATCCAAAACTGGGACACTGTATCTTTGAGCCGAGCGCCAGGTGGCATTCGAAAAACAGACATTATCAATGATGCCATCAATTACGTCTACCAATCTGAAGTCAACATTCGACACATGTCGGACGAAATTTCAACCCTGAAGGCGCGCATACAGAATTTGGAAGACTCCCAAAGAGCAGAACTTCTCATGCCGATGATCGATCCGAGCTATTGAACTCGAGCTCGCGACGTATCAGTCCTCCGGAAGGGGACGATGTCAATTCCATACAAAATCAGCCATAATGCTCCGCCACAGACGGGTCATCGAGCTGAAAGGGCACAGTGCCAATATCCGCGGGATAAAGCAAGCGGATGTTGAATTGATCGGACGATATGACTCTCTGATGCTTCTTGGAACTGTCTCGTAACCAACATAGCCTCCGTCAGAGGGGGCCCCCCAGGAGCTTCCAATGTCCAAAGCTACTTTCAACACCCGGACACTGCAACTTTGCACCTCCACAAGTAGGCCGCCCGCTTCAAAATAAATATTCGTCCCTCTCATCTTCGTGATGGACCTTTTTTGGTCCAATAAATCATCAAGTTCCAGCAAGTAGGAAGCGCTGGAAACAAAGGGTCATCCAAGCCGAGGCCCGTCAACATCAACCCATTAGTCTATTGCTCATTACTCCCTGTTAATCGTCCCAAAATTCCACATATACGCCGTCCCTCAGTTATTTTCTCTCTTGGCGCGCTACACGGTCGCAGTTCCGTGTTCATGGTAACAGAATGCTGATGCAGCATGTCGAAGGCTGTTGACGAGTCACCCTCGACTGAAGCACTGATACGCTTCTGCAAGAGGCCTTAAAGGCCCTTGCGAGTACTTCCCGGCTTTTTGAGCGAGGCTCTCACCACAATGGTCTGCGCAGCGATGTTATCGCGCATTTGCTGGCTGGCATCCGGCGTAAAGCGGGTTTCTAGCATGCTAGAGATGTCGGGTTGAGTTGAGGACGGAGTCGTGCTTTTCTCGATCCTGACGCCGAATGGAAGGGTCTGAATAGCGAGTTGACAGAAGCTGATGGGTGCAAGAGCTGCGAATAGAGAGCTTAGGAGCAGTCCGAGAGCGCTGGTACCTTCGATGCTGGAAAGCTTTTCGCTCCGTGCTAGGCCGATGAAAAAGAATTGTGTTAGTAATGGGGAGCTGTTTAATGGAATCGGGGTGTGGGAGAACATCGACAGGATTGAGGCCGCTGACTGTGTGGCCGGATTTCATGATGTCCCACTACGTTTCAACTCTCATGCTGAACAGCGGTGAAGGGATGGTGACGTATTTGTTGAAAACAGGAATTTTGCAGCTGTTGGAATCAGAGTCCTGAAGTGCATAGCGAATCTTGAATGCCATTGGAGGACCTTCGTAGATCTCAATGTAACCTGGACCACCTGACTGTGATTCGAGATTTCCGTGGGCCGTAAATCGCCACAGTGGGAATGTTTTGGCCATTTCTGAGCTGCTTATTTGGCATCCTTTTCCCGTTCGGCATCTGAATTTGTAACATATTCTTTTGCGCAGCGAAGCCATGTTTTTGGAGGGCGTCGGTCAAATTGTGGCGCTCTGTTATCACAGACTGATTTGCAAAGTTCTTTGACATTGTTGAATCGAATTGAACCGTCATAGTCCCCTGGCTTAGGACGAAATCTGAGGAATGCGTGGATGATCACTTGACATCATCTTGGAACTCTAACTAGAATCGAAAAATAAGAGGCTTGTTCCAGCGCTGGCAAGGATACCGACGACATGTGGGTACAGGAATATGAAGATGATGCGTGTCCCAATGGAGAAATAGGGGAAGGAGTTGGTAAATAAGATGGTGCTTTTTGCCTTCTTCAGGATGAATTCCATAGCTTGATGGATGACAGCATTGACGGTGTATGCATTGACGAGCATCAAGAATGATGCATCCATTCTTGTTGGAAGAATATGTTCCTGCGATCCGCGTTCTCATTCCGTACCGGTCAACAGATCATGGGTGAGGAGGATGCTCAGAATGATCTCCGTGCAAAGGATACCGATGTTGTCTGTCCCGTCCAGATAGACAGGATTGCGAGATCGGTACATGGGAACCAAGATCAGGTATTTCAAGGTAATCAATATTTTTGTGTGCATCTCCTTGGCTTTCATTTTTCAAATCGAAAACGTGGCTTGGATCACTGAGGATAGTTCCGACATCTCTAGCCAAAGCTCGACCCAGCCTGATGGCCGTCGCAATAAGCTGAATCTCATCAGTAACATGAAGTCGTTGAATAGGTCCTCTTCCGGAACGCTCATGTACTATGAAGGCTCTCAACGGGCTCTGGGACTCGAGCAGTTTCGCCCGGTTTGATGTCCTTCGGTATGAGGACAGTTCTGAAATGATGGAATCCAGCCAATGAGTTCCATGGATCAGAATTTCGATATCTGAAACTCTGGGTTTGACATTCCACCAACGTTCTGACTTGGATGATGCTCACCAGCAAGTGCTCTCCGAGTTCATTGATACCATCCTAGTTCTTGTGGCAAATATCAAAGGATACGACCTTGAGCGAATAGCCGGAAGGGAATATGGCTGAGGTTCCACTTTCCTTATGACACTGACCTGACTTGAACCACTTCCTCCAGATAACCCCCCACTGAGATATGTGGTTGATCGATTTCCAGGTGGTCCTTGAGGGCCCGGTGCTCCAGAAAACAGAGAGGGAAATAAAAAGGGAGGGGGTTGGGTGGCTCCTTTGAACAGTAGCATTTCCACATGTCTCCTTAACAGAGGTTAGTAGAAAAATCTCAGCTACTGACCTAGGCCCACCATGTCCTGCCATTGCCACCCTGACCTTCGATACCTCCATCATTGGGTTCACCGAAAGTTCCACTTGCTCCGTCTCTCCCTCCACGAATGTCTCGGTAGGTAGACAATAGCATGTCCATGTCTCCTTCGACAACTTCGATGAGGACATTTCCAGCTTTGTTGCCGATGGCATCGTTTGTGCCGTACCCTCCACTAATAAGAGGCCAATAGTGTTTTAGGTCTTTGTGGTTGATGAGATTTCCTCTCCTTCTCGTGCTCCAGGATAGCCATTCCTTAACTCTTAATAATAACTTTCACCTTTCTTCAACGAGCACATACGTCTGTATCTCTGTATTTGGTTGCATTTTGTCCTGTTGCACCTTCATTTCCCGGTTGACTGTCTTCTGTTGTTGAGGGATGGCAGTCTCTGGACGAGTCAACTCCAGTGGGATAATGGTGGGAAGGAGATACCGTTTGGGCAAAGATGAGCAAAGTCACCAAACAAGTCAACAACAGTAGGAGATAGATCTGAAACTCGGCGCGAAAGTAAGGATACGCTAGCAAACGTTGGTTTCTCAACTGGCTCGCCACAATTCGTCTGCCTTGCACCGGTCGGGCACCGGAGACCAGATATGATATCGGCGAGCCTCGACACACTAGGCGAGCCAAGATGATCAGAGAGCGGTGGCGCATAGAATTCAGGATCTGAGCAACAAAACGATCATCTGCCAGCATTTCACGATCAAAACTGCGAGTGATGATTTGAGCACATGCCGAAACATAAGCCTGAGCCAGAAACAGTCATCATCAACACGACGGAGACACTCAACCTGATCCTGCATGCAACGGCGACAAATGGCACGATATCCTCCTCCGTCAACGGAAGCGTTTCGTCGATTGATCCGAACGAGGCTATATCACTGAGGCCAGGCGGTTTCCTCATCCAGGTATTCTCTCGTTTACTTTGAAACGCGATTGAAAAAAGGGCTCCGGTCAGTCGGAAGAGAACTGAACCGATTAGCAACACGCTAACCTCCATTCGTATTTCTATACACACTATTCCCATTTAGTAATAAGTCTATTCCTTTTTGGGATTCGATGCTATATTGCAGCTCCAACTACAAACGATGTACAACATCTCGGACCATACACTCTACAGCTTCGGCTGCAAGGATAGATGTCGGATTTAACAGAACGACGTATATTTCTCTCACGATGTCCATGCTTCCATCTCGCTGGTGCTGTTGAGGTATAAATGCGATCTCTGGCAACCGGAGATTCTCTGGTTCAATCAGTCAAGCAACTGCCTCCAAAATTCAACAGCTCAAGGTTTGATTTCATATTCCATTTCTTGCTTCATCCCGGAATCTCCACAATCATACACATTGAACTCACTCCGGCAGCCGTTGCTATCATGGCCCAATACGCAAAAGACCAGCCAGCTGGCTTCAAGAACTCGGTCCAAAACATCGCCGTTGTGGGCGTAAGTGCATCCCTCCCAACATCCTTCCCCCCTCCTATCTCCAATATATACGTTCATACTCACACCTTCCCAGGCCGGAGGCACCGTCGGCAAATACGTGACCGAATACCTTCTCAAAACCGGCAAGCACAACGTCACCGCCATCACCCGCTTTGATTCCACCAACAAACTCCCCTCGGGCGTTGTCGTCCAAAAGGTCAATTACGATGAGCACTCCTCTCTCGTCTCCGCCCTTACAGGCCAAGATGTACTCATCATCACCTTGGCCGTAATGGCCCCCCGCGACACGCAGACCAAACTGATTAACGCGGCCGCCGACGCCGGCGTCCCTTTCATCATCCCCAACGAATGGGGCATTGACACCAACAACGAAAGCCTTGCCAAAGAAACAATCGTCGGCGAACGCGTAGCAAAGATCCGTGCCTACATCTCAAGTCTAGGAAAGTCCTCTTGGATCACCTTGGTCTGTAGTTTTTGGTACGAATTCAGCCTCGGGGGCTCGCCGTCGCGGTATGGGTTTGACATCCCCAACAAGTCGTTGGTGCTGTTCGATGACGGGAACACGAAGATCAACACGTCGACTTGGGACCAGTGCGGGAGAGCTGTCGCGAACCTGCTCAGCTTGAAACTCTTGCCGGAGGACAGCAGCGATAAAAGCCCCACGATCTCGCAATTCAGGAATAAGAGCGTGTACATCTCCTCGTTCCTGCTGAGTCAGAGGGACATGTTGGCGAGCGTGCTGCGCGTTACGGGGGACAAAGAGTCAGATTGGGAAATTACCTCGGAGAGCGCGAAGGAAAGGTATGAGAAGGCAATGGAGGAGCTACAGAAGGGAGATATACAAGCGAGTGTGGTGGTGTTGTACACGAGGGTGTTTTACCGGGATGGGGGTGGGAATTACGAGGGGAGGATCGGATTGCATAATGAGCTGTTGGGGTTGCCGACGGAGGATCTCGATGCGGCGACCAAAATGGCGATCGACATGGCAATGAGAGGCGACCTTGCTTATTAGCCAGATTCCGATGGGGTAAGACGTTGTCATTGCTGGCGTGTCACACGTCTACACGGCACAGAGGACGAGGAACGTGGGAACGACAGTTGGCCCTGGAAAGCCATGACTTTGTTATGTGACGGTGAAAAATTCCCAGTGTGGCCACGAACGCGATAAAGTTGTTGCGAGCGTCATTGGTCCCCCTTTCAGGTTCGACATGGTGGAGCCAAGAATAGAGCAGGTAGAGTTCACGCCCCATGGTGTACTGGAACACTGCCAGATTCGGTATGACTTATGGCTTTGGGCATGTCGAATTTCTTCAGGGCGGCCACGGAACTCTCTAGCGGAAGGAAGATGAAGGGTTTGCGATAGTCCTGTCATGGGCGAAGACGACGGAGAGAACTCCAAGAATCATGGAGCAGAGTCAAAAGAGTTTGCGCGCTCCCATGCGTAGAGTCCATGCTTGATAAGTGGAGAGCAGTGAGTCCGACACGGGCGAAGGTTGCCCCTCAGTTCATGAGCTCTGCAGCTAGTCACGGAGTGAGAGAGAGGGTGCTCACAGCAACCTCGATGGAAGAACTGGTGGTCATAGAAGATTCATTTCAAGCCATGACTTCCTGGGTCCGTCCAGGTGTGGATTTTCCAACGCAAGTCGACGGTGCAGAATGTTACTAGAACATGGTCAAATATTCCTCATCTTTGGCTTTCGTAGAAATAATCCGGACCAAAGAAGTGGACAATCATTGCATGGGCAACTCTTGTGATGAATAGTGAGCGGATCCTTCTTCGCTCCAAAGCAAAAGCGTTCTGGGAAGGTAGTCTGTCAAATTGATATGAGGATGTCCAAGACTTGGTGAAGAGGGCCGAGTATACCGGGGTCTGGGCAGATATCTCGCCAAGGCGGATATTGAACTTTGCTTCTTCCATGATGTATCTTTTCAAACTCTTTGACGGGTCATCTTCCCTCTAGGCTTTCTCGTCAGGATGCTTGAAAATATCTACACGATACAAGACATCCATGCCACCGCAAGTGCTGGAGGGTAAGCTCATTCCCGAGGTGGACATCTTGTTCCTCGGTTCCCCTGGAGTGGGCAAAGCGACTTTCCTGTCGTGAGTATGACCCCGCTCGCACTGTTGAATTATGTACTCACCTTACCCTGCAGACGACTTGAACACATTCGCGATGGAAAACTTGACTGGTCTAGCGTCGAGAAGAAACGCGTCTCGGCGCTCACTGGACCGTTGGCCTTTGACGTCACGCTGTTTGGAAGGCCGTACAAATTTCGTCTTCACCCATCTACATCGACTCTCTTTATCGATCCCTTCCCGTCCGAACCTGCATTTACCATCATCGCCTTTTCCATTTCCTCCCGGGAGTCCTTGCATAATGCCCAATACTACTGGCGCAAACAATTGTCCCGGCACTACGATGAACTGGAACACCAGATGCCGGTGATGCTACTGGGTCTCAAGAGGGATGAGCGCCATGAAAATAGACTGGAAGACGGGACGTTTGAATGCGTGATGCCCCAAGAGGGTCTGCGTGTTGCGCAAGAGATGCGTTGTGATAGATATGCTGAGTGCAGTGCCGTGACCGGTGAGCTGATGTGGGAAGTACTGGAGGACATTACTCGGACGGCTGCAAGAACCACTACAGAAAATGGTGGTCTGAGTCAGGTCAATACATGTTCCATGATGTGATGCAGATGATTTTCTCCCAATGGAAGAACTGGGCGGTTTGCCTCGTGAAGATGGGAAAGGGCCGCTCATGAAATGAAATGTCGTATATACTCAATTGGCTGATCTAGCGGACGTGTATGTTACACTAGATATCAATTACCCTTGGTATGTCCTCGTTATGCAGACCTGACCGAACGACAAGAAAAATTCCGGAGCCCCAAACAAAAAAAAAAGTAGATATAGGTATTTATCCCATAAGCGAGGACTGCTCAACCGGAAATGGTTGCGGAAGATGGGAAGCCCGCGGCGGCGCCGAGTCGAAGGCCTTTGCTGGCGCAAGCGTTTCGATCTTCCCCGCCGAAGAATCTCATTGCGCTGCTTGTTTGGCAAGTGGTTGCCGTGAAATGGCACCGGGGTGGAATTGCATTGAAGAGTTTCTTGACGGTGTAATATCCTCATCTCGTCCGTAACACGAGATATCCCAGCACGTTGTCCATCGTTCCGAATCCGCAACATGTCCCATCTTCCTCTTCAAACTCTGGGCGTTCGCTCCCTTTGTCTTTCCTCCTCTTATCTCAGCCTGCCAAAGCGGCCCTAAAACAAAGCATCCAAACAACAGCAGCAAGCCAAACCAGCCAAGAGACCGGCGCAGCAACCGCCACCGCCGCGATCGCGCTCATAGATCACCTGCGGTTGCTGTGGTGGTGGATATCCATACCCTTGTGGTGGCCCGTACGGCTGTTGATAGTAGCCGCCCGGGGGTCCCCCTCGGTTCATATCGTACTGGCCTTGATTTCCATATACCATACCATCCTGAGCCGGTGGAGGGGATTGATAACCGGGGGCCGGGGAGTGGGATGGCGGAGGGTATTTAGGTGCGTCGTACTTGTCGGCCATGGCCGGTTGTGGTGCCAACAAAGTAGGGTAGGTTTTGCTGTGAAAACACTGATGCCGATCGAACCGTCGTTCTGACGTGACCGTTCCCTTTTCGGAATCCCCGCAGCACGAGGAGGTTGTCAGAGCCAACAACTAGGAATGAGGCAGCAGTTAGATGGATGAGAAGAGATTCAAAAGAAAAAAGCCTAGCTAGGGCTTGTCCCAAGCACGGCAAATAAGTATTCCACCCGCGACCACTTGTAGCCCAGGATGCTAAATGAAAATACCCGCATTTCACTGGAAGGCACGGCACACCTCAAGCTGAGCAAAGCCCGTTGCGACGCGTAATGTTACGTCTTGGAAGCCTTGGATGGTTTGACTTGGCCGAGCCACGGAGGCTTACATAGGCGCCCGTGATCCTGGTCGGCGCGAGTGCAACTGCGGTGGGCAGGAGCATGTGGCTATGCTGCGGGAGCAATCCCCAGGTTTTTGCGGCAACTGAGAAGCCGAGGTGAACCGAGATAGTCCGTATGAAGCTCTCGAGTACACATGAAGCGGGATCTTGCGAAGTGGTGGGAGGGATACTGAGGCGCAGCAGTCATGTGGCGTGCTGACTTGTGTGGCGTCGAGATAAACGAGGTCGAAACCTTTTTTTCTGGTCTTGAGCCGATAGTATGTCAGATCCGGGGGCAACCTGATCTCATCAACTGATCTCAACAATTGGGTCTGTGCTGACTACTCACGCAAGGAAGGTATGCGACGTACGCTTTGACTTCTTGTACTTGATTTATGGCCCGTGCATTGTATTGATGATGTTGCACCAATTCTCGGGCACGGACAGGGCCTCAGATCACCATGCGCTGGTGAGACAGAGGTAGAAGGGAGTGAAAATCCCCGATTTTTCTCATATAGGATGCCAATGATCGGCGAGGCTGACCCTTTCCCAACACGATCGGTACTTTGCCAGGGTTCGTCCAGCTTCCGCTCCAACAAATGTAGTATCCTTTTGGGTGGTAGCTAGTTTGATGTTGATAACATACATCTTGCCCATCAAATCATTATTGAAACCCCGTTTCCAATGGTTCCCATGAGAGCATGCTAGCTACTATTGACATCTTGTCTCGCATTCACGTTGAGAGATGAGTCAGCTTTTCTTTCTGGAAAAGACTTATGCTCACTCTCATGGCCGTCAGCATCCTGGAACGATTCCGCTACAGGAAAACCGAGTTAGACATCCTATTGATTCATTGCCGAGAGACAGAGTCGCTTTGGTGAGAGAACCAGTCTTCCCCAGAAGAGAGGAACGAAGAAAAACTTGGCCAAGCATTGAAAACCAAACCGCTTGAAGGGGTGCGCCACCATGGAAGCGATCAGTGCTTCTTGAAATCAAAGGACAGCTGAATAGCCTTTTGTCTGTTTCTTGTTGAAAATCTCACATCCACAGATTCAATGGATCGAGACAGGATCTGAGTCCCCAAGTGCACTGGTGGTGAAGATGATTTCTCGGGCTAATCCAAATACCCACTAGCATTCTCTTTTCAAGGGGATTTGGGTCCCACAAACTCTCAGCCTTGTCCACCGAAGCAGACCGCGCTCTGCTATTGCCAGTCGCCTCGAGTCAGTTGCCAGTCCAGAACAACTTCTCCCGCCTTCCAGCACTGCACGGTCATGATGAGCTCAAGTTATGTGACCATGATCAATCTCCACATGATCGCAGCGAGTTGCAGCTCCTCACTGCTGGTACCGCGTCTTCCACCACGATACACGAACCGCTACCGGAAGACTTGGATGGAGTCCTGCTCCTATCCGTTCTCGAATGTACAGAGGTCGGTTCCAAAAGTTTTTGCATCACTCCGGTCACGTGCGGCGCGCTAAACTCTTTGGCCCTTCTTGGCATTTTCAGAACTTTGATCCCCCATCTGATCGGATCCAGTCCAAGGACCACTTCTACTTACTTCATAATCTCTGTTATTGTCAGTTCAATAAAGCGGTTACGTAGTTTGAGGCGTTTCGGCCAATTGCCGGCCGTACTTCGTACTATGCATACTTCCCACTTGCGAACATTGAGCGCAATTGACACATCGGCCAACGCTTCAAGATCACCTCCTCCCAAATTCCAGTAACATAAAATTGACATTTATGCAGGCTTTCGATGAGATTAAGGAGGTGCAGCTGCATCGAGAAGAGCTGAAGGTTTAAATTTGATATAGTAAGGCGGCTTGAACTTAAGTTTGCTCATACAATGTGGTGAAGATCTCTTGTCATCTCGATACACGAAATTACCTGAGCATCTTCTGGCTTCACAGTATGGTTGGCACCGGTGAAGTACCAAAGAAAACATCGTACTGGATCTCAACATAATTGGTTATTAACCATTCACCTCGCTAAGAGAACCTCCCAGATCGCGATCCATCTTCATCAATAGTGACGATAAGTGCTCTTTACAAGCAGTGGTGGTCGGATGGTGCGCCCCAAGAACCCTGTCGTAGCCCGCAATGGCACGCTGGTAAAGATTCAGGGCCTCCTGAAAATTCTTCTTTGCATCGAACAAATAGGCCAGACCATGTACGCTCGTCAACGTGTCGGGATGGTCCACTCCAAGCACCTTCTCCCTCCCCGACAGTGCCCGTCGATTCATCCCTTCCGCCTCCTCGTACTTCCCTTGATCTTGTAGCACTGATGCCAGATTGCTCACACTCGTCAACGTGTCGGGATGGTCCATCCCCAGCACCTTCTCCCTCCCCGACAATGCCCGTCGATTCATCCCTTCCGCCTCCTCGTACTTCCCTTGATCT